TTGTTTACAACAAGGCAAATACTGTCTCAACAATTACTTGATATTTTAAAAGGTGCAAGTTAAGGGACATTCAGAAAATTTACTGTTGGTCAGATATTTTCTCAAATAAAAAAAATATATACTGGTATCTGTGAGCCAACAAATTCGCGAACGGTACAGATCAGAGGAACACATGTACCAGCTATACAAAAAAGTAAGCTTTCATGTATAGATTGTAAGCAGAAAATATTTATTAAAGGCACTGCTTTAATAAGCATGATAATGGTTTAATTTGAGGGGAAAACGCACGTTCTTGAATTGTCAGAGCATGAAAAGAGACACATTTTAAAGCTCGAAAGCCTACGATTTAAGCAAGAAAAGTACTTATGAAAGAAAACCAACAGTAAAACAGTTCAACTTACGTTCTTTCGTTTGGGCATTTGTGACTTCCAGATCGAAATCTGTGTTCTTCGCAAACTTCTTTTGAGCGATGATCGAGTGTTTAAGGTCGGCCAGGGAGATGGAAAGTCCATCAAATGTAATTGTGTCATATTCTAGAGCACTTCGAAACTTATAGTGAATACAAGACATTGAATTTTCAACCAATTTTAGAGCAAAAGCGAGACCTAAGAACCGAATTCTGAACGAACAAATCGAGATTCAGAGACACATGTTTCTTCTCCCGAGAAACGCGCGAAACCGCCTAAATTAAGCAACAAAACTAAAAAAAGACATAAAAGAAACACAAGAAGCCTTGACAAAAAAGAAAAACCCGAAAAAAGTTTGGAAAACCTTTAGAAAAACCCCTTCAGAAAACTAAACGACACAGGATCAAACACGAGAGAGCAGAATCCAAAGAACTTGCACGCACGGCATCATGGGAGTTTTCATACCGGAATATTAACGAAGTATACTCGGTTTGTCGTCGGGAATGTTCGGACCAAAGGGCCAAATATACCCTGAATATATTGATCTTTGGAAATACCGTATCCTTCTTGATCCCGCTGTGTCATTTCCTTGTTGGTTGCAGTTTTTATTCGCTATTTTTCGTCCTTGTCATATCATTTAAACCATTTGGGGAGGTCACTGGAAAATTGAAGTTCCGTGTCTTTGAGAAACGTTGACCGCTGCTCAAGTAATGTTCGCAATTTGCATAAGACGAGCCGTCTGGAGAACGCGCAACCATAATGGACTGTCTTCCCATCCACATCTTTGCATGAGCACTGCGATCTCTTCAAGTAAAATAAAACAAGAGCCGCCAACTGCGAGGATAGGAACCACTAAGTTATTGCTTGTCATGGGCCCTTGTATTTATTTTGGAGGTCGATTAGGGAAGCTTATCGCCGAAGCTCTTGAGGAGTGGAGCATTTTCTCTCCAGAGGATGACGACGACGAAGATGACTGAAGAAGATGACTGCAATTTAGGACATTTAGTGCCGACGAAAGGCAAGAAAATCTGTGTCTTATCTTTGAAAAATTGATTTTAATCCCTTAACTGTTCATTTTTGTTAATTATAATCAGAGATCAGCGGGTTTTAATTGAATTTAAATTAATAATAATTATTAGGGTCGATTCATGCAGCATACACGCCAATAGCCGCGTATAGCCATCACATTTGCCCATCAGAATTTCAAAGACATTTTAAAAAAATCCAGAAGGCAAATGCGACAGCCTTGCATATTTTGCAAGTGAATCCACCTTATATTAGCCATTGATTAGAACAATCAAAATATTATAGTTTGTGGTGAGGGGGGAGGGAGGGTTGGGTTGGGGGGTGGGGAAGGGAGTTGTTGTTTCCAGGTCGTTAAAGTGAAGTGAAATGTTAAATTTTGGACAGAAGCTGAAAATATTTTTCAAAATTATTGAAATTCAAATCATTGCAGACACAATACTGTGAGACTATTATACAATTATCCCAATTTCAGTTAAAATGTTGCGAATATGGATACCCTCTTTTAGACCATAGCCCATAGACATATAGGTATTTTTGGTTTTGGGAGACACAACTTCAGGGTAGATGACTTTTGGGCAACTTGACCGGTTTCCTCCAAACCCCTTTCACCCACAAGAATTAGAAAAAAAGGGGTTCATTCCCAGTCTATGTCAAAAGGAAGCCACACGAGACTTGACAGTATGTGACCTCAAAGCCTACGAAACTGTAGAAAAGCAAAAATCACAACCATGCCTCTGCGATTTGAAAGCCAATGATGGATCTTTGTCATATGATAAAAATAGTGTAGTACACGTACACAGGATCAGAATGGACTGCAGAGGAAGGTGAAGAGTGGGAAGGTCCAGGTAATTTGCAATTTGTAGTTGTTCTGAATGAAATGGCTAGAGATGGACCTAAAAATTTCATCCTTGAATAAAAGAAATCCACCAAATTTTATTTATTATGTTGCTACTATTGTTTGTGAAAATCAGAAAGATGGCAGTCCTTTTATTGAAGATGGTACAAATATAATCCAGAGGTGTGTGTGTTCCTAAAGATTTTAATAATACTTGAAATTGAGATACAATAAACACCCTGAATAAAGTATTACTGTGGAATACTTGCGATTAGTGCTTTTTTCAAAGTTGGTGTCACAAGCTTTAAAGTCTCATGTGACTCATTTAACTGGTGAATCCTAGTATTGTAAATCAAACTTAAGTTACAGGTGAGACTTATTTAATTTTCCATTTAAAAATAACTATTGATTTCTCTCTCCTTTTATGTAACAATAACAATATTGTTACGATATTGTTATTATTTTCTAGATTAAGCCATTACATGACCCAAATTGTCATCCCTCCTTGAAACCAATCCAAGAATTCACATTCAAGGCTGGGGTGGGGGGGGGGTACTGCCATATATGGGCTATATGGGTATGTGCCGCTGTGAAGGGTATGGTTTTCAAGCAGTTTACTCTAGGATAGGGTATATAAATCAGAGCGTTTGGGTCTAGAATAGGGTATCATTTTTCAGGAAACTGATCAGTTGGTTGAAGATTTTATCTAGACTGGGGAAACAGCTACTCTAGGATAGGGGGATTTTGAAAGTTTACTCTAGTATAGGGTAGCAAAATTCAGCTGAACTAGCTCTGGTATAGGTCAAGGGTTCCAGGGTCCCAACGGCACATCCCCACCCAGAAATTCCTAAAGTGCCCCCCCCGGGATTCAAGGTCACATTCCCAGTGTTTAAGACTGAAATAAAACAATATTTGTTTAAGTCTTTATCTCTTGATAATAATCTGTTTTCTCTTTATTTGATAGGAATCAGCTTTCAGTTACCACTGAAGATCAAAGAGAATGGTGCTACTCTATTAGAAGCATTTTTGGATATTCTTTTACCAAAAATACTGTCTTCTTTTACTAAGTACATTTTTGACACTTTTTTTTCGCAAGATTATGATAATTTTTTTATCGTTGGGGATAGAATTTTATATAAATTCTAGAAAAGACTCTTTGAATACATTCAAATATTTTTATAGATAATTATCAGTATAATTTTCTGGCACTTGTTCGTTGCCAATAAGAATGTCTTTAGAAGTACTGTGCATACAATTCTCATCTTTTGTTTTCTCAGTCTGATGTTTTATCATCATAGAACACAATAACTTTTATAGAAAATGGTTTAGATGGATTTTGTAATTTTTTTGAACAGTTTGTTATATTTTTTAGCATCATCCCTTTTCATCATAACACAATATTTTTAGATATAGGCCTAGCCCTTGTATTTGTTAAAAGGTTAAAAAAAGCAATCTAGCAGCTTATTTTTAACCTCCATAGAATGCGTTTCTGTGAGAGTTTGCAAGAAAGTTGGATGAAGGTGACACTGTGTTTTGAAAATAGGTTTGGTACCATATGTAATAATATTATTTCAAGTTAGGAAAATGTTACCAGTGGTTTATGATATTTAAATGTTAAAATTCATTTACAAGTCACTAATATTAACCATGCAGTAACCAAGGGGAAAACAAAAACTGAAAGATCTTGTATTTGGCGGAACACTTGCGCGAATCAGGTACTGTTGAGAGGCCACATACATGTATTTGGACGGGTCTTTGTATCATACGATTTGCTGGGCTACGTTCTGGTGAACCTTGTATAAAACTAATATCCATTTGGGGGTGGGGGAAGGGGAGGGGAGGTTTGGGTTCAGGCAAATTTTATGTTACTTCAATAAAAATGTTGTAAAGTCAACTCTCTGCTCAGACACCTTAATAAGATGGACACCCCGCAAACACGTTTTACCTAGAGTTGGTCCCTGCCTTTCTTTACTCATTTTTGGTTGACTCTCTTTAAGACAGACATCTTCCTGAGATGGACACTGAGTGCCGGTTTCCAAAGGTGTCTGTCAACTGTATAAAGAAATTCTCTCAAGATGTGAACCTCAGAAAATGTAAATCTCCACCCCACCCCTCCCTCCAACCTTCCAGAGCTGTATTCTCTCATTACAGAGAAACAGTTAAACGGTCATCACAAATCCCTCTTGTACCACAAGTGAGTGTAGCCTACTGCAAAGCCGTTTTTTTGTTGTCACGCAATGTTCCTCCCCAGAGGACAAGTATTGCATTGCGTGACAACACAGGACGGCTGTGTAGCAGACTACTAGTGAGTGGAGATGTATATAGACCAGTAGTGTTTATTATGATAGCCAGTTATAGTGATATTTCGCATTATGTCACATAGTGATATTGATGTGCCAACTAGGACTTAATTGGCTCTTGAGACAACAGGTTCTTTTGTTTCAGTGGTTGGTACATTTCATTTTGGTACAATGTTTACAAACAAGAATACGGCTGTCATGATGAAAAGGAAATCTTAAAAAAATAATCTGATGACCTTATCATGCCAAATGTAACTAAAGAGGAATATGTCAGATTATCCTGATAATAGTGATGTCAAACCGGAAATGAGGGTCAATTCTAAGCTCCTCCTCAGCTCTCTAGTGAACAGCATCTCTATTGTCTCGATTTCCGGCAATTCCGGTTTTTTCGCGCCTTTGTCGCGTGAAGGAAACTGGACGCGATTTTTATTCCTCACCCCAGTCCACATGGTCGACGCAATCTCAAAAATAAATTCGTTTGTGACGGAGTGAAACTGTGGGCAATCTGTTGTTGGATTGGCGATAAAGATTTCCTTGACGTCTTTTGCGTCGGAGTTCTAATGGTAAACATAGATTTATGGGATCAATCACTTCTGACTTTGCATATTAAGGCACCAGTTATTTTGTTGACGTGAGATCGAGGAAGACTCTTGAACGAAGCCTGTCAAATAGCAGTGTGTTGCTTTGTCAATTTCTTGATATCAACTGTTCTAAATGATATTCTTCTGAACGTTATTGCATATGTAGAAATCTTTGTTTGTAAAACCTCTTCTTCTGGGAATCTTGACACAACGGAGACCAACGCAAAGAGATGTGTCTTAACTCGTAAACGGCATGTCTGCTAGACAAAATTTAAGTGCCTTCCGCTCGATCAACTGTACATTTTGTATCTTCAAGTACTTTAGCGGTGAATGGTTCGCACCGCGAGCTCTCTGTTGTTAAGATTTGCGGTTCCGACTTATGGCTGGATTGTAAATTGAGTATGTCTGTGGACACCATAACCATTGGGGAGACGGAAGAAGCTGTTGGATCACGGCGAAAGTCATGCACGACTGATGGATTCGTTGTCCCGTCTGGGGAGGTCGATTGCGACCTGCCCGTTCAACGAGAAGATCCGGCGTTGCACAAGTAAGTATCATGTTTATTCCTTGTTGTATTAAAGATAAGCTCACCCGCAATTTGACCTGGGTTTAATATTTCCCTATCTCGGATTTTAACGGAAAACGGAACCGTTTTAACTTCAGATTGTTCCCTCTCTATACAGGAGAAATAAAGATAAAAATAGTTCTTTAGTGAATGGAATCGACGACAAGTTTTCAGGAGACCAGAGGCGATCGTAAGTAAAATTGGCATTTGCTGTCAGAGTGATTAGCTTCATTTTATTTTGAAAAGAATAACAGCTGCCAAATAGCGATGTTTATAAAATGACTCCCGGCTGTACACTCTTCGGTATGCATCGTCTTTGCTATATGGTTAATGTTTGAGAATATTCGAAACTTTGGTAAAGGTGTCACTGACCTAGTAAATATGGGAAAACAATTAAACTTTAATGACTTCCTAATACAACAAGAGAAAAGATGCTGTTATGTTTTCGATTTTTTTATGTCTGTGGATTTCATTTCTCATGCAATATAAATAGCAATTTTGTCCCGTGATCACTGTAATTTTAAAAGGCTTCAAATTTCTACCTAGCAAATTATTTATTTAAGCTTCTAATAAGCAATAAACTAAATTAAAATTGGTACATTCAGCCACGGATTCATTCGGAAGATTACTTGTGGTGCTTATATCATAAAGTGTAAAAATAAAAATGAAAATTGTTTTTAACAGAGCTGTAAATCCTTTCCGTTCTTAAAATATCACTTGCAGTAATAAAAGACCTTCCTTGTAATTTTTTCAGTTACTATGAATAATTCCATATTTCATGAAAATATCTTTGTCAGGTTGCTATGTATATAATTTAAAATTCTAATGTGTCATTTCAAAAGTTGATGTCAATATCTATGGTTTAGGTATCTTATCAAGTCTAAAATAAAAGATTAATCCTCCAGAAGCATATAAGCATTGGATTGTAAATTTCTTTGAAAAATATTCTAAGATCTCTAAAAAAAACCTGGTAAATAGTTACATTTAAAATAATGATGAATTCATCAGTTTTGTTGCAAATTAAAAGTTCCAATGTGTACTGGTAATTTCCATTTTGCATTCTAGCTATTTATTGATAGTGATTGGTTTTGACAGAGCTTAAAAGTGCTGATTATTATAACATGGAAGTTTGATTGAAGTACTTGGGAAAAAACAAAAAATTAATGCAATCGCAAAAAATTCTTCTTGTACATTGTGTGTGTTTGTAGTTAGTTATATGATATTTTGTTACATTCCTACTCTCTGATAATATTTAAAGAAAAAGTTACATAATGCAACCCATATTCAATATACTGGTACAAAAAAAATTGAAATTGATAGATATTTATGCATGTATGACAGTAAAATTTATCAGTTGACTAATTCTTGGATGTAAAATACTTGCAACTAGGAATTTTTCTTCTATTTTTATAAATGAAGAGATAATCTGCTTTGATAGTACAGTTATGTCCCCTCAAAGGTTAAAATGATACAAAATTATCATTGCCATAGTGATGAAATTCGTTGCGTCACTTTTAAAGGATGCTGGATTCAAGGACATTCTCTTCTGATATTTGCTCGTAGTTATCGCCAGGCTACTGATCGGTCTTCCAAGGATAGGGTTTCTACTGTGTCAACAATAATATTTTAACAGATTGTTTTTATTGTGCTCCTAACAATCGTCCGAAATTCAAATTGTAAGTGTGTTTCGTTTAGTATTTGCTTTCATAATCAAAACTTAAAATAATTATCGTTTATGTAATGTGAAATATACGAAGCTGTGTCTGCTTAAGGAAGTGTTACCGTAAGTTGGCATCATGATGTTAACAAATATGTTTGTTTCTGTAAAGTATAAATGTAGTTAGTGAGATCATTTACCTGGCAAGAACATGTTAATATCATGTTAAAAGCATCTTACGGTTCCTATATTTCTTTAGAAATATTTCACCCAGATGCAGTGTCTTTGCCCAAATGTAAAGTGAATAGTATGATATAAGATAATACTGCTTAGAATTTTCCTTTCTATATTTTAAGTGTTGTGTACAGAATTTTGTGGAACAGTCTTGATAAGACAGGGAGGTCTTTGTTGTGGGTTAACTGCATGCAAATGAATTTTTCCGCTTAGTTTCTGTCAACTGACCATCAAGTACCTCACCATGGTCACTCCAACCAAACTTTGCTGCTGTTAATGGCTGCACGTCAAGAAATATTTTTTTTATTGACAAATCATTCAGCATTTTCACTTCTGAGACCCTGTTGAGGTGAAAATTTGACGAGCAATATTGCCCTTGGGTTGAAATTGCAACAGTTACAAAGACTGGGACAAGCACAATAGTCAAATACCAACAGAGACAGCTTTCTTCTCAAAGTGTAAAACAACAGGTTTTGAAATGCAGATAAGGGACATTCATTCCCCTCCCCTGCCTTTGAGCAGGGGGGAGGGGATTTGTTGTCTCCTATTGTAAAGGGAATGTGTTTTGGGGAAATAATAGACAAGCCGAGGCAGAACTGTTGGCCAAAATGTTTTGTATTAAATGCAAAACCAAACAACATACTTTTGTAACTTTTGCAGCACCTTTTGAAAATTATCAGATTAGGGACCCCTTAAAGCAAGGTGTGCAAAGAAAGGCATGTTGGGTAGCCTTAAGGGCTGGTGAATTTGGCCATTGTATTAGTGAATTCTGTTCTTAACTTGCCCAATGCACAAAAGAAATAAATGGTAAAAAAGATCATTTAGTTATTTTACACATTCTCACACATTCTTCCTTTTTTTACAGGCCACAAAAACCACATCCTTTGCGCAGTCCAGTAAATAAATATTCATCACTAATAAGGGCACAAACTATGTCACCTGTGTTAGACAATGTTGACAAGCCTATAACAGCCAAGACATCCAAGAACTTTTCCAAGGCTCCTTTGAAGCTTAAGTTAGCTTTATCACCTAGAGGTATGTTTAGTTTCCTGAGAATCTTAATGTTTTGTCCACCTCAGGAAACACATAGAGATTCTTTCAATTAAAACAAAATTAATGTGGTTCGATGTAATCTAGGGAGAATTAACCTCAAACCAACGCTTGCCCCTTCTTCCATTGTGTGAGGCATCCCCTTGCCTTTAGTAGGGACACCTCTTGACCCTTATATGCAGTCACTTGCTTGAAGTACTTTCGCAAAGTGTCTTTTGCTTCCGCTGTGTTGCTTGCTTGCCATTTTAGTATGTTTTCTTCCGACTCTCCCTACCTTTTTAGATGAAGGTCTGCTAAGCATTAGTAAATAATGGTAATAGGATTGAGTGTAGTCCAATCTGGTCTGTAATCATACGAGTGATAAACAAAATCGCGGGAGTCCGATTTGTTTAATCACAAGTATGATTACAGACCGAATTGGACGACGTGAAGTTCTGTTACCAATATTAACAGTGTTCTCCTTATCAGGCGGTAACCAGTAAAATTTACCGCCTGAAGCAACACTTCTTACCGCCTGCAACTGCTTAAAGGTTTACCAAAATAAAATAATTTTTTAAAAAAAAAAATATGCGAGTTGTGATCCGATCCGATCCTCACAAGAAAATGAATGAATATGTGGAAAAGAATAGCTACCTAAGTACAAAACGTACAGCCCAAAAATAATGCACGTTCAGGAACTAATAATTCCCATGTTTTCTTGTGGGCAGAAATTCAACGCCTTTGGTTTGTTTTGCCGAGACTATGGTATTGTACTATGAAATGATCCAAATAATCTAAATGTTCGAAACTACAGATCGTTTTGTTAAACAAACGCCTCACACGCTTTATCTAACTTTGGAAAAGCTAAACGATTGAAGTGTTCACTTTGCACAAAAAGCAGAGAAAGCTGTTCGCTTTCCCAGGCAACTTTTTACTTGTGTACTTTCATGATTACCTTTTGCTGCCACAGAGTGAATTAGTATCAACGCTACAAAACGGTGTTGTCACAAAAAGGCAACAAACACTACAAAGATCTTTCAGGTTAACACTTATAAAGAACTTCATGCGCCTTCTTGAGGCTTGCGGTAATTTTCTAGCTTCTTGCGGTGAAGATTTTTGACTTCTTTCGTTTCAAAGTCCTTGCGGGTAAACCACAAAGGGTCCTCAAAAATACGGCACTTTCACTTCTTGCGGTGGCTTGCATGTTCTTGCGGCGCAGCAACTTCTTACGCCACTTTTTGCGCGTGCATAATTTTGGTTCTGTACTAGTACTGTATATGCAGCTTTCCTTTTTAGGGACATGCATTTTGGAAACATAGTAAAATTATTGGAATCAAACGTTTTAATTTGTTTTCTAAAGATAACGACAGCAGATTTGCATAAAATAGGTCTTAAAATATGGGAATAAAAAATTTCCCAGTGAAGGCGGGTCCATGTCCCTCACTCCACTGTCCCCCCTCCCCCCCTCGTAGAAAAGTATATATTTTCCATGAATGGTCCTTTACCTGCTGAGCTAAAATTTAGGGAGAACACTGTATTAATCATAACTATAACAAAATTTGTGATATTTTAGACTGTTTTAAATCAAAACACATGAAATTCCAAGAGTTTTTTGCTAGCAGTGAAAAAAAAAGCCGTTAAAGTCCACGTATGCGATGGCGCATACTGTCCAATTACTTAGCGTGACGCAAGCTGTCCTATTACACTGTCCTGTTAGTTCTGAAATCGGGACAGTTGATAGCCAATCAAATTTGAGAATTTTGTTATTGTTATGATACTTAATTGATACTCCATAGAGCAGTTCTGTGTGATGGTACCTGGTGGGGGCCTCTCACTGGGTTGCCATGGATACTGCCTTCCTTGTGCTAGAGCATTGCCTGGCTGCACCAAGTCCTAAGTCCATCCCGATCACCTGCTCCCAAACTCATGTATTAGTGATTGTAAATTACATTGTAGATTCCCAAGGTACTACCCTATTAGTACATAATTTTGCAATTTTGGTGAGACAGTATTTTGCAGGGTTTCATTGTCAGGATTTAAATAAGAAAATATGAAAAAAGAACATAAACTTTAACAATTCAAGCATTCTCAATTTCATTATATATTTTTCAAAAAGTCTAAACTTTTTAAAATTCTAGATAAAGTGGAACAAGCAAAATGCATAATTATTTTTGGTACGAATCTAGTGATTCAGAGGAAGATGATAGCTAGATTTTCTACTCCATATGTGGTATTAAATTTCGTGAGGATTTTTAGTGCAAAATTAAGTACCAATAAGGTGGTCATTCAGTGACATGACTTTTGTTCTAAACGAACAGAGATTTTGCAATGTTGGCTACTTAGAGACTTTCCGTTATTCTGTCCTTATTTTGCCAGTCAAATTATTGAATTGGTGGGTGGAATGAGGTAAATGACACAAAATATATTAATTTAAAAATTCACCATTGGATTCATGAACACATGAAATCCTACAATGTTGCCATAAAAAAAAACCTATTTAGTACTGTTTCTTTTTAAGGGATTTTACAAAAAGGTTTGGGAATTTTTTGTCCTAAAATTGACTTGGACTGCTATTTTATCGAAAGGATTAAACATGCCTTGTTTAAATTTACATCTCAATCATGTGTGGTCACGTTTTTCAGGTTGTTCAATAATAATAGTTATCTTTCATCAAGATATATTTATACATGTAATTCGCACAGCATGAATGTTTATCTAAGAAATTGATACGTTATTTTGGTGACATACTGTACCTTGTTCCTGAACATAGTGTGAAGAACTTTCATTGCAAGTTCAAAGTTGTGAGTCACATGGTCAGGAAAATGTTTCTCACATGATATTAATAAAGAACCAACAAGACACTCTCAATGCAAATTTCTGACAGTAATTTGCCACATAGGAAATTTCATGGATAATTTTCCTCCTGCTATTTTACTTTAGCACATAAATGAAAAAAATCAAAACAAAACACCTAAAATTCTATCCAGCTGTTCAGTGCTCAATCAAGGAATATTATGGACATTTCTCAAAGGACTCCCAAAAATATTTTTTACGGTATGTATATGCTATATGTTCTGTGTTAGATCATTCAAGGCATAAAACTAGACTCAGTCTAAGGTATCTATAAGAGACTTTTCAATAGCTAATGGACTGGGCATTTTTAAGTTTGTTTTTATAATATTAATGTTAAAAAGTGCTCAGGCCAGTTTCAGACAAAATATGTCAGGAATTAAAGCGCTTCATCATTGGTCCATACTAGAAATTGCAGCTGTTAAGCTAGAATCAAATGTTAACAGTACGCACGTATACATGTATGATCATGTTATTTAAAAATGTGCACATGATGAATTTAGATGAACTTGATTTCAATAATTGTGTGGTCCTTTTTTGTTATGTTCAAGAAGTCTCAGTAAAACATATCCGGAATGCTTTGTAGAATTTTCCTCTTTACCAGTGACATTTCTGAAACTGATTTTTTTATACTGGAGGTCAGTGTATAATGCACTGAACAAAAAACTTTACCAAAGGTCACATTCTTTCTGTTTTGGGTCTTGTTTCCTTTACAAGAAGTTGTACACATAATGATATATAACGAGCGTGAAATTAGTGGAGTCACAACACTGGCTGTTTAAAATTACAAATCTAGTTAAAATAACTTTTACTCTTATTGTACAAACTAACCATTGAAACTGTAAGGTTAATACAGTGAAAATGCCACCCTTCTTGTTACAGTCATTTATGATGATGTTTAGCTGTCTAGATCAGCTCAACCTACTAGCCCTTAGATAGAATGAACATTTTAACCTTTAAGCCCCACCATCCACGTATAAATTCTGCAAACTGACCTCTAGACATTTCCTTAAAGAATGATCGTAATATTAATTCTCATAACCTAATCTCTTGACAATGTGAGGATATCATTTGGAGAAAATTGATGTTGGTCACTTTATATGCTAACTAAATGAAGGGAAAGCAAGGGTGACACAGTGGTGAAAGCACTCGCCTCCCATCAATGTGGCCTGGTTTCAAATCCCGGCATCGACGCCATATGTGGGTTGAGTTTGTTGTCAGTTCTCTCCTTTGCTCTGAGAGGTTTTTCTCCTGGCACTCTCAACAGTGTTCCTCTCTCCTCATGAACTAACATTTCCAAATTCCACTTTGACCAGGAATGAGGTAGACGAATAACCACTAAGTGGATGTGCTACAGTTAAATTGTATCATATATTGTTGGTATGGTTACCTCTGGTTGACTGTCTGTGGTCTCTTCTTTGTTAGGTGCAGCTTGGAACTTGGAAGATGATGAAGAGAATGTTACAGCTGCAAGTGGTAGTACAGATGGAGCTCCTTTCGGATACACTTCGGGAGGGCTTTATTATTCCACAGCTATTCATCTACAAACATTGCAGACGTTGGTAAGAATTAACTGCATTTTTACAGCTATGGAAAAGCACATGATTGCTATAGCTATTCATGCTTGACGTGTTTATAAGTGGTGGAAAAAAGTAAGATTTGTGCTCATCTGTAACTATTGAACCAAGCCCACCAAAAAGTTCACCCTGTTTGTATTATTTTATTTTTTATGTTTTCTGAAACCACACACTTTAATGTTGTTTTTGACAGGGAAATGAGGAGGAAAACATTTCTCCATTAGAGACAGAGAAGAAGCAAAGGTAACAATATTATTTAACATAATTTATGTGGGGTACAAAAAAGTTGATTCATTCTGCATGCCAAGTTTAACTTGGTCTCAAGATCATAGTAAACCATAGTAGAACTTTGCTATGTATATGTCGCAGGTCAAAATTGAATCCAGGTTAAAATTTTTTAACCTAGGTTGATTCTCAATTTTCTTTATGTACTACACCTGATTATTCATGAGTTTGGGCTAGGAGACAAAGGAAATTGAAAATCAACCCATAGGTTAAAAACTTTCAACCTCAATATAATTTTGACCTGTAACATTATACCTGCCAACTCTCACGCCTGCGGGTTGAAAACTTCGATCTCACGCCCGCTCACGCCTGCGGACCAATTTCTCACGCCTGATTGAAAAATGTGAGTTGTTGTCGTCTTGCTGGACACAATTTCCAAAAATATGTTAACTCAGACCCATGTAACAAACGAAAACCATGTGTAAAATGAATAAATGACAATACCTTCCTCACGATCTCTGATTTTGTGGATAGGCGTTTTCTCGATAACTTCGCCTTCGGCAGACTTCGGACGTCTTCGGCAGACTTCGGACGTCTTCGGAAGACTTCGGACTTCTTCGGGAATCTTCGGAAATGATCGTGTCGTTTTCAAAAATCCCAGCACTCCCAGGATAAAAATCTCACGCCTACATCTCAGAAAAAGTTGGCAGGTATATAACATATACATTTAAGTGTTGGTAAATAATTGTGAATGTATTGGTTTTGTTAGGAGATAACAGTCATAGGTTGATTAACTGATTGATTGTCTAGGATATTGATAATATCAAAGAAATTTAAGATAATATCTACATAATTAAAGTAAAGGAAGAAACTGATTAGTATTGCAGTGAATTTGAAGTTCAACTACACTGAAGACTTAAATGTATTTGATACTTTGTTTTACAGTGGCGTGAAGGAAACAAGAATTAGCAAGCTTGCACGTCGGTTAAGCCAGAGAAGAGATAGAGGGAGTATGAGGTTAGACGAGGGAGTTGCATGCAAATTTTGTTTTGTGCATGTGTGTTTTTCATACTGCTTCGCTATTTATACAATGTTCATCTACTATTTAAACTCTTTTTCCATCTCTGCTCTTGTGTATTCTAATCATAAAAATCTTTAACTAAATAGCTTCCTCTATGAAAACCAATTCGCTTCTCAGCTCATCACAGTCTTTTATCAGGGGTTCACATTACCTGTTTCATTGATGAATGTTATGATAAGTAAGCAACCTACTTTGGTTTGTTTTTCTCCACTTACAGAGGACCCATTTTTTTTCTTCATTAGGAATCAAGGAAAATCACACAGTTTAGAAGATTTAGCATCACCAGGAAGTTTACACGGAGGTAGCAAATCACCAAGGTTGCAACGTACCATGTCAGTCAACCAGCGCTCCTCTCCTCGCTCACGGTTTTCTGTCCAAGAAAATAGATTCAGTTTCAATAACAGAGGTAAGTCTCTGAAAGAACTGAGCTTTAGAGAAAGTAAGTTACATGCAATTGAATGACCAATTTTACTTTAAGGGGCGTACTTAATCAAAAATCAATATTACTTCTCAAATCTAAAACGGGCATGTATATGGCCTTTCATATTGTATCATCTGCATCCAAGCTATCAATGACCTTGGAAACCATGGTATAATATTATCATGTGTGGTAATTATCATAGCCTGGGGAAACATCCGCCGTCTCTCCCACTCCTTGCTGCTATGGACGTCTTACCAGGAGGGTCATCTGCACCTCAGCGACAGAAATTCGAGAAATGAAGTGTTCATGGCTAAAATAATATTTTTTTTAGATTTTAAAGACAAGTCAAAGAAGAGGAAAGAAACCAGTGTTGATGGTAAGTAATTTTTTTATGATGCCTCATTTCTTTTCCTATTTCATGAAAAAAATAATTAATTATTTTTATTATTAATTATTGTGATGTAGAATAAATTCATCTTGGCTAAAGGTACTAGTAAAATAGTAGATAAGTAGTAAAGTATTACTTTTGTCATTCTTTCACAGCTCTAGTGGATGCTATTGTTAGAAAGGAAACTGATGAAATTAGGAATATTTTGGAATCAGAGGATATAGACATCAATGGGTAAGCATAATCAATTTCAACTCATTTGTATATATGAGATTAACAGGTTTCTTTTCTCTACAAAGACAACATTAAAATAATTATTATGGGAGGGAGTTTTTGCTTTACATTACACCTGTATCAATTCACTAATTTAAAACAGTGCATCAAGTAAACTAAGGAAATCTCTCTGAAAATTAGAATCAGAATGCATTATGTCAAATGTCTAACCAATTTGTTGCAAAACGTTAGAAACCATGCACAATCAGTGACAACAGTACACTGTAATTGACACACTTGTCTAAGACATGTTCTATTATTAAAAATTTGATTTGAACATATAGCATTTAATTCTGTTTAAACACCCGTAAATCCCCCAACCCCTGAATTAATGTTGTTTGCAGTCGAAGAAAGACCTGAGAGTTAACAGAGTTGTCATTAAGTGCCGGCAGCAGGCTAAAATTAACGACTACTTGGAGGTTTGAGCCATCTACTTTTTGGGAAAAAAGGGTCAAGTGAGAGAGTGAGAGCCTGAAATTGCCCACAGCACTCAGTTACCAAACCACCTACTTTTATATTCTAGCTGTGTACTTTCAAAAATTAATGAGAACCCTGAGTTTAAAATACAACATTGATTTGGGGGGAGGGGTGGGGGTTACACCAGGGGAGGGGACAAACATTTTCACTATGCAAAGGGGTCCTTTTTTTAAAGTGTCTCAACATTTTTGTCCCTCATTGCAGTTTGGATCTGACTGCATATTACATAGAGTTTGTAAGCTCAACTAACAGGTGAAATAACTAATTGCTGCCCCTTAAAAATGCAGGGTTAATGATGACGGCTTTGCACCCCTTGATGTTGCTGTCATGCTCGGTTACCATCCCATCATAAAAATGCTTTTGTTGTATGGTGCACAGGAAAGCTCCAAATGTAAGTAGGAAGTATTGCCGTCAAGGACTGTTGTAGTCTTTCCCTTTTATTTATTGTCAGTTTTCAATAGGCCATTTCTGAGTTCCTCCGGGCCTCTGTACTGTATCAAAACAAGATTAAGTGCTCAGCCTTTTATATGGAAAGGATTTTTCATTCCATGCTCATTTTCACAAGAAAGGCTGTGCACTTGGCCTTATTTTGAAAGAGGGGGTTTGTGGAACTCGGAAGTGGCGTATTCTCTGTACCTTCATGACGTCTTGTTTGACGAAAGGTTTTATTGCTGCAACTATCTCCCTCAAACGTAATGTTAACTTGCCAAAAATAGTGAATAATGATTTAAATCAATGTCTATTCTGTTTACCTTAGTGATCGCATGAGTGGGTCATATTTTTGTAATACCTTCCCTGACAGGTTACTTTTTTCATTGGCAAATAACATCTTCAGTATTTTTGAACTCTGTTCCTTTCCAATTCTACTCCTGATGTTGAAAAAATAAAATAATATATTACATTGTTTTGCATTCTGTTATGTTGTGTCATGTTGCTCTACATTAAAATGAGAATAGTAGCAATATCTGGGATGATTTTCTTTTTCTGCAACAGTACCAACTAGTTACCTCACAAAGCACATTAACATGTTGTTGAGGGAAGCTGAGCAAAGAGTGGACGATCTTACAACAGCAGTGGTTCATGTCAGTTATACTACATCTTCTGAAGTAAAGGTAACAAAAAACAACATAACACCAGTAGAAACTCTATATAATGAAGGGCCAAGGGGCTCGCAAAATTTGTTTAGTTATTTTGGAGTGTTTTTTTTTTCATATATTTCACTATTACTGGGCTAAAGAAAATTGTTTGTTATACTGAGGACTTCCTCAGGGGTTTCAATTAAAATTGAAGTCGCCAGCAGGTTTGACTAGAGTAACTGACTAAATCATCATAGCGCTGTTATTTTGAAACTTCAAAGCCCTAAAATGCGATTTCCAGCGTGCTGGACAAACAAGTGTGTTTTTCATTCAAGAAAATGTAGCTTTCATTCAAGTTTCGATTTATCAGCCACCCAATCAAATCGTTCAAGCAATTAACAAATGACAATAATTCACTTACGTACATTTGCACATAAACAAATTCTGGGTGAATCTATATAGAAACATGTCAATAATTGACTGAAATATGTCGTTCACATGACCAATTAACTAAAGCATACCATAAATCCAGTGGTTCTGTGTGAATTAGAAAACACATAATTACGTTTTCACTGAAATTTTATGATATATTTTTTTGTTTAAGACATTATTAAACTTTATACTCACCTCTTCTTTTGCGATAAAAGTAACCGTTGTACCTGAGCAAAGTAGCCAACGCATGATTTATTTGGTCATCATCGGTGCTTACGGCAAGCTCTGCTTCTCTATGTAGCGGTTTGTCATATCAAGGTTCCACTGTATGCATGTTATTGTGCTCTCTCAAAAACAGTGTCACGAATGAAATTGTTCAGTTACAACCTAAGCAACAGCAGAGGTGCAAATAATTTTTGAAGGACCTATGTCCGGCTAAGTCACCATTTTTGTTAGATGAAAGTGGAGGGGGACAGGGGGGCGGGAGCCCGGGAGAACAGGGGGCGGGAGGGGTACGGGAGACGGGAGAAGAAAGGGCGGGAAGCGGGATCTCTATGATGGCCGGAAGCGGGAGAGAAATTCCAAAAGGCAACCTTTCGTTAATTGTTACTGCTCATCATCCAGTCAAAGAAACGAACTCAACAACGTTTCTTGACTTCCATTTAACGTTCTCCGAGGCCCTAATGCGAGAAAAGTCAAAAAACGTAAATTCGCACTCGGGATTGAAAAAAGAGCATTACTTCTGGTGAAATTGGAAACCTTTCCAAGTCGGTTACATCATAGGTCACGAGTCCTCATGAATGAGGTGGCGTGACACATGTACATGTGTGTCGACTGTGTAAGTCGTGTCAGTGTCTCGTCTGTTTGACCTGTCTCGCAGGTAATGCACCTATCAATGTAAAGCCGAAGGGGGTGGGGGGGGGGGCATAGGGTGGGGATTTGATTGTCTTTGTTGTCCCTGGGGTAGGGCATTTGACTGATCTTGTTCTCCTGGGGGAGGGGATATTTGAATCTTTCTTCGCCCGACGTGGACATATTTGACTGCCGACTCGCAGTTTCCCGCATCTACGCTTCACGTACGCGCCATACGGTTTGAAAAGATCAGGAAGTCATGGAGGCCCATGAGAGCAAGCGAAGGCTGAGTGGACTTCACTGTTTTGTCTTCAAATTTCGTTTGTTTTAGGGTGTTTTTGATCAATTGAACCTGTTAATATAATGTGGTATCAAAGTAAACGGAAGTAAAGAGAAACCGAGCCGATTTTTGCAAGTACAGTTGATTAGTGTATGGCTCGTTCGCTACAATCACTGATAAAACTGACTTTGTTTGTACCCTTTACTAAGAACGGTATATCTAGACTTACAAAATGTGGACTTTCTCGTAAAAGTTTATGTATTCTACCCAGTGTGACACGGATTATGGTTAAAACGTATAATTGCAGCTGTAACAGGAACATGTATCTTTGGTGATGCAGCAACGTTTATAAAAGATTGCAGAGTTTTATTTGGAGATATTTTTATTGTGCCTTTCTTAGGTTCTGCCTTGGGACTGACAGCAATGTGCAGCCTGGGGTGCGGAAATTTGGTTGCATTTGACTGGAATGATTTGCCCGTGGGCAGGGAATTTGATTGCAAATTTTTGAAAAAAGTCAAATCCCCCCCCTATGCCCTGCCCCCCCCCCGCCGGCATTACATTGATAGGTGCATAAAATGTGGTCAAAGACCATTTTAATCGGTCTAAGTATTTTTCGGTGTAGTGTGGAAAAATCCGTACATGGAAGACCTTCCTAGGAGCTCGCTCCGTACGATTGTAGTTTGCAAAACACTAAAGACTTTACGGCGTGGTGCAAACTTGTGTCCAGGGAATGCAAATTCACTGATCGCTGGAGAGTGCGGAGTGGTTAGATATACAACGCAATTTTTTTGTTTTGGATAAGGCCAAAGCACTGCCTATTAGAATAGGAAGTCAAACAGCGTGGGGACGCTGTCCGGTTGGACTTCATAGATAACAAAGAAAAAGTAATAACAAAAGATTACGAAGTGCACGGTTGGTGTCATTTCCTAGCACTTTGCACTGTAATTTTAGAAACGTTCCCTCGACTCGGAGGAAGAGGAGGCAGACTTTACTGCTCTAACTAACATTTGGAGTAGGAGGAGATCAGTGCGACCTCCTCGGCGCATGGAAGACTTTTTCTAGTTTGTTTACTGTAGCAAAATACGGGCACTTTTTACACATATTGCAACCTGTTCCCTGTCCTGTTATTTAACTTGTAATAAGCCAATAAGAGCAGAGCATTCGTTTCTTCAAATACTTCTTGTTAAAATCGGACATAGATGCATCATTCCGATGTAAAAATGTATGTATAACCGTTAAACCTCCCCGCCGATATTTGATGAAAGATACAACTTCTCGAGCAAATATGAATAGGTTTGAGATTTGATAACCAGATAACAATAATACTCCACCAGCACTAAACTGAACGCTTTAAAATGCAAACGGTTAACGAACATGCAATTATTGTCTCGTTGAAGTCAGTTTTTATAGCTTACGACTTCTTACGAAAAATAACGAAAACTAACCGCGGTGGATATGCAATTAGTACAATTAGACGCTGGGAACTAGACAGGAGTACTGAACTCTACCGTAACGTTTGGCCCTTCGACTTCATTTTGGCATGATCCCCGTAATTTCGGGATTCCCAAATGCATGTTAATGCATCTTTGAAGACTGCAATAGCTATTACACTGCACAGTGGACTGAGACTATTGTCGCTGTAGTGGGATGTCAGAAGCGGTTGTCAAACCTAGATAACCAGGTTAGTGAAAACTCAGTTTAACCAAGAAAACTGACTAGTAACAATTTTCATCTTTGGCAAATTACCCTACAGCTTTAACACTAAACCCGGGCTTCCGATCTTTATAATTTGCATGATAACGGGAAAAATACAATAAAGGGCGGGAGTCGGGAGACAAAGGAACAAAAAGGTACGGGAGGCGGGAGAACGGGGTACGGGAAGCGGGAGGTTGTCACCCCCCTGTCCCCCCCCCCATGAAACAAAGTATTAATGTGGTTGGACTCAATCAAGGACACATTACATAGCTGTGAAAGGTTTGAACCTAGTGGTCATTTCATAAGTAGGTGGAGCATGATCTTCCGGATAATTATAGTCCTGAATAGGACTGTTGTTGTTTGTTTTATTAATAATATAACATGACACTACTACATCTATACCAATAAAGAACTACTACAAATACACTGATGTTGACATTGACTGAGGTTTCGACAATCTGTGTGGTAGTCATGACTTCAAAGTGGGTTATATTACTTCACTTGAATGTATTAAAAAAAACAGACTGAGTTTAATACCATCAACTGACAGGATACAACGCACTTTCACTCTGACGATGACTCTGAACAGTATTTGATTAATATGCCTGTGGGGATGACATTTACCCAGGAGTCCTAAGCTGTACTACATTAAACTGTATTTAATATTATATAAAACGTCTATTTAAATATTTATCCTTGTTTGTGATATAATTTAATTTTTGCAGGAAAATGATAGACTTTTTCAAGAGTGGTTATGGAGAAAACACCTACTGGAACAGATGAAGAAAGGACTCTCAAAAATAGGTAGTAATACCTTTTGTGGTTTGCAGAAAGTCATGATTAAGTTCATAACTATCTGAGAATGGTTAGGAAAGTGTGAATTGGTGAATTAGCCTTATTATTGCAGGGAAAGTACAATACAGCTCTGTATCTCACAGCACTTAGTGATGATAACAATAATATTGCAAGAAACCTCTCTCTTAAAATACCCACCAAAACTTTGTTACTCTATTTTTCTCAAATTTTGTTGGGACAGACTTTGTAAGAGAGATTGAGTTTTGTTTCATGAAATGGGAGGTTTGATAAAATACCGTAAAATTCCAAAAATAAGCCCCTCCAAATATAAGCCCCCCAAACTGGTGATGCAAAAAACCCTCCGTTAAATCGCCCCTCCAAATATAAGCCCCCGGGGGGGCTTGTAGCTTGTACTTGGAAAGTTGCCCTCAAATACAAAGTAAAACAACACAAAAACGGTAAATTTACTTCCAACCATGAGGCTAGCCCAATCGATTTGTGAACGCAAATTTCCCTCTGTAGATAAGCCTCTCCAAATTTAAGCCCCTCCAAAAATAAGCCCATCAAAAAGAGCCTTTGAAAAATTTAAGCCCCGGGGCTTATTTCGGAATTTTATGGTGTTGCTCAAAAGGGTTTTCATTAAATGTAATTCACTAACTCCGTAGGAGGCCCAGAACAGGGATCTCAGTGCTGCTTTGCAGACTTTACTAACTGGCCGGGGTTAGATTATATCTGCGACACAGGCTAATAATATTGATGTTGACATACAAATGAAATTTCAAGTAATATCTCCTATTATTGTTTGTTTTTTTGTGTTTGTGTTTTCTTAGGTCCACCTGATAAGCCAAGCAGTGTAACGATATCAGTTGCTTCTGAAGACTCTCTTCTTGTTAGATTTATTGAACCACTTGATGAAAAGGTCATTGTATCCAAGTATAAAAGTGAGTATGAATAGCGGGTGATTGTGGCCTCCCCAACCCCCAAACTCGCATCTTACACATGAGAATTTCACAAGTTCAACTGTGTTTTCACTATTCTTTTGAAATTTGACATTCATTTTCTTGGACTCCCATGAGAAATTTTCTTTGGTGTTATTACAGATGAGTAATTACATCTTTAGGCCTTGAAAAATGTAAAAAAAGAATGCAATATTCTTTAAATTATTATTCTGGTACAAGATTGTTGTCCACTGAGAATTAAAATTACTCAATTTCCTGGTGGATTCCGTCTTAAACTTTTTGCTTTGACTTGGATCTTTCTTTGCTGTTTTAGTTCAATGGAGCAAGTCCCCAGACTTTTGGTTATTGGAAGGAGAATATGTACTCCGTGATGTTCGGTCACTAGAATACACTATCTGTCATTTACAGAAGGTAAGCGCTTATCAATATTGGTCAGTTTCATTTTTAGCTAGCAGTGAATGGTACATTATTTGTTTATGAGTGACTCTTTTCTTACACTTGGTTGGTTCCTCCTAAACAAAGCATGATAGGCTGATTTCTCATTAAAGCTTTTGCTTTGGATATTAATACCAGCTTATTTTATTATTATTATTATTATTATTACTATTATTATTATTACATGATAACATGTTTATGTCCTTATTTAGAGTACCACCTTAAATGTAAGACATATATAAAGCCCTGTGCAAATGGATGCAACATTGTTGGCCAACAACTCCCAACACTGTTTGATGTTACATGTTGCGTCCATTTGCTTACCGTGTTGCATGTTCTTGAAAGTTGTATGAAACATTTCCCAACATTGTTGTTTGTAGCCTGTCAATGTTGGATGGCTGCGACAGAACTCCTGCATACCACAGAGTGATACTTAGTGCCCTTTCATTTTCTGTCTCAAACACATAGTTTTCCAAGAAATTGCTCTGAAAATCTATCTTTATAACTTTCGATGCTATCATTAAAAAAAAAGAACAAGTCCACAACAAAATGACTTTTGAAATTGCTTGCCTTGACACATTTTTAGTGATGGTGATTTGTGTGGGTAGGTTACATTATCCATCTTGGATGTATAATGTTCATTTATTTATTATTGTTTATTTTCTTTTATTATTTTCTAGTCTGTGTCATATTATGTTCGAGTTTGCTGTGGAAATCTTAAGAGTTACGGTTCATGGTTGGAATCCAGTCCACCTTGTGCAATGCCATCAAGTATGCTTAATATTTGTATTACTTTTATATTGTTATAACATAATGCCAACCACTATGAGAAGTGTAACTAATTCACTATTCATCCATGTGTGCACAAATTGTAAAGCAGCAGCACTGGTACTTTTTTTAGTGCCAATAAAAAGGATTGAACTACAAACTTATGTAGTTCAACACAACGTTAGTTAGAGGAAGGACCATCAGACGTATATTGCCATAATTCAGGGGGACACCACTCTTGATTGGCATGACCCACGTGATGTATGACCAATTTTAAGTGTTTTTTACCTTGAGGTTTTCCCTCTATCTCTCTTTCTTTTCTCTGTGTCCTTCCCATTTTTATGATATGCCTCCAATAATTGGAGGCATAACAATCACAGCTTTTTCTCACTGAGAAAAGAATTTCCAAACCTGATACCATTCTAACTTGAGTAAAGTCTTCTTATTTACCTATACATTGTTTTTGCAGCGTGGCATGAAGTAGATGATTCTAAACCTCGCTTCCAAGGTCGACTAAATGTAATAGACGATTTATTCAGTCGGGTGTGGCAAAGTCATGAGGAGTTTTCGCCAGTGAAACCAATATTACCCCACAGACCTCGCAGCAACACATATGGCAATGAAACTGGTGAGAAGCGCAGCTTGTGATAATATTAAAATTCAGTAATAATTCTCTAAGGTTTTTTACAGCCAATAGTCCATTTGCACGATGTTGTCTTTTTACTACTAAGACCAGGATTCATTTCGTCTCTTCTTTCATATTTAAATTTGTTAATCCCATTGAGGTTTAAATAACAAAACCCCTAATTTGCACAAGAAAGCACAACCCTGAAGGATTCTGGTAGTAGTAGTAAAATGACGTCATCGTGCAAATGGCCTATTTGGGAAGTAGTCTTAATGTGTTGAAGCGGCCTACAGTGTTGGAACAGTTACGTCACTCTTTCTTTACTAATAAAAAATTTGTCATAATCATGAGGTTATGGTGTCAAATGTAACATATAACATCCAAGGATAGAATTTGAAGGACGAAAGGACGAAAGTTTTGTTGTACTTAATATTTTTTGTTTACTTTTTTTGCATGCAGGATCTGATGGTGGAGTTTCCCCAAGGACAAGTAGGAAATCAGCCATGAAAAAGAGCCTTACAAAATACACCAATTTACTCTTCCACTCAGCGCCAAAATTTGCTAGAAATTTGAAAAGGTAGGATGTTAGAGAAAATCTCCAACTTCCTAATAAAATGTGAACTGGCATCAGTTTGCTTGCCTTTTAGTCTAAGTTGCCAAGACTGGGGTTCAAATTGAAGCCTTCGTATGTGGAGGTTGGGTGTGATTGGGCTGTCTTTGCTTCTCGTTGACTAGATCCACCAGGGTTCACAAGTGTGTCTTTGCAACATAATTCTAAGGGACGTCCTGCCAGTTGCCGTGTTATAAGTGGGTACTAGCGATAAACCACTGGAGGTAACCTTGCAACAGACAAACCCCCTTCTCTGCATCTGTAAATGATTAGACACTCTATTCTTCTGGGGTAATAAAGGATGAAAACCTAGGTGCCTCAGCATTTTCACTGATCCTAACTCTCGTGGGATGTCAAAATTTATATAAATATATTTATATACATATATACTGTACTTAGACTCCGGATGGCGTGGTCAACCTTTTGTTGGTTTGGAGGGTAAATGATGGGTTGATTTCAATAATTGTGATGAAAGTCCTAACTGTGAGGGCCTCTTTGTTATACAGTGTGTGATGTACTGATACGGGGCAAAAAAATAATGTCATTTTCTCTTTCAGAGGTGTGTACCTGGCTTCCCTTTTATTCACTGATGATGAAAAGCTTCTTGTAACGGTGGATGAAAATATCCCAATAATTGAAGTGGACGACAATCACCCCAGCACTTTTCTTCAAGACTTCTGCTGGTTCATGAAGGTACAAACTGCCATCAGCTGTTGTCCTTGTGGATTATTGTTTTGTCCTATGCTTGTAACACGATGCCTTGCTTTTTCACCATCTCATTTGTGTATTCCTACGCATAACGCCTTCAACATTAGTCTGCACCCTTTTCCATCCCCTCCTTTTGTCATAGGTGAAACGCCAGAAAATTTACAGGAAAAACTGCTTTGGTTGTTAATTGGCTATTTTACGTCAAAACAAATGCAAGCCGCATGTCTCGGACTCTCTTCCCCTCCCTTACAGAGTCTCTTCTCCCCCTCCCCCAGAGTCTGTACGGACGTACGGTCATAATCAAATTTTCTTACATCAATAGGCTTCCAATTTTTATATCAATACTGGCTCCGCTATTAATATTCAGCACGACGCTTATTACAGGAATTTGCAAATTCCTGCAGAAAAATTGATCGATTTTTTTTTCTTGTTTTGTTTGGATTTTTTTATGTCAGTTACAACAGGGTACCTAAGTACCTTTTCTTAACTGCACCATCTAACAAATAAAACAAAAAGAAAGCCATAAGAACCACTTACAAGGCCGTTAATGATTATCTTATCTCAGGTTGCGTGTACGTGGAAAGATGTGAAGAAATTAAAACATGAGATTGAGAAAAAATCATCATCAACGTCAGTACTGTTTAGATGTAAACTACTCCAAGCTGCTGATACTCTTCAGGTAGGAGCAGGTTTATGTCTACAACGGTTTGTATATCATTTTATCAAATTGTTGTCTGCATCGCTAAGCAAAAGTTCAATTTGGTGCATGGGGCTTTTTCGAGTTCGTCAGAACGCATCTTAATCTGGTGTTCCTGTGGCACCAAGGAAGAATTTTCGAGCTATCACGGGCGACTGCAAATTAGCCGCCCCTATTGATTTTATCGGGGGCACCTCCGCCGGGAAACTGGACTCCTTTCGACTCGATTTCGTTTCCGTAATTTTCCGTAAGTGACGAACGCGGATCCTTAATCAAAGATTACCTCTAGTTGATAGGTAGTACTTTCGGATTTGATTCACTTTCACACCGAGTTCTACAAGTATACTGCATGACCTTGCATGTTTAATTACTCGTCATCACTGTATTGCTAGACAGTCAGACACCATTCAGTGGCTTCTATTGAGTTTTAAGATTTAATCTTACAAGCGCATTGGCGAGAGCGCTTGCGTGTCACCATTATCGCCGGCTATACCCCAAGTTATGGGAATTTCCTCCCTCTCTAAAAAAAAAGAACTTCTCATGAAGCAAGTTCTTATTAGCTACTAGATGTTCTGTGGGTAACCCATTCGCGTTTACATTTAATGTTTTTACACAATGCATATTTTTTCTCACTCTATTCATACCGCCAATGATAATCGAAAGTTGCGTGTTTTTGTCATTGTCTTCAGGGAGCTCTTGGCAAGCAAGACCTCGGAAGACTGCACCACAAGCCGGTCAAAGACAGGAATGGCAGTACTCTGATTGTTGCTGTCAATTATGTTATAGTAAGTAGGATTTTAGTTCTGGTAAAGCTGCAACACAATTGAACTTTTGGAGGGCGGGGAGTGAAGAAAAATGCGTTATTGGCCAAGTCTGAGGTCAAGATAGCTGGATATTGGCCACAATAACCGTCTCTCCCCCAACCCTCTAAAAAAAAAAAAAAACTAGGCCAATATACAGCCATCTTGACTGAACAAGCTTGGTCAATGGACCTTTGTCACGCGGCGGCCGTTTTGTCTCAGGAGACTGACTTACTGACAGACTGACTGACAGAATTAATAAATGGATGAATGACCGGACGAACGAACAAACGAGTAAGAGATGGATCAGCTCTAGCACGTTTTCGCCTGTGCATGCAGCAGGAATGTATGAAAACGTGAATCATATACTGACTGACTGACCTAATAAATGAATGAACGAACGAACAACCGAACGAAAGAGCAAGTGAATCAACGAGAGATGGATCAGCCCTAGTGCGTTTTCGCCTGAACATGCAGGAGGTTAGCCATGAAAGTGTATATTCATTTGAAAGTCGCCTCTTATTTCTTAAACGCTGGATGATAATCAAGCCTGTAAAAGGCGAATAGCAGCAGTGATGTAGTTTTATCGATTGAACTGCACGATTCAAATTGAACGTACATACACTACGACTTAATGTACCCGTCATTCATTCGTAAAATAAGTTCATTTTCTTCATGTACTGTCATGATCAGCAGGCAAGCTCCTTCAAGCCACGTATCATGTCTTTAAAGTGGTTGTCTTTAAGTAAGCTTCAAAAGAAGATACAGACTTGTCCCCTGCAAGCAGGCTTACAGGATGAGCTGTTCTCTGCATCAGAGATGCTCCTCTCTTCCGTTCAGGTCAGAACAAATCTCACTGCATAAAGCTGCAGTAAAACGGGCTACAAAATAGTGCAACTTGTTTTGCAAAATTGCTGCAAAACGAATTAAATAGCGATGCTGCGCGTTGTAGCGCCTGCGAATCAGACCTGTCTCGCAGCAAACCAGGTTGTGGCAGGTTGCGAAAAGTTGTTGCAAAGTTGAGAGCAGTTCTATTTTTTCTTGCAACAAAATCTGTACATGTTGCGCAGGCAAACCTGTTTTGCAGCAAGTGACGCAAGTCCTGGGTATGGCGTGACTCCCTCGTAATTTTATCCAATCTGATGTCAGTATTCACACAACTTGCAACAATCTAATTTATTGCAAGGAAGGTTTGAGCGTGGGTGGTAAAACGCACATCATCGCTTTTGAACTCGTTTTCCAGCAATGTTGCAAAACAAGTTGCACGTTTTTGCCGCCCGTTTTACCGTACATTAAAGTACTTGGTACACCGCTACTTACTTAATTAAATACGCAGGTCGTACTCAGTCAGTACACACAAAGTTCTACGTAACGTATAGGGATGAATGAGGTTTCCCATTACGACAAAATTACCGTTCACCACAGTGAAAAGCATTGCTCAGGAAATTAAATTGCGCAAAATATACGAATTTCATCCAGGATCAAAAGTAAATAATAGATTACATGTTTCAAGTCACTCACGAGCTTCTGTTATGCGGTACGTGCAGTCTTGACCGGATTGTTTTTGTCTTGAAAGGCATCTGTAGTTGAAAATCACAGTCAATTCTTCATTAATTTTTTCCTTTTATCTTTTAGGAAAAGATACAATATTTTGAAAACAGTAAAAAGTGCCTCGAAAGGTGAGATTACTGATTCGAAATTTTAAGGGAGGAAGCAAAACTGACACAATACTACAGAGGTGGCATTTTTTCTCAAATATTTCGAACATAAACAAATTTTGATTCTCAATTTCTGGTGAACTAAAAAAACCCACGCTGGCGCTAAGCGATTTGAAATAAAAAGCTCTTTTTTTGCTTCTTAAGTGATTATGTTTCACAATGGCAACGAAGGTGCCGAAAAGAATGAGTGTGAATGCCATTTTCATAGAGTTAAAAGGAACCATTGGGGTCGGTTTGTTGACTAAAAAAAATGTGTTAGCGTACAGCCAGTGTATTTGGGGATGGGCTGGGGGAGGGGGGGCAGTGTGGTTCAAATCTAAAGAGACATACTGAAGGGTATATGGGTTAACCTTTAAAAAGGCAAACAAATCGCGAAAATCGAGGGGATAATTTACTTTTCGTCATCTTTATCATAATCTTCTTGGTTTTAAAAAGTCTTAGCCTGATAAGAAAACGATGAATCGAATAACTTGACGCTGAAGGAAACGACATTTTGTTTCTTGAAAGATTGTTGTGTCATCATAAGTTGGTTATTTTCTCTTACACAGGGGTCTTTACATTGGGTATCTGAAGCTCAGAACGTTTGTTGATGCGATTCACGTCGTGGTGCAGGAAAACTGTCCTAATGTTCTTCCGCATGTAAAGATACGAGATAACCCTAACGTGTCCAGGTGAGGAAATTATTATTAATTTAATTTTAAAATATCCCAGAAATTATTCTGTAATTCATCATTTCAAGCAGGGGCCTGACATCACAAGATGTAACTGAGTGGGAAAAAAATTGAGCAATCAAAAAATGAATCTTAAAATGAGGCTTTTGGAATGGTACCTTAGAAAGTAAAGGAATAGGCTATTTTTGTGTTTAGTGTCCCAGGCCTCTGTTTCAAAGCGAGGCTAAGTGCGAATCCACTGATATGAAAGTGATTTTTTATTTTCATGCAAATAAAATCATTTTCAAAAGAAAGGTTTTTCACTTTCTTCGTTTAGCGAAAAAGTAGTGGTGACAGAATTATGTTATCAAATGTTAGAAGTGTATTCATTTTGCGATCTTGAGAGGGCTTAACCTCCTTCAATGAAAATTTACTGTGTTAACTTTTCTGGTGAATAAATGTACAATAAAGTTTCCAAGGGTATCTTTTTTTTTGGAGAGTATGTCCTCAAATCTAGAGGGTCTCTGCACTGAGAATCGTCCTGAAACGTGATTCAAACTCGTGTAATTTTTGCGTCTGCAGAGAGGAATGGCAGTGGCTTCAAACACTAGATTCCTTGAAGGTGAGTTGGTTTAACAGAAGAGGGGTATGGTGCCAGTATGTGCCAACATTGCCTCACAACAATTTCGATTTGCGTATGACCGTTTAAAAGGCGCTTGTATTTTATGTACATTAACTTTTTTCCCAAACTTTGAACATTTGAAACAGCTGAAAGAACTGAATGGCGTAGATAAATTAGGAACTGAACTAGAAATTGCTCAGAACTGAAAACCCCTTAGCCTTTCCTTCCCAAAAGAAGACATTTTTGTATACACGAAGTCAGCGGTGACAGATGTATCATCGCGTGCGTGTAAACTAATTTTATATATGAAGTCTTCAGAAACAAAACGCAGAAGAACACAGAATAGCAAAGCTGCGTATTTGGAAAGAAATCATTTATGAGGCAGGCGTTAAAAAGGAGAATGGGATTTTTAGTCGTGAGAAGCGCGGAGAGAGCGCGAAGCGTGAAAAGCACATCCCTCACACGCACCTCTAGATCGCGCGCGTGCAACTTCCTTAACCAGCTGGACACGCAGGCTAATGAAACTGGGAAGTAAAGAATACAGAAAACAAGGAAGACTAATAGAAAAAGGTTTTGGCATGTTTATAATAAGAGTACTCTTTTTTTGTGCAAAGGAGGGAATACAAGAGCCATCAAAAACGGCGCATGAATTTCAAGCTCTAGTGGCCAAAGCCGCCGAATCTTTAATGGAAAAAGTTGGAATCAGTAAAGAGGTATGCTACTTACTGATAGATGATTAAAGAAAATCTCCTCTGTAAGAACAAACTGACCTTAAATTGTTCGAAAGAAAGTCAAAATTCATTTCTTTTTGTCAAGCTATGGAAAAGAAGAAGCTTATAGGAAAGTCGCGTATTTTTGTACAAAATTTGGATTATTTTTTTTGGTTGCTGCTATTGTTCTGTAGGGGAAAAAGGTCATTCTAGACAAGCGATTAACGTTATGGTTATTAATTTAAAATTGAAGATGGCCGAAATTCCAATCCAATTTCTTGTACGTTTACACTTTTTTCCACTTCTTTCCAAACTTGACACAGACGCCATCTTGTACAAAGTGAAAGGAATAAATAAATTGTCGCGCTTTAGAATATTATTTACACCTTCAAATGTTTGGTTGTAAACTGCCAATACAAAAACAGAGACAGAGAAGCAGTACTTGTCAATAGTTTACAAGTGAATGGCCACATTTGATAGCCTACTAAGCAGAACAACTGAAGCGTATTGTTTAGTCGCTCATTCGACTTGCTTAAAATAAAAACAAGATTTTTTTGTTGATTTCTAGCCTATACTGCAGAGGTGACTCTCGTCGTGTTGTTTTTCTGTTTGTTAGGCGTCGCAGCTTCACAGAATATACGACCGTGAAGTTGTTGAACTGGACGAGAATGTTTCATTTATTATCGTGTTTCCCCCTCCGGAGGAAGTGTGCAGTGCACCAGGGCAGCAGGACTCGCTCTCATCGCAGAAAAACTACATCTCTCTGTCAGTTCAAACCTTTGAAATGAGTAAGTTGTTGGTACTTTGCTCAGTTAAAGGAGCTGCATATGTCACGAAATTTATCAAAATTCAAAGGATAGGTACTGCCACCAAACTGAGTGAAACTTTAAAATAGAGCCATTTTCGTATGATATTGAAATGAAAACGCGCGAGCAAAACAAAAACCACAAACGCAGGGAAGTAGAGCGATTTGATTGGTTTCGGTAAGTGTTGGTTATTTGTTTTATCAGCCAGTGGGTGAAAAGATCGAAAAATGGACTCTTCGTTTTCCCGCCAAAGAAAACCCTAGTATGGAGAAGGCATTGTTCGATTGGCCAATCGTGTTGCAGTATGACGTCAAAGCGAAGTACCGATTGATTTCTAGAAAGTTCTTCGGGCATGAAGTTTTTTCGTCCGGGCGTTCGCTTAACCAACCAAAAGCCACGCGCGTTTGAATCCGTTCGATAACCAATCAAATCGCTCTATTTCCGTTCGTTTGTTGTTTCTGCTTTGTCCGCGCGTTTTCATTTCAAGGTCATACGAAAATCGCTGTAATAGATACCGCCCTAAAACAGCCACCTAAAGCTCGTTGGTGTGATTCTCAATTTACGGGGACATCTCTGCTGCGGTCGCAGCAATGTCCGTCGTAGAAAGATTTGGCTGTATAGCAAAATAATCCCGGGAATTAACAAAAGCACAATAACATTCTGCTGCCTTAGGTTTGTTTTCATCCAGGTCATGGCCCCCTCTCCCCCGTTCCCGTAGGTTTGCTTTCATTTAGACTCACAATTCATCGGGGGTACCGAAAGGCTATGGCACTCCTTGCCCCCTCCCCCTCACAGTTGATTGAGGGAATTCTAAAGACGACTATAACTTCGTTTGTTTGTTTGTTTGTTTTTTTCAGTTCACATGTACACATACCAGCAAGAATTTATCTGTCATTATTCTCGACTCTCGTCAGTTTTGGATATGGACACTGTTATTTCACAGCAGTCACTAAGAGAGGTAGCGCACAATTTGTCAGTTGAATACGCAACTTTTGCAGTAGTGCAAAGGAAACTTGAAAATTTTACGACACTCGCTACTTATTTGCTACTGATTTCGATATCATAGTTGTTGACCTAAACCTTCTCGCGCATTTGCATTATTAGCTTCGGCACATGTGATAGTGAAGTTCGACGTTTTAAAAAACCCTTAATGATCTGTCGTTCTTTTTTCTTCTTATTCAAGGCATTTTCAGCTCGCGAAGTACAGCTGGCTAAAGCACGACAGGACCAGCTTTTAAATTTTCAGCGGGTGAGTAAGCAAGTAGCTAATCAAGCCTTCCCTGGCAGAATTATTTTTCCAAGGTTTTGGGAAGCAAATTGTGCGGATTTTAGGGTAGTGCGCATGAAAGTGTTGCCTACTACCAGGGTTGCCCACTACAAGGGTTAAAAAATACTCGAATTCAAAAATGCTAAGTTGTATGAGAACAACATAAGCAGGAAGGGTCCCCCCGCCTCGTTTTCACCTGTATCTGTAAAATGGGCTATTCATTTGTGTGATATGTTTATGGAATGTTTTTGTAGGAGTTAGACGAGACATGGCAGGGAATGCGGTGGATATTAGACGCGCTTCATTACGCCAGAGATCGGCAGGTCCGAGGTGGAATACCGCTGGTCGAAGTGTTCGACTATTCGCTCTCTCATGGTGATGGCCAATGTTGCGTTTGTTCGTCAGATTTGAAGGGGAAAGTACTTTGCAATGGGCGGAGTAAGTTAATTACATTATGCCTCTCTCCTCCACCTCGATTTCTATCGCCCCCCCGCGCTTTTAATTTTGCCTCTCGTCGACTGCAACGAGAACGGCAGAAAACCAATAGGTTTAGATTAGCAAAACAACAACTTTGCACGTGCATCACGCTTCTTGGTACAATTCTATCGGCCGTTGTTGCCCGACTACAACGTGAAAGTGCCTAATTTCACGTTTTGTCGAGGACGGGAACACAAGACAACAACTTTCTTATTCTTTTCCTGAACTTTGATACAGTCCTTTAGAATTCAACTCCCAAAAAAATTTGCAACATTTGATGAATTGAACGAGATGGAATAAGCGCGATAAAGTTTGAAACAGCGCAAATTCACTCGTTGTAGCTTAAGCTCCCTAAAGAGGCCCCTTCGGAAGAGAGAGAGTTGATACTATGTGAATGCAATAAAACGTATTCTTCCCAGGGTAAAACCATTCCTAGCAAATCGATCAGTTTTTTAAAAAATGTGTAAAGTTGGTAGAGCTTTAAGGGCCGATTCCCTGGCGAATTTCAGCGGAATTTTAGCCTGGGCTGAAATTTCGGTCCGCTCTCTGAGCCGAAATTTTGCAGCAATTACTCGACGAATTTCAGCCGAGTTTAACCGAGAAGATAAACTCAGGCTACATTCACACGAATCCTGATACGTTTGGATCAATTCAGGTTTCTGGGAAACTGCCCACCTACCCCTCCCCTAACCCAACATTTTCCTTTAAGTGTTGTGTAAGTGTTGATGTTGACTTAGGGTCAGTTTCCCAGAAACCTAAATTGATCCATTTTTGAGACCGCCTACTTTTTTTTTTACTACTTTTTTTTTTACACGAATCGGCCTTCCGTCCATCCAACGCGAAACCAGTGAATCTGGACACCGAACCTGTTGTGTTTTGAAACCACTCTCCAGAACGGTTTAAGAACGGTTTTTTTCCACACGAATCTGGATAAAAAATAAGCGGGTTTAAACATGTCCGGATTCGTGTGGACGGGGCCTAAAGACTGACGTTTTCTTGATGTTGATGTTATTGTTTTTCTGCGCTAGTTGAACACGTGCGTTTTACAGCACGTGCAAAGGTGTTGAGCGTGCAGAGCTGTCGAAGCGAGCGTGCAGTATGGTTGTTTACGATTTTTTAAACTCCTCTGTCTCTACAACGTTGCAGGAAACAGCTTTGTACAATTAATTAAAAAATACGATGGAGTCCTTGCAGTCAGGTTTTCAACTTGAGCAGTTGAAACTGAATTTATTCTTTTGGGGTTGTTTTGACCCCTCAAGTTACCAACATAAACGTAGAATCACGTTTTTGACGGCTGCTGCTGCCTTATGCGCTTACTGGCCCGATGAAATAAAAACGGCGTTTATATTTTGAGCAGTTCACGCATGAGTCGTTTCATTCATGGTATTAATACTTGCGATTAACTATTTGCCAAGTAAAGAAGAAGTTTACCTCAAACTTACCATATGTAATAAGCTATTCCATCATTGCCAAAAGACTTGAGTTGCCAGATAAAGTTCGAGTGTCCAGTGCAAGCCTATTTATTGTGCGTTTATTGTCCTCAGGTTCAGTGGTGAATAGTCCAAAACTTGGCGTGATTCAAATTCATACGGCGGGAGAGACCAGCCTTCCTAACGGAGCATCTGTTACGGTAAAGTAATAGGAAATGTTAGTAACGACGACGGTGACAGCAGCGAGAGCGTCAAAGCGCAATAAGTTAACAAACAAAACGAAAAAAAGTGTGCTGCACGTGCAGCACACTTTCTTTGCACGACTGCGACGTGACGTAATGCGGCGTTTTACGTAAACACATGACAATGATAATCTGTGCGTGTTGTCCTTCAGCAGCATACAGCATTGGAAAATAGCAGTATTAAAAATCAAATGAGTCCTCTAACTGCTGTCAAATTGAAATAAAAGTTAGAAATCCGAGCTTTCTCCAATCGACGGCACCATTAGGGATTTCTTTCTCCTTAACTTGGGTTGGATACCTGAGAATTCACTCATTCAGTCAGTCCGCCATTTAACGTCGCATTAGGAAATTTCACGTCGTAGTTGTGCAGAAGGCGGCAAAGAAATGTACCAAAAAGTGTGATGAACGTAATAGAGTTATATATTTTTTTTTTCACGTTGTGGTTGCGTCGCCGTCGTTAGTTAGTGAGCTCCTAATCTCCTGATAATTAAATTGTAGATCACACTGACTCAACTGTTTAACTACTCGACAATTTTAGGTAGACATGAAGAGATACGTTGATAGGGTGAGAACTCAGTTCAGTAACTGGTTTTTGCTTGAAACGTTAGCTAGCGTTCGTAATTGAGGAGGATTTAGGGTATAAAAACAGTTACTCACGTTATTGACGACATCTCCCGAGCATAACGTCTTCCCACTCTAAAGAACCGCACTGATACATGGAGTGGTCCTGATATCGTATATGACACATCAAGTGTCATTCAAGATCGCGAGGAAAGGGATGGAGAAACGTTGCGAAAAAAACCGCGTGGGGCTGGGGAGAGACGGAGTCGTGGAGTACTTCGGCTGTCGCACACTGATTTAAAAATAGTATATTTTGTTCTCTATAGTTTCTTGTATTTCATTTTTTCTTTGTACCAGAATGGTGTGACCTAAAAGATGATGATGACCGAGAGCCTGGCACAGGCTAGTGTCATCGGTCATCTACGGATAAGATATGTCACGTGACTAAAAGAATCCGGATTCAAGTCCAATCCCCTTAATACGGATACCCCGATATTACGGACACTTTCTATGGTCCCCGCAGTGTCCGTATTAACGGGGTTTGACTGTAATGAGGAGTCCGTATCAAGCGGGTGTCCGTTTAACCCTTTAAGCCCTAAGAGAGATCAGCATCAAATTTCTCCTTGTGATATCATTGTTTGTAAAACAGAGTGGTCATGAGAATTACGGACATGATCACACAAGATGAATTTGCTTGATATTTTATCAACTTCTCCCCACTATTTCTGTAGGAAATGTAAAGGGGCAACAAATGAGAATTCAAATTTTGATCTTAGGGTTTAAAGGGATAAAGTGCCAACTGTATTTCTATTGTTCTATTAGCTCCATGTCACTCCCAACACAAGGGCAGACCAGGTAGTGAAAATGGTCGTGCAACAGCTTCACAAGAAATGTCAAGACAGAGACAAATCTGTGCCACGCCGGCATACACAACTTTCCGAGCAGAAAACAAAAGACTTGTGTCTAGTAGCGGTGATTGGTGGACAGGAAAAGTGTTTTAGAGACGATTTTAAACTCCTTCAACTTCAGAACCCTTGGCGACGAGGAAAGCTGTTTCTGAGGTTACGTTCAGAGGCTCTTGCAGCATCGTCTTCTGGTTATTTTACAAGCGTTTGACTAATATAGAGTAAATAGTAACGGTCTGTTTATAAAATAGTTATAATTTATTATGAATTAAGAGATTTTACCCCCCTAAGATCTATAGGGGTTCATCTTGTACAGGTTAACCTTTAGGGTTGCTGAATCCCCAAATACTTTTTTTACTATTCCCTGATCTCTAATGACGTTATGTATACGCACCATTGAATGTCTGCCGGAAATAACACAGCAACAATTAGGCTATGTCTGCACTATACCGGTAGCTGTTGCGTTGGAGTGTCAACCAGCATATGGGAAAGGAGTTTCTGTTCGCGCATGAGAATAGTGATTTCAGCGCGGTTTCTTTAACGGAGCGAAACGCCGCGCGGGATAGGTTTCTCTGCCACTCTTTGGCGCAGTGTGAATAGAAGTGTTCTCACTATAGAGTGTAGAGTGTTTTCACTCACGTGACCAAAATCTATGCAAATTTTTGGAACAAAAGAAAGCGTTTACATAACTTAAGAAAGGAGTTCAACTCCCAGAGAACTGGTTTGGGGCACCAACATGGCCGCCGTTTCATTGTTTGGAACACCAATATGGCCGCCGTGACGTCATGTGAAAACACTCTATACCGGATAGGTTTAAATGTCGACATAAAAAAGCTGTACGGTGTAGTGTAGACATGCCTATGACTGTGTCTACACACATGTCGTTAACGTATACAAGCGTCTATCCACAAGTGGACTTGTAAAGCACTTAGATGGCCCTCGTATAACAAGTTGAAACTTGTTCAACGGAAGAGAAACTTGTCTCCGTTTTCGGTTCTTCTGTTCCAGGCGTTTTGATAGAAGGGAAAATGGCACTTCCCTTTATCTGAAATCCAGGGACAGGAAAAAATGTAGCCTGTGAAAACAGCCGACATTGCTCGACACCACGAATGGTTTCCCCGCGAAATACCATGCTGATGACGTGTCACCAACCAGTTTGGGATAGTGCTTCTGATTGGTCATGCCGCAAGGGAGATTTGTCTCAACCAATCAGAAGCACTATGAAATTTCTGCGTTCGCTCCTCGGACTTTACGCGATCCAACCAAATCTGATTTCGCCTGGTTTTTGCGGTTATTTAAGCGGTAAATAATTTTCGTTCGTTTGAGCGAAGCGAATTACAACGTAAACCACTTTTATGAGTTTATTGTTGGATTTGGTCTTGTAACTGTTAACATTCGTTTTTAGAATCGTACTCTTGTTTTTTTTTGTTGTTGTTGTTGTTGTAGTTTTGTTTTTCCCCAGTTCTCGTTATATTCGAACCTTTCGGTACGATATTATTGGTGTTTTTAGAAACTTAACTATAAATTGTCTTTCAAACAGTATTTTTGCGTCGTTATATGAGGGCTTTTGTTTTTTACCTACGTTTGAACGCAACCCCCTCACTTCGTTTCCTTTCGTTTGATCATCGTTTAAAGAAATGTTCTTATGCTTGGAAAAACTTACAACTCTTGACTCGTTACTGAAGAGAAAATATGTAAATAAGAAAAATGTGCGGGGCTTCAGCAAGATAAACTTAGGTGGCAGGTAGCATTCATACGTGTGTTACAAATCTCGTCTGGATGGAGGAGATTTGTGGCAATCTTGTGCAAGCTGTTATCAGAACACAACCAATTGGATAAACCCTAGTTACGCAAGATGGGCGAATCCATCGTGAAAATTAGACCTAACTTTCAAGTGTAAGTATAAAGACAGAAGTTGATGATAAGACTATTTATGAAGTTTAGTATGAAAAACCGTAATAAACAAATAATATAATGTGAGATTTGTACATAACCAAAGTTGTGCAGGCCATAATAAAGTGTATTGAATTATTTTTCTCTTCTTCAATTGCTGACTTATTCCCTCTTAAAGCTGAATTTGGTGCACTGTTTGAGGTTTGTCAAACAACGAATTTATAGACTGGTAAAAACTTGGTCATGTGATGGAAAATAGTAAGAGGGGGGTCACCGATCGTTGCTCTCCGCGAAAGTCATATCTGGCTAAAATCGAGCAAAACGAGACCCAACCCATACCCTTTACCCGCATAAAATGACTTAAAACGTAAACAAGACTACCTCTTATTCTTCTATCAAAAAACTGTTTTTTTAATCCACCGAAGCGGGAGCCCATTTCTGATCAAAGAAATTGGGCAGTTCTTGAGTGAATATTTTGGTCACGTGGTACATCACGTGACCAAATTACCTTTTCCTGTTTTGGGCAATGTACTAAATGACCGGCCTAGTACCCAGGCGCTCGGCTTGGTCAAACCTGGAATCTACTTTTGCGCGGTGACGTCACCTAGAGAGTCTTGCGTCACTCGCCCACCTCTTCCCAGACTTCACGCAGACAACAGGGCAAGAGAGCACGCCTTGGCACTGGGCTGCGGAATGACGGCTTTTTTTTAAACTTCTCGAATGCAGCCCATTTCTTTCCCTATCATTATGTGAAATCATACTTCAAATTTTGTAGCAAACTCTTGTCTGGTAAATTTCAGAAACTTCAAAACCGTGCGGACCGCTTGCAAATCCCGACTAAATTATTAAATAAGTAGGTTGAGTATGATCGTCCGGGTGAACGTAACTACCTAACCTGTGCGGTAGTCACCTTCAGTTGTGTCAAGTCAGTTGATAGTATTAAACTCTGGTCATTGACCGGATTGGTCCAATTAAGTCGCGATGCTATTGGTCGTCTTTCAGTTAAGCCGTGATGTTATTGGCTATGAAGACTCGTAATGTCATTGGTGCGTTTCGATCAGTCTATTGTCACCGTTAAACAGTCGTTTATTGTTAGTTCAATTGTCAGTTGTCCAGTCGGCAAATTGTCAGTTGTCTAGTCAGTTGTGACTAATGCCAACGTCATTGTATTAAAACTGTGAATCCATTAAATTAATTTGATACCAATAATCAATATTAAACAAAAACCAAATGCTATAGACAAATCACCCAAGTGCTTGACATTTGACTACAACAGCTCTTAATTTAATGATCTCAACTTACTTTCTTTTCTTTTGCGGGGTACTTGGTATCCCATCACTTCATTTTTACCACTTGATTAACGTAATTTGTACATGTATCGAATCTTTTTTATCGTGCCTTGTAATTTAGCATACGGAAGAGATTTTTGTCTGCAAATATGGTATTCACTAGGACTTTTAGCCTGCGAACAAGCCTTTGCCTCAAGAAGCTTAGACAATATAACATTTAAAATGTATCAAGATAAATCATACTTAGGAGCTTATTAGTCCTCGGCTATTGTCATCTACAAAACAATCTACAAAAAGGTTAACTAAAATATAAAAGTAATAGAATTTCCTGTGTCGCGCCCTGTTCTACAAGTCTGACAGTCACCAACTGCAAATGGAACATTTTTACAAACAATGTCTGGACTAAGATTACACCTATGCGGAAAGTGCAGGATCCTATTGTGTATTATAGGCTCCTTTTATGGTCAATCAGCTGTTCCCTAGGTAATAGAGAGAAGTGTGACGTAATGTTACCATGGTAGCAAAATTTCTGGATCACAACAATAGGGAACATAAGCAGCGACGACGGTGACGCGACCGCAAAGAGAACGGCAAAAAGCAATAGGTTTACATTAGCAAAATTACAACTTTGTACGTGCATCACGCGTTTTTGTACATTTTTTAGCCCTCGTTGCTCGACTGCGAAATGAAACTTCCTAATTTCACGTGCCTACTTTACGCAGTAGGTGAACACAACAGAAAAATCTTTTCTTTCTTTTTTTAAGCTTAGATTCGGTCTTTGGGACTCAACCCCAGAAAATTTCGCCAACATTTGACAAATTAGATGACACTGAATAATTTCGATGAAGTTTGAAACAGTGCGAATTCACTTTTTAAGAGACATTTTCGGTTTTTTGACACCCAGAAATTTTGCTACCATGGCAACGTGACGTAACGACTTCTCGTATGTGTGCAACCCTATTAGAATGATCACCACTTCTAAGCCTATACTAGTGTGGTAATTTAGGCAACTGAGTGCCATCATGACATGGCCTCAAAATAGCGAAACGAGGGAAGTATTATGCCCAAGGCGTTTTTCTGCAGTATGCTTTCCATCATAGCTTGCTGGCAACAATGTCACCCAAATTGCTAATATTCGATTGAGATTGAGCATGGATTACCAAAGGAGATGGAGATGATCAAGTTTGATTGGTGGATTAACTGTCAGTAAACACGTAGATGGTTTCTGACTGGCACATACAATTCCAGCTACTGTATGGGCTCCCTGTGGCGCAACTATTGCGGATTTTGCGCATTGATGATCGCATTCTGTGTCCACGTCACTTGCGATCGCATTAAGGAAAATAAAGGGATTTCTTCTTGTAAAATATTTTCCTTACTTTTTGGCATAAAAAAGTGTTCGTCTTTGACTCATAATGAACTGAAATCCATGACCGGTGTCATAAACTGCTGGAGGAAACCAACGCACTTTTATTTGACGGCAAACGCCCATAAACCAGCTTTTAAACATGCATAGGCCATGAGAATTATAGGGAGAATGGGTGAATAACTCAGTGACTGGTCTGATGGATTGTGGAAAGTTTTGTTCCAGGTGCAAAGCAATATCTCCCTTTGTTGGCTCATGAAACTTAAAGAAACACCATTTTTGAGAAACACCATATACTAGATCGACTTTTGCGCTGTCTTCGTCCCACTTGTGCTCTGGTGTGGACGCATCTTCAGATGTGTTAAAATTGTCCCATAGTTTTGTAATTGTACCCAAAGCAAAAACGTTTCCTTCCTCTGCATCAAAAGTGGCTGTCAGTTTGCCAGTTTGGATGGCAATAAAGTCATTTTCAACTTGCCAAATATCATTCACCCATTTATGAGAATGTGAAGTATCTAGCAGTAATATGAGTCTCGCACCTGTTTCGGCATTTGTGTTTCTCCACCATGTCAAGATGCTGTTAAGTGAGAGTGTCTTGTTCTCTCTAAGAAGCCAGTCACCGTTATCCTTCACAGGTCCACTGTAGTAAAGAATGTATGTGTCATAGTGCAGTCTCGCGTTTGAAGGAAGAACACATTGATGAAAAAATGAAGTTATCTTTTTCTCTATTTCGTCAGCTGAGATACCACTTGGCAAAAAGTCTGCACCATAGATGTAAATCATGCGTCTTTTGAAAAATCTAGACACTATAAAGTTAAGTTCTGTTGCTTTGGTGTAGACAAATTGGAAAACACTTTCTGCAAGACCGATTACTTCCCCAGTAGGGCTGTACTTACAATCAGGTACGATTATGGAATAACCGATAGCTGTTCCTCCCACAGACTTACCCAGATTGTTTATGAAGTCATGCACAAGTAACTCTACAGGAAGAACAATAAACATCATTCCGATGAAGCATGGATTTTTTCCCTGCCACGATGATGCAATTGCAATAACTGTTGAAATTATCGTACAAAATGTAACGTTGATTAAGACTAGGCATAAGTGCCTGACTCCCTGTGATGCCATTATATGAGACATGGCGCTATCACTGAAATTTCCCGTTGAGTCTGCAATATTAGCGCATTCCTCAAGCTTTCCAACAAATCTCCAACAAGTTAAAATAAACATAATATGGATTGGCACCCAGTAAATGGACATCAGTATGAAGATGAGCTTTCTATATACTGGCAGTTCAGGTTCATAAAAAAGCTGCATGCCTAATCCATAGAAAAGGACGACTTCCAAAACCGAAATTACAAGTATCTGCAGTCTGTGAGCCAAGTAACCGTAAAAGATAAATTTCTTCCAGGTCCCTAACAAAGACAACCTTGAGAAGTAAATATCGATGACTGATTCGAAGAAAAGATGGACAATGAAACATGATAAAATGTATGGGTTGCAGTGGACATCAATGGCCGGAAAGAAATACACACTTCCCAAAAAGCATACACAGCAAGCACTCAGAAGGGTCACGCTTGACTTCATATGAAACGCCATTAGGTGAACTGTTACTGCAACAGTTATTGTTAGCATGCTTGGTCTGCTTGCAAAGTCCATCATTCCAGTAGTACACAGAAATCCCACAAGATACATGCACTCCTCTGTTGAAAGGAAGATCGATTCATAAGAAGCTGTCCCACAGATTCTTACAGTAAGAGTTTTGAGGACATGGAATCCTGTGCTCGTTATTACAAGAATATCAGTGCTATCCAAGTCTTGAAGAGAATCTATTGGACGATCGAAGGCAATTTCTGTAAAAGATAAAACACTGAAAAGCACGCCCATCCAAAGATGACTGAGTACTTTTCCAAAATGTTTGCATTCACCTAAATAAGTGACTAAGGAAATCAACACAATCCCAGAAACTATGATCACAACAAGAAAAATACTGCCATCTGTCGTGTGATGAGCCCATCGCTCTTTGATGCCATTTGAAGCTCCAGCGAAGAAGAAAAGAAATTCAAGAAAGGAAAAGGCAGAGGTGAATTTAGCAACTGTGCTTGAAGCTATAGGTAACATGTTGAATTAACAAAGTCAAACACCAGCGTTTGATGAATAAATTATTCTATTAGAACGTTTCCGTGTATGAATTAGCATGTTTTAAGACAACATCTGCTTGGTTATAGGAGCTGCTATAAGGTATCAATTACCTGACAAACTTCAGACCACGAAACGCGGAAGCAACAGAACCTAGGGAATTCATGAGAACTTAATACCAAAGAATGACTCTAAGTTAATAAAGAAACGTTGATCTCCTCAGTTACTTTTAAGGGAGTTAAAGATGTTACGACGGTGACGGCAACGAGGAGACAAGACAAGACAAGACATTTATTATCATAATATTGCCTGTACAATTTCGTGGCACGCAGTTAGCAAAAAAAAAAAACGCTAGTCGAGGCTTGCCAAATTAATTCCATTACAATTCAGATATTACAGATAATAAGTAAAAGCAAAGAAAAAGAAAAGACGAAATATGTGTAATAAAGTCATAAGCAAGAAAGACAAATCTGTTTAATGCAAGTTGTGAAAGGAGCTAGGATTTAGGAATTCGCGATTTTATTTCTCGTGTTATCATGGTTGCATCAAGGTAATCATCGTTGTCTTTTAATATTTCAAAGAGCACGCACTGATTAATTTTCGTTTAAACATTTTTTTTTTTACATATCTTTCATTCTACCTGGTATCTCATTCCACAATTTAGTTAGCGCCAAAAATTGGGACGGCTTGTCTTAGTTTTCAAGATTAAATTTTTTGATGTACATATCATTTTTAGAGGATGATCTTGTGTAATATGCATGAATAGATGATGTCTGCGAGAACAATTAACAATTTTTGAGGGTGCAGTATTAGTATGAATATAATGCATTAGGTAAGATACGGACTTAAAATAGAGAAAGCTAATTGGCAGGATATTTGCAACAATAAAAAGAGGAATGGCATGAACATTCCTGTTGGCAAAAAATATAAAACGGAGAACTTTTTTCTGAAGCAATAAGATTTTGTTAAATGTGTTCAAAAAAGCAAAAGAATGAGCTCAGTAGCAAAAGAACAACTTTTCACGTGCGGCACACAGTTTGGTTCATTTCTTTGCCTTCATTGCACGACTACGACGTGAAATTGCATAATCTCTCCATTTATCGAATTGAAGAACAAAAGGGGGGAAAGAGCGAAATGAGAGATCTCCTCTCCCATCCATGCAAGAAAACCGTGTTTCCGCTTTTTTATCCTCGTCGTTTTTATGATAATCAACAAAACTGCGACTTGAAAGATTGTCTGGGCACAGCCTGGTTTAAGGTGCATCCGACGACTATTTTCTGTAAAATGTCGGTTCGGAAAAGCAAATCAGTATTCCCTACAATTTTCTGTTATTTGAGGACGACTAAAAATTTCTAGATGACAGTTCCTTTCATGTACAATTTCCGAAGCTTATCTCATAAATCCCGTACGATTTTGTGAAGTTTGATTTTTCATATTTCACTCCCCAGGTTAGGCTATTTTTGGAAGAAAAAAGGAAACCTAAAATGTTCGGATTCAAATATGTGATGGAAAGAAGACTTAGAAAAATTCTCACTTTCGTAAGACGTTAAATTGCACAGAAAATTTTCTAAAAAATAATACCGAAGCCCTTGTAATTTCGAAAAGACTCAAGTTCGCCTTATGACCGAGCAGATACAAGTTTTATAGCGCCGCTTAGAATGCGTTTCTAGAGATCTAAAAGTACTCTGGATAGCCTGAAAAGTGTTTTCAATGTATAAAGGTTGGAAACCGTCGTTGGGTGCTGCTGTGGTTTATCTTTTTGCAAAATTTATGGTTCCAGTACCACTCACTTATTACGCTTACTCGATCTAATAACTGCATAGTTTTGATCGTAAAGCCGGGTGTACTGCAACTTAGACGTTAACCGGGGGCGTTAATTTGTTTTGGCCTCAACGTTCTCTTATACTGGTCAAGGTTCTAATTAAACAAGTTTGTATCCTTGACCCGGTTATAAGACACTGCTAGTGTTGATTCAGTTAAAATCTTTTCTTTCTTAATTTAACCGCGGTCGGCCACTTCCAATCTTTAACTAAAAAAGATGAACAACCTTTTCCTCGCCCAGCTCTGGATGCCCATTTTGCACGCGTTGCTTGCCTTTACAACTCTTCCCACAATTCCTGTCATATCGTGCCCAGTTTCGCGCCAGAGCGAAAAAGGAAATCCACAATATTTAGAACAATAGCGAAAATTTAAATTAGAGGTCTGTTTCAGCAAGCTCAAGTGCGTGTTGGAGTCAAAATGGTTGCTACTTGTTTTGCGAAGAAATTCAGCGTTGTTGCAAGAGCTCTGAGCCTTTTGAGTGACCCCAGACGAATATAATTGTGAGTAAACTTTCTTCTGAGGTAACGTGATCTACAAGTTTCTCATAGTTCAATGCAGTTTTCTAGGGTTAGCTTACAAGCTGAAACATCTCCTTCAATGTATTGTGTCATTTTCTTACTTCCTTAAGTTTCGTATTCTGCTTGTTTCGATGTAAAGTCGAACCGCTAAAAGTGCTCTTTACCTTATGAAAAGCCTTAGTAATGTTGCCATGTCAGGGTTTTAATGGTAAGACGTGATACTTTTAGCGATATGGGATGTCAAAATCAACATAGTTTGCATGCAGCGACACGACTTTGCATTGTAATATAATCGTAACGACGTCAGTCCATTTACTTACACATAATGCGTGAGTGGACATCCTTGCAGCTGTTGGTCTGGTTTTAAATTTAGTTGGCACCACCTAGATTTTGTAATTTATACGTGAAGCTGTCTTCAGTCTTGTGGTAGTGCTGTGAAGGGTACTTCGTTTGTCCTCATGGGAGCAACTGAGGCTATATGAAACCCGACCCTGTGTAGGACAAAAAGCACTGGTTAAAAAGAAAAGTTTCCAAAAAATCCAGTTGGAAAGTAATGGAATGTAAATTTTTAGGGTTTGCTCTGGGGGAAGATTCTGAAACAAACAGACTTAAGCAGGTAGACCTGGTTGGGATCAATGTTTCAAACAGTGAAAGGGGGTAGTTCTCTTCCCATCAGTGTGCACCCCTACACACAGATTATAATATTTATGGCTTAATATTGGGTACAATGTTCAATATTTCGAGATCCATATTATCCAATTCGAGACTTCAAGACGAGTCATTTTTTTATGGAGACTGAGACTCCAAGACTCTTATTTTAAATGCTGTGTTTTTGAGACTCGGCTGATATTTTTTTGAGACATATCATTTTTGATTGACCATTCTATACCCCATTAGTGAATAAGTTCTAAGTATCACCTTCATTTCTTTCAGATAGGGAAAAATGTCACATGAGATTAGCAGACGAGGAGATTCAAGTTTGCAGATTTCCCAGGCATGGAAGTACACCTCCAATGTTGGTTCCATTCTGGCATCTGTGTTTGCTTTTGTCATGGAGTACCCCATAGTCACCATGTTCATTGCCATTTTTGTCGGGCTTTCCGCTTTGCCTGTTGTGCTGTTTATGTCATTTGTGCTGTATAGTCTTCTCTTTACAATCCTTGGATTTGCATTGATCGAAGGAACGCTTCTGATGTTTGCAGTCTCGATGCTTAGTGCTGTCATATTTTTTGTCTTCTTTGTCTCTGTCTGTGTGACAGTTCTGGCAATGTTGACGTGGACCTCTGCCACTATTGGATTCAGCTTAGCACAGAAGTTGCAAGGGACAGTTCAGTATTTATTTCCACATTGGAATTTAAGCTTGGAGACTTCACCCAGTCCTGTGACAAGACATTCCAAATCAGACTGATGCACAGTGCTGTTAGCCTGCTTTGTGTAGTTGTTTTGGTTTAGCATAAGATTCTACTTACCCCTCGCCTAACCCAACATTGACACTAGTTACTGAACTTCCTACTTAGCGCAAAATGTTGGGTTTATAGGGGAGGGGTATGTGGGCAGTTTGCAGAATCTTTCGTTTCATAGGGAGATAGAGCTTGGGGTGCAAGAAAGAGCAGAAAAAGAAGCCTCAAGGGTCACATTCAGCAGTGGAAGATACTGTAACTTTCTTCTGCCTTATGTACTTTGAAGCGGCAACAACTGCTTCAAATGTAGGCTATAGCAATGAAAGTATTTAAATACTGTCTATTTCTCATTAATAAGGCCATTGCTGCAAAATGCTTCATTTTCCATCGCCCAATGAGGCTGCGCTCCAAGAAAAATTGAATGAAGGTTCTCTGAACCTGTGAAATTCAGTGTTCAGTGTAGGATTCGTTTGAAAAAGGCTATGATTTACTGTTTGCCCAAGAGCAAAAGTAAAGCATTAGGGGCCAATGGGTGCTGCCAAAGCACAGCTCTACCCAGACTACCCTTTCCTCAAAATAAAATATGTACATAAAGCTAAGCATTGTAAAACCTCTACCTGACTGACTGACTGATATCACCAAAGGTATGAGAGACTGCGATGGGAAAAGAAGCATGAAGTAGGAATGGCCAGATCAAAGGTAAAACATAGATGCTAAAGTATGGATTCTATGACTAAAACAAAAAATGGTCATTTTATTAAACTTATATTTAAAACCAGCTGAAGATAATATTGTAAATGTTGAGGAAAGTTTAAAAGCACATTATGAGCTTGGTTTCTCCTGAATTACATTGTATTAATTGTATTTAACTCATTTAAGTATTGAGTTGTAAGATGTTTTAAGGCACCAATCATTGTTATTACTAAGTGGAATATACTGTCAGTGATGTTTATTTATTTTATAGCATAATAATTGCAGTTAACTATTGGATGATCTGATGATCTGTAAAACAGATGTTAAACAACTAGTGCAGGTAAAAAAATTAATGCAGTCAAGTCAGAACTTGCCTTTGAAGAGTAATAAACATATAACCTAGTATACAAATTTGTTGTTCATTTCCACCCAATAAAATTAATGAAACTATGGCAGTTATAACTGCAAACCCCTCTCTTACCCCGACCCCCACCTCATGAGCCACAGGTAGCCCAATCATCATTGTAGCCATCGACATAATGTTACATGGTGTGACAGCATAAATGTAAGAGTTTGTATGGGAATGTTCAGTCACGCAGAGCAGTTCAAAATAATGTGAAGGAACGGAAATAAATATTAGCGAGCTTAAACAACAAGAATGCTGACGCCCTGGACGTCATCAATAGCAACTAGAAGTTCGATGTCTTGCTTGATGGAATGCTTCTGTCTCACACAACAAATCTGAATGGCTTTGTTTTACTACCCCAGTACGAATTTGTTGAGTCAGAGCACCGAAAGAGAGAAATTATCAACTTCCAGTTGCCACTTTTGACGTCCAGGACATCAACATAGCTGAAGGTCCCTGATGACTGTCAGACTCCTTCTCTTGTGTGTATTACTTGTAGTTATGTGGCATTTGGGGCCATTTCAGAGCAGTTCCAGCAAGTTTTGAGTTCACTGTTTTCCTTGCTGTATATCATTTTGTCAAGAAAAACAGTGAACTTAAAACTTGCTCTGAAAAGGTCCCAAATGCCACAGAAAGACAAGCAATACACAGAAGAAAAGTGAGGCAGTCGTTTTTTAAATAAAATAATAAGTAGATTCCAGTAAACAGAATACCCATTAAGCAGCCACTTTCTTTTGAACCAATGGTGGCCTGTTAGGCTGTATTATCTCACGTCTACCTTCCGCATGACACATTTCCTGTTCAGATCAACCTTCCAAGTTTACAGTCTATAGCCCTTTGTCACGTGTCGAACATTTTGTCTCAGGAGATTTAAAAAGCTTTGTTTATGCAAGGCTAGCCGTACATAAACAAAGCTTTTTAAAACTCCTGAGACAAAATGGCCACCTTGTGACAAAGGTCTATTAGAGTGCTGAATTCTAACAGAAGTGGTGCCTGGAATAAAACTCTGACCAACTTCTGATAAACGGGTAGATTCTCCTTCAATTTGCCTTATGTCCGCTAGTGAGTCAAAGGGAAAATTTGACTTCAACCAAACAGAAGCACTATCCAGATGTCGTCGGTATGGAATATTTTCTCTGCTTGTTCCAAAGATGTCATTTCTTACAAAAACCAGGCTGTTTTCTTAGGAAAACTTCGCGAGAGATTCAAAGAATAAAAAAATTGGAGTTTCACGACAACACACAACCACGCTAGACTGTAATAATACATTTTACTCTTTGACATCAGGCCTCTTATCAAACTTTACATGAAGCGTTATACTACCAATTTTATGAGAACTACTACAAAATCAAAAAATATCTTTTTTTTATATCTAAAATAACTTTGACCAATGAAAATCAATAAGTAACTACAACAACATATCTGTCTAATATTGTCTGTAGATTGCAGCTCCTTGTACAAAGCATTTTTCTTAAGGAGAACTTGTGAAAACGTTTGAGAGTAAATGAGAATGGCAACAACTGAAAAGGAATACTCAACTTTAAGTTACTAGTTGCTGGAAAGTAGTGAGAACCTTTGTTGTACTTTTAACTTTTTGAGGTCTACATATTTAAAAGTCAAGGTTCTCCTCAAGTGCCGGCAGCCGGCTAAAAAAAACGGCTACTTGGAGGTTTGAGCCATCTACTTTTTGGGGAAAAAGGGTTTAGTGAGCGAGTGAAAGCCTGAATTTGCCTACAGCACTCGATTACAAAGCTGCATGCCTACTTTTAAATGCTAGGTGTCTACTTTACAACTTAATGAGAACCCTGAAAGTTATAATATATTATAATGTATGTTCCACATCTATCCCACCCTGATCATGTTTAGGTTTTGGTTAAGGATTTGTTTTTTGGCTTTTAGGTTTTTCGGCTAGTTGTAAAGGTGTTTTTGTTGACAGTGTTGTAAGTTTGTTTTTGATTAATTATGCATCCAGCTATAAATAATGAAACAAATTCACTAGCATAAATTATATTATGAATGGTTAAATGCATAAGTTATCGCCTTGTCCTAATCACATTACACATTTTCATATACATTCTATGTTAAAAGTTGGCAATAACAAATGCAAAAACCCACAGCATGGCTGGAGATAACTGCTGCCAGCCATACCAACATTATTATTGTGCACATGAAAAAATAATGGTAACTTAATTTGAGAGCCAGACGAGAAGATTTTTAGCAGAATGCAATGTTATCTTTGTTATATAGCCAATGTGTGTACATGTAACCATGTTACACAATATTAGTAATACAGCATAGTAATGTCTCAAGTTCTTCTGCAAACTGCTAGTTACATTTTTCAAGAAATCATTGAACTGGCAGCAGCAGATCGAGGATCCATAATACTGCACTTAAGCCCTGCATTCACCCCAAATAATATTACAATAAAGCTTTTCTAATTCTACAGAAAATCAATACCTCAGCCCCATTACATTATGTTGTAATAATAGTAAAGTTGTTGATAGTAAGTCAACTTAATTTGATTGTAGATGTCACTTGTGCACAAGCTTCCAAATCAGATTGAAAGAGAAATCTTATTCTGTATATCAGATAGAGCTAAAAGAATTCACCAAAAACCAGTTATCTTGAAAACATTTTCATTCTACAAGGCTGTAATTTAGCAGTGCTCAGAGGCTCCTTCTGATTTACTTTCTCCTCGAGTGACTAAGAAATCTTAGTTCAGAGCTTTGGGTTCCTAACAATAAAATTCTAGTCATTAGAACACAGCCCTGTTCTATCTTGGGAACAAAACTTGAATGATCTTATTACTTTATTACTTAAGACAAAATAAACAGAGAACTGTCTGGAATTAATGTCTATCTGCAAAAAAGCCCAACAGATAAGAAGTAAACCACAAGATGCAAGATTAATCAAAAGGTTGTTTCCAAAAGGTAAGGAAGAAAACCAATCAAAAGAGAAGCCAAGAATTCATAGCACCAGAAATAATCAAGTAAATGTCCACTTGAGGATTGTGGTTTTGTTATTCACATGGGCAGTAAAAGCCAATAAAACATATGATGGTAAAAGTTAGTGTTTGTTTTTACAGCTTTCATATTTCATTAAAGAGTAAACCACTGAGCACTGGAATATGAATTTAAAAAAAACTTCTGCTTAAAGGGTGGTCAAGCTAGCACAAGCAACAATGAGTTGTCACTTGACATGTAAATATTACCTTAATCTTGTAAATATGACACTGCTTTGCAGTAACAAGAAATCGCTTGTTGGTTAAACTTATGCTTAGTGCATATAGCTTTTCCTCTTTCTTGAAGAAGTCTTTAAAAACGAATTTCAAGTCAAAATGATTAAAACTAAATTCCCTTGAATTCCTACTGTTCTTTGTTACAAATTTATTATCATAGTCCTTAAACATGTCACCAAAAAAAATGTACATTAACCTCAGGACAAATCCCTACATGCGATTGTCCATCACGACTATAGCAAGAACTTCTCACAAGTTACTCCTACAAGTGACTGCCAGGTTTTGACATTTTAGATGCACCCATATGAGGTTTGACCAGAACTAAAAATCATGTTGACCTGAAATTCATTTTAAACTGTACCAACCACACACCATCCATCACATCTACCACTTTCCATCAACTAGTATTTATCAAATTTTATGTTAGTATTTTAAAGGAGTATTCAAGGAGGAGCAATCACTATTTAATGTATACATCTACTATCTTTGCATAAGTACTCGGGAGACAAAGCTTACACATGTACGGAATAAGTTACAATGTCCAAGATTTTATCAAACTTTATAATAATCATTTTTATCAAACAGCTGATCAAAGCCTGTATAGATTAGCACTTTTCTCTGTGACAATAACCACAATATTATTTATGAAAACTGACTAGTATAAACAAATAGAATAGAATAATTCACAACCTATGCACTAAACTACACATAAGTACTCTAAGAAATATGTAAAAAATTACATTGCAGTCAGTGAGTATGCTATTGCAAATTAGCTTTCTTTGTATTTAGACATTCTTATAGACGCAGCAAAACTTGGAATGCCTTGAGCATAGCTTCTGACCGACAAACCCTTAAGGTACAGAAGTATCTCAATCTTTCCTGTGACCGGTAGATCAATCTCCCTTCAACCATGAATAATACCCTTTAAATTGCAATTATCTTGAATACAACTTCTGCCACGGTTTGGTGCTTTTTTTTTTAGCTTGTCTCAGTTACTGGAGCATCAAAGACTTGAGATTGTCTTGTAATATAGTGTCCTTCACCGCATGGAAAACAAACTTGATATTTTCTGTGTCGATTGCCGTTGTAAAGTGATGGAAAAGGGCTTTAGACCTCTCTCGACGCTTGCTGTCAAACATCTGTAATATAAAGTTCTGCACATCTTCCAATTTTCGCGGTTCCCCTTGAAAAGCTGGGAAGTAGTCCTTTATATTTGCATATTTGATCTTTTGCATTAAAAGATCTGTTTTGTTGAGAAAAAGGATTATTGACACATTGGCAAAGAATTTGTTGTTGACTATAGTCTCAAAGATGTTGCATGACTCCACAAGACGATTTGTTGTTCTATCCTCCATAAGAACTTGATCATACGCACTTGACGACACCAAGAAAAGAATCGAGGTTACTTCATCAAAGCACTGAAACCACTTGGCTCTTTGAGATCTCTGACCACCAACATCAACCATTTTGAAGGGGATTCCCTTAATGATAAATTCGTGTTCCACAATGCCCTTTGTTGCTTTCCTTGCATGAAGAGCATCTTGTCTTGTGGGCAAGTAGTCCTTTGATAAAGAACAAAGCATGAATAAAATGAATAAAAACTAATCCCTGGAGTTACTTGACCAGGACAAACCCAAGTAAATGTCACTACTGCTTTACAATATTTGGCACTTTTCCAGTCATCTTTAGCTGGACAAGTATGTTAAAAGGCATAATAGGCCCTTTGCAGCTAGCCATTCACGTGCTACAAAACCGTCATGATAGAGAGCAAGAGAAACACTGGGAGAGGACAAATAAAGTAAATTACTGTTTTAAAAGATGTGAGTTTTCTGTTTGTTTTGTCCCAGTGGGTACCTTGCTGTCCAACATGGTGGTTTTGTACCATGTGAATCACTAGTTGCAAAGGGCCTACTTCTTGGCTACGGATTATCATGAACAGTTAATAAAATTATATGGATCATACACAGTGACTTGGAATAAGAAAAGGAACCTGATTTGTGACCTGACGCCAGAGACGTCATAAAATTGCTTTGGTTACATCTGATCTACTAAGGCCAGCCTATTTTACAGAAACCTAACTTACATCTCAGGTAAACAGACCTTCCTGCGCCGTAGCTAGTATGAGGCCAACCGAGGCACTCGCCTCGGTAAAATTTTGACGAATTTCGCCGATCATTTTTATTTTACATAAGCGATCATCAGATATTTTTAATGCATCATGATATTACAAAGAATTCAGCAATTCAGTCAATATACTATGAAAAAATTACCATATCATCGATCTCAAGGGGCTACGTACGTTAACTCAAATTTTTTTTGAACAAATACTGATCAAAACCATTGGCGAGGTTAACGGTCACCCAGACTATGTAGCTTGTTTCTGATTATTGCTTTTTAAATTCCACTTAAATTAACTCGAAAAAAAGTTACCGAAAGGCCCAGAAAACGCTGCAAATGCCCCCGAACCCCCCTAGCAACTCCCGCCTGCCTCGGTTGGCCGTTTGGTCTGGCTACGGCACTGCCTTCCACAATGTTTGAATTTTTTTCCCTTTGTACTGCTTATAGTGAAAAACAGTTACAAGTCAGGGTTGGGCTTATGTGTACCGGTAAATAGTTTTGTTTCAATAAGCAAGTTGAAAGGTGTGCCATTGCTTACAGCACATACAACTTGAGTACATAAGTAATTTTTTAACAGTATTACATTTATAAATACAATAGGGTAGTGAGGACCAAAAGAATGTATGGTTTTAAGTATTGGCAAAACTGGTTTTTTTTTGTTTAAATGCACAAGTTTGACATTTACTCAACAAGAAAAGTATGAACAGCACCAACAAAGAAAGATTAATGTTACTGTTTGCCAAAGTTCATTTCCTTTTAACATTTACAACTTCTGGCCTTTTGTTCTGTTGATCTATTTGAAGTACTTGATTTCAGCTGATACGCAGAACTACTGCAAGAGGACTCAATAGAAAGACTACAGCAAGAATACCAGAAAGTAAAATGTCTAATGCCTAGTCAAACCATCAGTTAAAGAGATATTGTACTTCTGGCAAGTCCTAATAGTAGGTCAAATTAATCTTGGCTGGGATCACAAAGAATTTCATTCGCAGAGAAATCACACAGTAACTTGACAATGAACTGAGTAAACAAAATTTGATCCAGGCATTCAATAAACCTAGAGCTTTCATAAGTTCTAGGAGTTACTTTTTATTTTGCTATGGAAACTTTAAGTATGCAGACACACCAACAATACAATATTGGTCATTTCCTACAAAGCTTTTAAAAGCAGTATGTTTAATGCACTGCATAAGGTTGAGCACAAGTTGTAGCTTTTGTGCCATCTTTTCATCCAAATGGTACACATAAAAACATCCATTCTCTAACGAGGCAATGTACAAGATATAACCCAAAGACACAAAGCCATAGAACTTCAAAAGAGAAACATTGTGTTGATGAACTTATTGCAATCTAAATTGCTTTATCATATTAGACATGAAAATGACCATACTAGCATCTTTCATAGCAAAACAGAGGAAATGTTTTGTATGAAACACATCTGAAGCAATATTCGTTAAGGGCAATGACATGCACTTTCAATTCTACAAGGATTTAAACTTTATAGATCAATGTTAATAAAAATATCTTTGTATGGCCACTTTAAACACTTGCATAAGGCACTTAGCTTTTGTACCAGATAAATGAAAATCTCTTTAACATAAATACCAAGTTGATGTCATGAAAGCTACCTTTGTTAATCATTTTCAAAAATGCTCAGCAATTTTTGGAGGGCGTGCTTTCGATGAAAAAGGAAGTTTTGATTTTTAAGTACTTGCTCCTATTATTTAAGTATCCAAACATGCTTAAGATATCTAAAAAATTTAAAGATATGAAATAAATTTAAAAGGAAATTCTAAGTTTTTCCATGAAAATATGAAAACCACAGACTAAAAAAGGGTAAACAATGCCAAATTTACACTCTACATTACAGTGCGGTACTCTAGAAATGATCAGTCTTTTGAAATCCTTCCATCTGCGTCGAAATTATCAATTTATAAAATATTGATAATAATCACATTTTTACTGGGTCTGATTTAATATTTGAACAGGTCTGTTCGCTATCAAAAAAATACCAGGGCAAAAAAGGAAATTAACAACGATACATTCCTTAAAATTGGTTCTCTTTGTCGGCATGTTTACACTTTGAACAAGACATAAACCTCGATTGAATGTCCTTCTGACACAATGAAAGAAAAGCAACATCAGAAGGCAAATTTATACTTACCGGACGACCAACCCGATCCAAATTGTCGAAAAAATATTTGGTTGAATCGCCCTAAGAAAAGAAAATATGATTAAAGAGAGACGAAACACGCATGGAAGAATGTCAATTTCACCCTCCCATATTGCATACGAAGTTGACTTAAATACGATACAATCAATTTCAATTTAGACTGGTGTTTCACTAAATACTTTGCTTTCTAAAAGTGAGCTAATTTCAAAAGGAATGTCTGACTTTCCAGCTGCTGCAGTTTGATCATGGGACCAAAATGGTGGTTAAAAACAAGGAGAACAAGATCAGATCAGTTGTAGATGTATTGTGTCTTGATATCATATTAAATCGGCGGACCAATTTTTTTCCCCGATCTGTAATCCCTTGAAAGACTGCTTGCAGGCGTTGTTAATCAAAAGTAAACGATCGAGTTGCGTGCTGAAACTACACACAAAATCTGTGGAAATAGAAAAAGACAAAGAGTAGAGCCTTAATGTCCCTCGAACCTGCATTGTTGAACTTGATAATAGTCGATGGGTTCTGTGTTATGCATAATACATTGTTTGCGGTAGTAGTACATCGATCGCGAAGCCGCTTTTTGGCAAGGGCTATAAACTCTTTCTACGATACAAAAATTCAACCTACCACAGATCATATCAACAAAGTATCAAATGCACAAGCTTACCAACTGAAATTCTCTCCTTCTGTCGAATGCATCTTGAATTCCCCTATCCCGCCATAACCGCTTCACACAATCGAAGTACCTTAAGAAAAGGTCCGTGTCGATTATTTGAGGACCTTGGAAGTTTAAAATTATTTCAGCGTACTGCTGGTTAGCAGGATATTCCCATTCTATTCTTAGCTTCCTTCGAGCGTCAGCCAAAACTTTCATGCCCTTTAGAATGTTACTGTATATGATGGGACGAAATTCATTCAAAGCATCAATGTCGAAATCCTTGCCATGGATGATGCGCATTTGCTTTAGGAACGTACTTTTTCCGCTCTCTCCGGCCCCTAAAAGTAAGACTTTAACCTGGCGACGGTATTGAACTTTCTCTTGAGCTATCTGTCTGTCTATTTTCCGCGATCTAGCTTTCTGTTCAGCCTCCTCAGGGCTGAGGCAGCACGCGTCGAAAACCATTATGGCCGACAACTGGCTGCAACAGAACCAACTACAAAATCCACACCCACCGAAGGGCTTGTGGCCTGCGGAGAAATTAGCCTTTAATCAGCGTGTCAATTAAAGACTTCACCGGAAGGGCCCGGAAGAACACATCTTCTAACACGTTCGGAAGCCTGATTTTTCTTTGCTAATTACATTTAACAAATTTTATTCCATAGATAAGGTGAAGGAGAGACGATTGGTTGCGAAAATATTTTTTTTTTTGAAAATCAGGAGGAGAAATTTAACCGACAAAAGTTTGGTTATTGTGTGGAACTTTCATCAGTGGGCAATTTTAGTCAGGAACCTGTTTAGTTTTAATAATTTTTTATTTTTTTTTTGGAGCAAGTAAGTGGAACAAACACTCGGCACTCTCATAATATGCAGAATAAAAGTAAGTTGAAAATGCTCCGTATTTTTCATCGATTTTCAATGAACTATCGAGCAAAGTTTCTGTTCATTCGGTTAGCTATAAATTCATTTGTTCCTTTTGTTACTTAATGTTTTGTATAATCGAATCAAGCGTAGCTAAAATTACAGTTGATGTCAATATATGGTCTTGGTAACCATTCACCGTTACTTTTATTTATTAAACTCAATTATTCATACTGTTCAGATCTGTTAACAAATAAATAACATTTTGATCCGTCTGTAATTTGACCCGTGCTACAAAATTTACGAATTTCATGGCCGTCAATATGCCGGTTAATTATGTAAGAATATTTAAATGGTATAATAAACAATTTTAACTCCTCTTGAAAACGGGATCTTGGTTAATCTCTTTGACGTAATTGAGTGCATTAAAATAATTTATTCAAAAACACGATTTGGCACGTTAGGTATTTTCTTCCTCAATCTTTGACCGCTGTTTTTATCTTGGGTCTGTTGACTACAGCGTCGTAACTTAAAAAGAAAACTAACTACCCAGTTAAAGTTAGAAATACTAAAACAATCTCGAAGGGAATTTATTATCAGATTTCTTATGAAGAAAGAATTTCTATAATGGGGCTGGAGAAGATCGGGATGGTCACAGAAATGCATTGTTTATTACATTTTGGTATTGTACCAAGAAGGGTTATTTTTTAATAATTACATGATGTTATACAGAAACTATTTTGACATGATATTTTAGGCATTTCAGAGGCTAAATATAGCATAGTAATCTTCGCCATCATTAAATATATATATATATATATATATATATATGTGCGTGTCAAACTTGTTTTGACTCCTTTCTAATTTCTCCGCTGCCTTTCAACTTTCTTCTCCAGTCTCTCGAGTTCCCTAATCTCTCGTTCTACGGTTGAGTCCGAAGGATTTTTTAGGGACTGAAATTTTGTTCCAAATCAGAAATTTTAAGTGTGGTAAACCAGGGATGACACTTTGTTTTCTTGGTAGCCTACGTAGGATGGCGGTTTTGGTTGGGCGCGCTACGCAGGCTATTTTCTTGGAGGAGCGTGGTCGAACAGTAAATCTTTTGGGTGAGTTAAGAACCCAGACTAAACTGATCTATTTCGTGAAATCACTTTTTCATCTTCTTAATCTCGAAGTCATGGCAAATACCAGCTGGACGTGAGGGTATACTCATAATAAGACTACCTTAAGGTTTACTTTTGTGTGCACAAAAACTAATCAGGCGTAGTGGGGGTTCATAACTGTGGTAGGAGGCCGCGGATCCCCCGCAGGGAAAACACTCAAAATGTTCCCCTGGGGTTCGCTAAGTTATATAAGTCATAGAGTATACAGTAGATTCCCGATAGCTCGAACCCTCGCTAACTCAAACCTCGCGCTAACTTGAACCAAAATCGATTTTCCCTTGATTTCCTTCATATATTTGCTGTAATTTTACCCTCGGTAACTAGAACCCTCGATAACTCGAACCTCCAGCTAACTCGAAGTAATTTTTGTTTCCCCTCAGATCATTTCTATACAATTTTACCCCAGATCAAATCATGTTTTGAGTTTTTAAAACTAAAGAGACGGGAAAAAAAACAGTCTACTGGCGTCCGAAACATTGAATTTTGAATTTCCCATTGACGTGTTGTAAGCATATTTTTACTAGGGGAGGCTGATGTTGTTTGTTACAAATCTAATGTGAACAGCTTTAATTATCAAAACAGTAAAACACATGCTCTATTTAGGCTATATTTTGCTACGTTTTGTTGATATTGTAAAATCTAGAAGTAGCTTTCAATTTTCACTTAACATTTCTACAAGCAAATGTGATTGAAACGTTCACTGTACTGTAAAAACTGCTCTTTTCCTTTACTTTCGGCTATTTTTTCGAGCTCCCGAGAACTCGAACTTCTTTCGATTTCCCTTGAAGGTTCGAGTTATTGGGAGTCGACTGTACTGGCCAAGTCTGCACTCATGGTCTTGGATTAGAAGGCTGGAAATCGTCGCTTTTTGTTAGCGTGTTTCGGTGGATTCTGTTTTGGTAAGAGGAAGTCAATATTTACTAAACGCTAACCATCTGGCGCCTTAACGTTGACATTAATTTCTTGTGTAACCCTCCCCGGCGGCGTTGTATTCACCTGCCAGACCTGCGGAAATGTCAGTTAAGTTCAAGGAGATTTTAGATTTCAGATCTTTTATTTTTGGGGGCTATTACAAGAGGTTACTACATAGATTACAATGCATTACAAAAGCAACAACAAAAAAATTGGAACAGCAAATTACTTAAATGAAAATCATGAAAGGTGAAATGTGCCAGTGATCAAAGGAGCTTTGGCTTTCGAGTTGGTCACTGCCACGTGCAATTAACTGGCGTAAACATTTACATAAAACTACAATCAACACACAACGGAGAAAGAAAAATTAAAGGTGCAAAAAGTCGTACTTTACTGCGATTTTATATAAAAACAATAGAGATGACTATTGGGTGTGGGCAGAGAAATCAATTGGGTATTTAAAAGGTAACGTGATCTCAAATCAACTGAGGTGCCAAGTTTTTTAATGAAGTATTTTATATTTGTTCCCTTTTAGACTGATAGATTATATTAGGCAGTGGTACACTATTTACACTTAAAAGAATTAAAAGTATTTAATAATTCATTTTTTTGTTATTAAGTTAGGTTACCTCTTTTCAATTGTTCGCCAAAGGCAAAAAAAAAAAAAATACGACATGCATGACCAGAGTCTCTTGAAGGGGGTTCATGAACACGCTTTCCCGCTCGTTAGGTTTTTCACAGCAGTCGCGCATCCCGAACTTCTTTCATCTCTATGCTGAATCAGACAGTTTTCTTTCCCAATAACATATTCCGTACCAACATTTTGGCGAAACCCACCTCCCCAGTAGCGTCAAATCCCGTATCCCGTCAATAAATTTTGCGTTTTCCCGAATACCGCACTATACTTGGGTCAAAGTCCCGGATCAACACTCTTCCAGATCATGAGAGACTAATTGTGCGGGGTTTGATATTAAATAAAAGGGATTTTTGACCCTTTTAATTTATCGCCTCTGTACAGGAGCCTAAAAGCTTACCAATTAAACCAACTGACACTAACAATCTTCACGGAGAATTTCCTGTCCTTGATGGACTTTTTGAGCGCTGAAAACGTTAACGCATACATAAATGACATTATTGGCTGTCCAATTTATTGACAGGTAAACAGGCAACCAGGCAGGAGTGTTCTTAACTCCTTCCGAGGGTTCTACCTTGCTCATTTGAAGACTTTGAATTCCGCGGACAATAAACTTGAAGGAAGTTTCTCCTTTGTCAAGTGTTCGAGTTGCCGTGTACGACGCCGAGCAATTAAGTTCTTGCTCAAGGAAAACTTTCTCCTTCTCAAGAAAAACTTGTTAATGTGATTTTTAACGTTCAGCTCCGGTCAAACTCTTCATGTTAGTTCAACGCCATGCAATCTTAGCTCTTATGTGTAAAGTTAATTTTGTCTTATGTTGAAGTTGAAGCAGAAATTATAGCTAGGTTTTCTCAGCAAAAGACAACCACAAGCCAATGAGTTTCACTGCGCTTGTGGTTTGTTCATATTTCGCGACAATTCCCTTTTAAAAGAAAAAGTTAGAGGAAATGTCTGAGAAAAGACACTGAAATTGTCCTAGATTCGTGCACACTAAGGCGGAGCAAAAAAATCGCGCATTATCACGACCATTGATAGAGCGAGCTCTCAATATTATTTACGTTTTGTTCAAGCCCACAATTCTCCTGAAAATGAAACTCGATGTATCGTCCACACATATGCACATGAAAACAACAAAGTTCTATCTTTCTCACCTTTTTGCTATAAACCCAAACTCTTTTTTTCGATGTAATCCTTCGCAGCCTCTCCTCCGATCCATCACAAGCTCATAGTCAAGCTTTTCCTCTTGCGTTGACTGCGTCATTGCACGTGCACGCCCCAATTAATGGTCACGCTTTCACGCTTGAAATTTTAGCCAATTAAAACTCACGTAAACAACCCATCTGTTTTTGTTTGTTTGCCTCCACACTGCATTTGTATTTCGTTTTTTTGGTCATTGTTATTTTTAGAGATTCATTTAGCTCTCACGATACTCTACTGAATCGGTAGGCGTCGACTTGTAGTAGTAGACTTTCTTCTATCTGAGCGGAAGTTTTTAAAAACAACAACAACAACAACAACAACGACCACGACGACTACAACATTTATTTGCAGAGAAACAAATTTTCAGGGCCCACGATTTCTCGTTTGTAAAGTGGCAAATTTACAGCTTTCCGAAAAAAAAAAGAAAATTTACAAATGCCCCGGGCGCGGCGAGGGTGATAGGCATGCTTGGAATAAGCCATTTCCGAGTTTTGAAAACTGTTAGTTTCAAAACGTTGCCAAGGGCAAAACATTTCTTGTGAAAAAGAGTTTTATTTGCTTGAAATAAAAAATCATTTTCCCATCAAAAGCTTCGCACCGAGCCTCACTTTAAAACGGAGGACTGGGCAACTTGAAAATTGCCTACTGACTGAGGAATAACGGAAGGCAAAAGCTAGCTTTTTCTTTGCAGCAGTTTTTTGGGGGGTTGTTAGTTGACCAAGGAACAACTTCATGCTTTTCCTTCGCGCATATATACCGTTAATCCTCCATTAGCCCTCCCCCTCGGGTTTATTCATTTCAAACACAACTGAGGGGGGGGGGACTTACTAGGGACGGGGGGCTTATTTGAGAGGGGGGGCTTAATGGAAGATTTTCATGAAGATTAATTCATGTTCCACAGCGCGTGCACGTATTCGAAGGGTCGGAAACGGTTTCTACGGGTGAAACTCAAAACGTTACTCGTACTCCGCGCTCACCACTTTCACCAGAACCTATACATTACTGTAACAAAATTCTCTTATCTGATTGGCTATCAGCGGGCCTGATTTTAGCACTATAGGCTAGTGCAATTGGACAGTACTTGCCAAGCCTAAGTAATTGTACTTGAATGGATTTTTTTTTTCTTACGTATGGGCAAAAATGTTAGGGCGATTTTGCCCTTTTATTTAAGGAAGTTTTTTAAACATAGCTGTAGTATGTTATAATTAAAGAATTGTTAATAGAACTTCGTGTCATCCAATTTCATATTCGTGTGATAAGACAAATCGGACACCCAGGATTTTGTTTAATCAATCGTATGATTTCAGACCGAAATCCACTCACTCCACTCAGTCCCATTACTATTATTAACTGTACTACTTCAGTTTAACAACAAACAAGAAAACTTGTTGTGTAAAAGACTACAAGTGTACAATGTGCCTTAAATGTTTATTCGTTTAAGGGGAATAATTTACACTAGGAAAATATTGAAATCACCACTTGGCGTTTTACACCGACGGACAAATCTTCGAACACTCTTTTATAATTTCAAACCTGAGCTTATCAGTGTTATGGAATTTACATGCCAAAACATGTTTAAATTATTCTATTAAATGAAACAATACAAATGTATTTCAGTGTCGCAGGCAAAGGGCTTGTTTCCAGGGCCTTCGCAACCACAAGTGCAAGAGGAAGACCTGGAAACTATATTGAACAAGGATTTTGCCTGGAATATGTACAATGCTTGGATATATATTTTTTTTCAGATTCGAATGTCAAACAATAATGCCGTGTCCTTGATCAGAGAAATCCTGCACTCCACTCTGTTATATACTTATTCGACGTGATTTTTTTTCTTCAGTTTGATCATAATTCATCCTGATCGCGTACAGCAGAAATGCTGAAAGACGAAGAAAACTGGTTCCCAGAGTCCAGTTCCTCCTGTAGCACTCGCGCACGGGATTGGAGCACAGATATCTGCTGTCTGAGCGACTCGATTGTGTCCTCAAGCTCCTGTGAATACAAACAACGGGTAAATCATCAAAACATGGGGTTACAGGGCTCGAAAAAAGTCCCGTTCGACTCCGGGACAAGTAGATTTTCTTGCTGGGCAAGTAACTGTTAAAGCTCAATTGCCCAAGAGTTAAGGGTCAAGGCAAGTCATCCTCTATTAAAAATAATCATTAACCCTTTAAGCTCCAATATCTGTATAGAGATCAGTTTGGAGAATTTGTGTGCATTTCCTTACTGAATAAGTTGGGAGAATTTGAAAAAGGATCAGAGCATCAGACCCTGAGATAAGGGGAGCCCCAGTCTCAAATTTTTTTTTTTTCGGCCCTTCGGGCCTCAATTTGGTCTGTCACTGCATGTAGCATGTAAGGGGATATCTCGCAGCGAGAATGAATATAGTTTTCGATGGACGAAAACTCTGCTGGGCAACTTACCTATTAATAAGCAAAGGCAATAAAATTTTACCTCTCTGAGGGAAGCTGGCATTAAACCTTTCATTTTCTCTTCGTACTGTAATCGCAGTCGAGATATCTGTGGAGCAAAATATATGAATAAATATTTAAAATGAATAAATAAATAAATGGATGGATCATAACCTTGAACTGCCTTGAATAATTTTAGAACCATAATTTAAAGGCGCATCTGCATGCTTTCCCTGTGGCATACTACCCTATAGTTCCCTATCGGAAAATGGTCAATATGATTCTGGAGACGGACTCCTCACCTACCCCTCCCATAGCCCAAAGATAACACTAACCCTTCACTTAGGGCAAAATGTTGGGTAAGAGGTGGGGGGAGGAGGGTAAGTGGACACTTTTGTCAAACGCAAAAACCTAATTACAACAAATCAACTAGATAGTTTAAAGAACTGACTACAGTTACTGTCAAAAGTCTTATTCATACTCTTTCTTGTGAGTCGAGCTCCGTTTGTTGGACGCGCTTCTCTAAATGTTTGACCATTGTCTTCTGCGTTTCCACATCTTGCTGCAAGGACTAAGGAGAAAAAGAAAACAAAATTCTCTTTTGAACGTTTATCATTTACATCCCTAAACAGTTCTCTTGCAACACACTATACTGGCCCTGGTTTCTTGAACGATGGTCAACTTTAATCTAGGGTTAATTAGGCTAATAAAGCCTATAAAAATTATTGGTGAGCCTTTGATTGGCGACACCCAGTCAAGTTAGCCAAAATCAGAAGAAAACGGTGTATAAAACAGAAAATCAACCGCGGTTTAACATTTAAACTCTGTGTTAGCTCTAATCGGCCTACGGGCAACTGCGTAGCAGACAAGCCTTCCATGAGCAAACTAATAATAAGTGCTGGGCCAAAACAAAAAAATATATGGGAGGGGTGGTTGAGGAGAAATTGGTAACGCAACCGCCCCCCTCCACACCACCCCTCCTTCCTTGCTTTTTAGTGATTTCTTTCAGGCTACAAAACGAATCCGGTTAGAAAATACGCGGCTTCAAAAATGTCCGGATTCGTGTGGACTTGGCGTTACTTAGCCTCCCACGGAGACGTTCTTAGGGGTTCGTCACGCGTTTCCACGTGACGAACCCTTAAGAACGTCTATGTGGGACGCTAGGAGTTACTATGTTTGTTTGCTTGTTTGTTTTTTTTTTTGGCGCCACCCAACTTTGTCTCTGTGCTTGTTCATGCACCTTTGTTACGAAAGGGAGCAACAGTGAAACATATCAAAGTTTCAAACAACAATAACACCAGGAACAAATTAATTCCACATCACAAACCTTAACAATTGTAGAATGATGCTTTTTCACCGATGTTTTCTCGTCTTCGTGTTTAGCTGTGGTTTGAGCAAGTTTCTTTTCTAAGCTTGTTTTTGTCCTGCAAGAAAGTTTAGTCCCAGTTAGTTAAAAGTAAGGTGTCTTTTAGAATGTGTTCTGATACTTAGCAATTGAATAAGCTTAAAAACATGGTCTCGAGGGATGGGAGCAGGGGTGTTCTCCTTGTCCCACACTGACCTCTTCGGAGAATCGAACTCCTAGAGGATATCCAATTTGAAAACTATGGAGTAAGAGGAGTTATAAATTCTTGGTTTAGATTATATGCTTCAGATCGTCGACAGTCGATTGAAATAGACAAATGCATATCTGATACTGAAACTATCGTATGTGGAGTGCCTCAATGCTCTGCACTTGGACCCTTGCTTTTTAATTGTATATTAATGGCATCCATAAATCTTTCAAGAAATTTACTTTTTATCTATTCGCAGTTGATACAAGTCTAGCCCATGCAAATGACAACTTAAGTACTCTCGAGTAATATTAGAGATGAAGGACTTTGTTAAATATTTGGGTATAATTATTGATGCTGAACTTTCATGGAAGCATTATACAGTCGACTCTCTCTTAACGGACACCTCTATAAGACGGACACCTCTGTAAAACGGACACCTAGAGTTGGTCCCTGCCTTTCTTTACTCCTTTTATTTGACTCTCCATAAGATGGACACCTGTAAAACGGACTCCCAGCGTTGGTCCCTGCCTTTGCTTATTCCCTTTATTTGACTCTTTATAAGGCCGACATCTCTCTAAGACGGACACTTAGTGCCGGTCCCAAAGGTGTCCGTCTTAGAGAGAGTTGACTGCAATGACTTTATCTGTCACAAAATTAGTAGATCGGTTGGAATTATTGCTAAAATGAGGTATTACATCCCACGGTATCTTCTTTTGAATTTATATCAAGCACCTTATTTAAATTATGGTATCTGCGCATGCGGGCAACTGTCCACAGATCTACCTCAATAAGTTACTTGTACTGCAAAAACGTGCACTGCGTTTGATTTATTTTGCTAAAGCCAGAGACCATGCAATTCCTTATATTTTATTGAATCAAATTGCCTTCCTCTACGGTCTTTGTTCTTTCAGAAGTTAAGTTATTTAATGTATGACGTCCTCGCTAAGACAGCTCTGACTGCGTGATAACCTACGGTCCTTTTACTAAACCTAAATAAGCTTAAACAACGATTCACTTCAGATCACGTTGAAAAACTTGAGAGCCCACGTATCTTACCGAGCAATTTCTTCTCTTAATTTCTTTATTTCGTCTTCTAGGGTTTCTATAACCTGTGATAAAAAAAAGAGGCACAAACATATCTTTTGAAACAACACATAATTTCTGTAAACTTGATAAATTGAATTCGAATTCCCCTGAGTCTACGTGATAAATAAAAGAAATAAACGTGTCTGATGAAAAACTCAAGAGGAACTGATGTTTGCGCTGAGGTTCACATGTGCCTACTGTCCATTACTAGCACATGCTCTCAGCCATTTGAAATAGCACACAAGCGACTACAATTTCCGTATTTTCAGTTGAAGTGATTTACACAGAAGAATAAATTATGCAATCTAGGGCTGTAAATTTAAAAGTATTGCTCGCCTAAACATCCCAAAATATGTCTTGATCGGACATAAAACCACTGCTCAGGTCAATGATAAATTTTGCAATCATGTTCATACTCACAGCCCACCAACCTTTCTCTGTTAACAGGAATTTTCAAACCTTCAATAGAGCACCCTCGCTTTGCTGAGAAGAATGGTATGTGGGTAAGCTGTGCTAAAAAAAGGGCAGAGCTCGCAGCTCGGAGGTTGAATCGTCGCCAGTAAAAAAGTAAAAACAAAAGTTAAGCGAGGTCTCTACTTGTCTACTTTGATATGGTGACTAAAGGTAAATGCTCTGACCTTTTGTCCTTTGCTGGATCTGCTAACGTATTCTTCTTCCATCTGTTTCATTCTGTTGTTTGTCTTAAAAGAAGGAAAAATTCCATTTATCATATCGTGCTAAGGAGGATTTATCATTATCGCAATTGAAAAAATTTGAACTACAAAGCAACCCTTTGTTACCACTCTTCAGGCGGTTCTAGAGAATACCAAGGCTTACTAAGTACGTCTAGAAAATCAATATTATTTTCCGCCTTACCTTTTCTAAAATCTGTTCCATCTCCGTGCTGTGTTCACGTTGCAACTGTAATTTTTGCTGTTCAATTTGGCTCTTGAATTTTACTTGCTGTTCAAAAAAAGAGAGTTGGTAATCATCAAAAAGTCTTATTCACATCGAACACCCAGCGGGGGATACTGGGAAATGTCAATTACAGTACACTATTTTGTTATGAAAGAAAAAAAAAGAAAAGGCCAGATCGGAATTGTAACTTTATTTTTCTTAAAGGGGGGGGGGCTTATTGGAGAGAGGGGGTTTAAATAGAGGATTTACGGTATACCTAGAATGCTATTTAGAAGAAAAACCGCTTGATAGGCTGGTGGAGAACTTGAATGAGGCCAAATAAAAATGCACAGCTCACCATGTTTTCTTCCTGTCTCTTGTAGTTTTGTTTCTCCTCTTCTCTCATCAGGCTTAGTTCCATCAACTGAGTCTTGTGGGTGGAATTCGCTTGAATAATCTGCCACCAAATATGGTCAGTAACCGTTAAAGGATACGGTGGAAACCTTGATACAACGAAAGGCCAAGGGAATGGCCAAAATTGTTCGCTATAACGAAGTTCCTTTCCATATATTCTACAATTACAGGGGTAAAGAAAATCGTTCGGGGTTCCACTGTATTTGAAATGCAAGAGTGTTTAAGTTTCACGTATACAACAAACGTCAGATTCAAGGTAAGAATTTCTCAAAATAGAAAATAAGCGGATAAAAACAGCTCAAAATAATTCTCATGGATAAAAAATTGCGTGAAACCACTAAATCATGTGTAGAAATAATGAACCGTGAACGACAAGTAATGGAGAAACTTGGTCACGTGGTGCAAATTCACGTTTGCCGTTTGACGTAAACGTGATGCTTAACCTCTCCACGTGATTCAACCTCCCTTACCCACCCACCGTGAGGACAGAGAGAGGAAAGTGGCCGTTGCGGGGACCTAGGAATAGAAACCGTTAGATTCGAGGACGTGAACGACTACGAGTACGAGATTTGATTTGAAAGTTTTTTCGCGTATTGTCAAAAAATAGATTTTCCCGGAATTCTTCATTGCACTTTTTTTCACCAGAAAAGTTAGCACTGTTATCGTTATTGAAGGAGGTTGAGCCCTCTCCAGATTGCAAAATGCTAAAACTTCTAACATTTGATAACTTGTTCCCGCCACTACGACACTCTCGCTAAAACTCGTAGTAGAATGACGACGGCTACCACGTTTTCCCGCCAAAATGACGCTGGCTCACGCTCGAGCACTACTTATTATTGAGAAAATCTCGCACTCGTAGTAGTTCTCGTCTTTTAAAATCTAAAGCTCTCTAATGTAAATGTGACAAAAAGATTAAGGGAATGGCACTCTGCCAGCAGAGCCTTTCTTTCACTTGCTCGATTTTGGCGTACTCGCGAGAAAGACTCACCTCTTCTCGTAACTCTCTCACTTGCTGCTCTAACTCGGCAATAGTCTGCCAAGAATTGAAAGCATTCAATCAGTAAAGACCCAGGTCGAACAGCAAACCACACACATCCAAGAAATCGCGCCAAAAACATCAGGTAGAATTTTGATTTCTTGAACCTCCTGATAATTTGAACCAAACCTGACGTCCCTCCCCCAGTCAACCACAGTATTTTTACATCCCCCTTCCAACAATTCGAACCAATTTCCTTCTCCCGAGGAGATTAGAAATATCAGAATTGTACTGTATACACGTAACACCGCAATTTTAAGTCCGCCTGCATCCTGGTAAAATGAGACAAAATAGAAATTTTAAAATCTTAGCCTGTGTAGATGGTGGTTTTGTTTGGTGAGCGCGCAAATGAGCTAAATGAGCGATGAAACCGCGAGATTAAAAGCTCAGTACTTATAAACTCGTTAAATACCTTGGCATCTTTTGTTGTCCTGTTTCGGGCTTGATTTTCGTGTTCTAACATTTTCTGGCGAAGCTTTTCCAGTTGCATTTCCTAAAAGAAAGGATAAAACAAAAAAGCAATGAGCCTTCTCGGTATCTTCCCTTAGAAAGAGAAGTCACTGAAAGGCAACGAAAATAAACCACCTGTTTCTCAGGCCCAAGATGCTTAAACGGTGCGTTGGATAAATCTATCCACCGGATAAATCTCTATCTGCTGGATAACGCAATTGGTTTTGCTAATACTGATCTATCCGGTGATGGCGCTATCCAACTGAGGCCATACTTTCCCTTCGTCCTTAAAAAACCGGCGCCTGCTAGTTCGAGGGAAAAATTCTGATGAAAATTAAAAATCTGCGTCAAAATGAACTACTGTGAAAAACATTCTACTGGGCTTACACTCTGTTTCAGCCGGTTTTGAAACAGAGTATAAGCCTGATGTAGTTGTTTCAACAAATACGGGGTCTTATCTGACGTCGGTGAAATGAGTATCTTTCTGCTAAACCCATGGAGTATTAGTTGCTGATGTTCTTTTATTCTACCTTTCCTTGTTCGTGTTCCTTTAACAACGAATCTCTTTCTATCTGATGAGCCCTGAGGGTCTGTGCTTTCTCCTGCTCGTGTCTAATACTTATTTCTGCAATCTGAGAGAAAAAGGAAGGATGTTAGTAAGTAAGCAAGCTAGCAAGTATGGCAGTAGATAAACTCGGTTCAGAACAGACGAGTTAAGTGTTTCCGTCACGAGCACACAATCAGCTAGAGATCAACACAAATTTTGCTACAATCCTGGACAAAACTACTTGAGAACATAGAACGCACTACCTTATACAACAAAACCATTTCCAAATCAACTGCTTTGCATAAAGAAAACCCCCTTCCCCAGTTCAACGTTGCTTACTTCGAACGCCCAGGAATGAGGGGGCAGGGGGAGCGAAGAATCGCCGCGGCTACGATGTTTAGAAAAATGCTCTCCAAGTATGCAATTTTAGCAAGAGCTTTGTCCAAGATTGTACGTATCTATGGTCCTGTATGAGTGAATTAAAATAATTGTTACCTTTTGTTTACTCCACGGTTGAGGACTACTGCAATTCTAATAATCATTACGTGCTTTTCCTTCAGAGTTCACGGTAAGGACACACGATGAATGTTTTTCACAACTTAAGGACAAAATTGACATACAAAAAGGTGTACCTCTTTTTCATGCTTGATTTTGAGGTCATCTAGTTGGCGGCTAAATTCCTTTGCCTGCTTTTCCCGAAGATTCTTGGAACGAGCCAGGTCTTCTTCAACTTTCTCCATCTGCAGAATAATAATAGGCTGATTTAGCAACAGAACGGGAACGTCAGTTGACGACGGCGCGCGCAGATCAAACAACTGGCTTGACCTTGACCAATGGCAGAGCGGCAAATTGGGCACCGGAAGTCGTGTTTAGTCCTTTCCGCGGGCTTTCCCGTCATCAACTGACGTTTTCGTCCTGTTGCTAAATCAGCCTAATAGTTCATGGAAATGAACGGGTGGTTGACTGACTGAATAGTAAATGCCCGAATGACTTTTTGACTCACTGACAATAGAGAAACTGCTTATCAACCAGCTGGCTAGCAAACATTGAAGGAATGAATGGGCGACTGAACGGGTAAATAATTGACCAACTGTTTGACTGACTGCCAGGAGACAGTCACTTGATGCTTACCATTTGCTCAAACATTCAACGATTAAATTACTCTTTGAGAAACGAAGACACGCTACAAAGTTTAGCCAAATCAGCTACAGAGACTAAAACTGAAAGTGCCTCAAACGATAGCCAATATATTCTGATGCTTCCCGAACGCAATGGCGTGAATGATTCGATCTTTCAAATCAGAGTTTCCAGTTTCCCTTTTTCCAAGGGTCTCTACGTGGGGAGCATAAATACGAGCGCTGGGCGCGAGCCAGTGATAATCGGCAGGAGACCCCCCCCACCCCCACCCACCGCGCTTACCTCAATAATAAACCAACTATCCCCAGATAAGCATGCGCGAATTTCTGAGGACGAGACACAGTCAGTGCCTAGTGTTGAATGGTGACAGCATATCGATAGTGATTGTCTGGCAGATTGACTGACCGCTAAACGCGTGAGTGACAGCGGAATAATCTTTACCTGTGCTTTCATCTCGTCAAACATTCTTCCTGAATTTCTCTCTACTTGACTTTTAAAATCCTCCAGCGCTAGTTCAGCCTGCTGAGCTTGCTGTTTTTGAACTTCAGAAAGTTTTTGTACTTGATCGTCACGTTCCCTTTAGAAAAGAATGATTATTTAGCACCATGTGAACCCGCGGGAGCTTGCTCTCAAATATTTAACCTCTTGAATATCGTGGAGCATTTTGCAGGGTGGAAATTCTGCTCCCGAGGATGAAGTATACCCATGAAATCGTTGGTACACACACAAGAGCTTTGCTCCCGGAGCTTGCCCCTGGAGCATGCTCCGGGAGCAAAATCCCTCGTGTGTATCGGCCTTTATGCACAAGATGTATCTCAGGGCATCAAAGTCACACCCTATTTCATACCTTCCTCGCCGCTCTTAAACTATTTCAGGGTTCTCATTATCGCAATACGATTTGTGTGGAGTATGGTAAGAACGAAGGCTACTTTACGCAGGTTTCACGCTCCTTAAAATAGAGAGGTGCCAAAATGTAAGTAATAATTAAGGAATCCCAAATTCCTCAAAGCAAAACAACAACAATAACGAAGATCATTTGCATTCACATGGCGAGCTTACTTCAGGGCGGCCTCCAACTTTCTAATACGCTTCTCGGACTCTTCTTCACCCTGATTTAGCTCTGCCTGAATCCCCCGAATCTGAAAAAGGAACAGAGAAATATCTAGCCTTCCACGAAACTCTCTCCATTTGTAGTTTATTCTTACTGAACAGGAACTTCACTTTTTTTCTTAGCTCATATGTTCAGCATTGTAACTAAGGTCGCTCACCTTTTTCTCGTGAAGATGCTCTAAGTTTAATTTCTCTTGTTTGTGCGCGGCTTCTAGTTCCTGTTAATGGAAAAGCATCAAAACTACTATCAAAAACTTGTTATTCAACACAAAAATTACGTTTCCTCGAAAAAATCCCGGAATGGTAGGATCCATCTTTTTGAGGACGATAATTGAAACGAAATGCGTAACTTTGTGGGAAACTAGGAAGCTGTTGTCCCTAGTAACAGGGACAGCAACAAAAATCGGCCCAGTTAACATCGTTTTCAAAGTGGCGCATGTTTAGAGATAATTAAAGATAACTAAAAAAGCTGCTGCTGGGACAGCGGTAACTTCAATTAAATCCTTACCCTAAGCTGTCTCTGGCGTTGAAACTCAGTATCTTGGAGTGCCTGTTTCAGCTGGGTAACCTGTGACTCCAATTCCGCTATCGTGTCTGTCGCCTAAATGTACACAGATCATAAAATCACTCACGAGATTTAATTTCAGAAAGAGAAGAGCAACATTGTGATTTACCTCTTGTGCAAAATCAAAAAACTTACGATGCAGAAAAATTCAAGATAAAGGGAGATACTACACATTCCAAAAGTCAGCAAAGAATGAGGCTGCCAGGGCATGAGGTGGCTCATCGTAATTGAAACTTGCCTTTCATATAGGTTAGCTGGTGGTTTTTATTCACCAAGCTTGTTAGAGTTTCTTCTTTCAATCACCCCTCTCACTCCCTTTTCTCATTGTGAAAGGTGGTGGTTTTGAAATTCAAAACCAAGTTTGTTAGGGTTTTCTTATTTTCATTCTTCAAAATGCCCACCTTTCCCCCATATCATTACAGTATGTAAGAAACTTTTTCATCGAGGTGACATGAAGTAAGGTATCTGGGAAAATGTCTCAAAATTTGCAAAATTTTTCCAAAAACATAATTATTGCCGGGACTTCTCCCCTAAACGATAAATCCAGGATAGAACCCTAGCTTGCCACAAAATGTTTGCCGTTCTCTTTCTGTTCCCGTCCTGTTGCGTAAGTTCACTAATATAAAACGGGAAGATACCTTAGCAATGGCTCCTGCATGCTGTTGTTTCATTCCTTCCATGCTAGCATCCGTCTTCTTGTTTAACTGTTTGATTACCGCTTTGTGTTCATTGATCGCGGAAGAATGGTCTCGTTCCATTTTTGCCAGGCTAAAAAGCGAATATACAGAACTCTTTTAATCGTATTTGGTAATAGATAAACTACTTCTAACCTGCCAGTAGCTGTTCTGGTATCCATGCAGCGATGAGAACAAAGCAGAAGGTTGGATTGTCACCATACTGTAGTCAGAAGTTAAAAACTCATAGCCAATTTTGAGTGTCAATGTGCCCTATGTTTACGTCTGCTACTGGGTTTTTCATTACCGTTATTATTCCGACCCAAATTTTCGCTCAACCCCTTAATGTTATTTTGGGCATCCAGCATCCCGTGCATACTTTCAATTCCGAATCCCGGCCTTCAAATAAGGGAAATTCCGGATCCCCAAAAACCGACCACGGACCCTCTTGTAGAATACCATGATTGATATCATTTTTGGCAAGAAATGTATGCAGACTAGGACTCCAAGAACATTCAACAGAAACTAGGAAATAATGTGCTAACTATTTTGATAGATACAGAAAACAAAAAACCGTATATTACGCTGTCTTGGCTTCTTGTAATTCACTGGACAGGGAGGATGCCTGTTGTTCAAGTTCTTCCTAAAAAAGGAAAGCAGCAAAGTGAAACATTAGGTTAAAACTGTCTTTCACTGAGTCAGGTTAAGGCTTCAGGACCTTTCCCCTTCTCGAAGAGTTTCTCCTGCTGAATTTTATCTTAACTTTCACGACCTTGTGTATATTTCAGTCTGTCTCTATATCAGTTTTAATACATTTAAATTTATGACTTGAGTTTATAATAGCCAGAATAAGTGTACCTATTTTAAATTTTTATTTATATATATTTTTCTTTTTCTTTCACGTAATCTTTTTTTCGAGGGCCACTGGGTCATCAGTTGTTAAAACTGTCATGTGCTACCCTTGTTAACGAAAGTCACCATCTCTCTATATCTATCTATGTAAATTTGCGTCGGCTTTTGCATGTGACCCTCACTTGATGCAAAAAGTATTGTCACTTGCTAATGAATTTTGCTACGTTCTCTGCTTCTAATTGGTGTAGACTAACCAGCTTGATTGAAAAGCTAGAAATTCAGTTTGGGTTGGCTATTTAGGAAGACGGGAGATCACCGTTGTAAGACGAAAATGCATCCCAACGGCCACGATGTCACAGGCCTCCAGTATAAATTTAAATGAATTAATTAACATTAGAATGCACCTAAAATAGGTTTCACGAGACAGGATAACCGCAACAGAGGTCCCAGTAAATACTGAGGACCCACAAGTGACAACAACAAGTGCCACAGTAATAAATTTTATTACCTTGTCCTTTCCAAGCTTAGATCGTGAGCTTTGAAGTCCTTCTGATTCTTGAGTAAGTTGTTGAACTCTTGTTTCCAACTCCTGAATTACAAGTCTCTAAAGAACAGCAATCACAATGAGTGTCAAATACTACCTTCTAGCGTTTATCAAAAATTTCATCTAGAAGAACTGGATTCCTTGAGAAAGTACTGTCACCTAATCTTCTAACACCTGGTACCTCTACAAAAGTCAGGAACAACAAATTTAAATAAACATTCCAAGAAACAAATCCCGATTACCTGGAGGCAAACCAGTTGGCTATAGGCAAGCATGGCCAAGGATTTAAACTCGCGACTACTATGAATTAATCCTGTTAGCGGTCGGGGCGGGATTGGGGCCTCTGGATTGCAACACCAGCGCTCTAACCACTCGGTCATGCTGCCTCCCCAAACCTTGTCTTCCTGGCTCCAATGGGTTTTTATATTTATTTTGCAAATATGCTTAGTACATTTACATGTTTCACTTACTGTGGCTGCATTTTGCTGATTGTATTCAGTCTCCATTTTTTGCAGTCTCTGATTTGTTTCGTCCAGTAATTCCTGGATATTCTGCGTGTGTTGCTTTTGCATCTCAAACTTCTCTTGCTCAAACTCTGCTATCTTGTCATTCAACTGAATTAAGGCCACAAGAAAACAATTTCCTTGTCATTCCCTTTGAAATGGGTGTGGGCAGTTAATAGAGATATCTTGTTAGATTTTAAGACGAGGACAACCGCGAGAATGAGATTTTCTCAATACTAAGTTGTGTGCACAGTTCTCCTTGTTCTCACCAAAACATCTAACTAAGATAATAAGTAGGCATAAAGAGGTAAGTACTGACCTTTTTTTCAAAGCCATGCTGTGCTGTTTCACCACTCTGCTCGGCCAGAGTCTTCAGTTCAGCTATTTGTTGATCTCTCTGCTCCTTCATTGTCTGTGCTTCTCTGACGAGCTGAGAAACTGAATACAAGAATCACTGTTCATTTGTAATGTGTTCATTCACCTAGAATGAATAAGGCCCTCTTGATGATAAATTAAAGAAAGTGATGGCTTTGAAATGGGAACACAAGAAACAGATACTAGTGATGAACAACTGTACTTGCAAAGAGATTTGAAAAATTTCTTTCAGCTCTCAGCATACCAGTCTGTGCACATACGTTTTTTCCTTTCCCCACCCCCGCAAAGAAATTTGGAGAGTGAGTGCAATATTTACACCCCCCCTCCCCCCCACGAAACTAGCAGTGAATATATCCCCCACGGTTTTCATTTTCATAAGTGCTCTCAACTGTATAGAGAAAATAGAGGATCTGTCAACAGCTATCAACAAGCACAACATTTTGTGTCCTCAATAATCTATTATCAATGGTATGAAAGCCTCCATAGAGAAGGAGGAAAAATTGCACTCCAGTTTGTAGCACATTTTGCACCTCTCTCTCTCTCTCTCTCATTTTAAACAAGCTTAGCCCTCCCTTATTTAGTGGGTATATGATCAAAGTCCTAACATCCTGACAAAGCAATAATTCTTATTTCACTGAATTTCATCAAGAGACTATGTAACATAGAGAATTAGGTTGTTACTTGTGCAAAACATTCCTAGTGAATGTCTTTTTGCTGTCTACTTTTCCTCCAACTTACAGTTTAACCACTGTTGGCCAAAGAGTTGCCAAGACAGACTTGTGCTACTAAATGAGGTGCTTCTCATATCTTTTGGATCTTGGAGAGAAGGGAAGTGGGTAAAACGTTTTTCTTAAATTATTGTTACCTTTTCTTTCCTGTTTCTTAGCAGCTGCTTCCATTTCAGTTATCTTGTTTCTGTAGTGCGATTTCACTTCCTCTAATTCCATGTTCTTTCTGTCTAAAATCTACAAAAAAAAAAAAACATATCCATGATATCTAAGAGTTAGAAAGAATTATTTTCTCAAAATGATGACTCACGGACACCTTACAGCAATTCTGACCCCCGCAAAATAACTGGACAAAGTATAAAGGTACAGTTCTTAAGAGGTCTCAATTTTACGGACTTACACCAACATTTTTAGTCTTGACCTATTATCAACTTTTTGCTACTTAAATTACCTTTTGGACAGCAACATCATGTTGTTGTTGAAGCTTAAGCTTATCTTCATGGTACTTTGCCTCAACCATTTTCGTTCTTAGCTCAATCTGAAGAAACAGCAGTTAAAAAAGAAGTACACTGAATAAATAAATACGAGAATGAATACTACATTAATTTAAAGGACAGGGACAGCTAAACAACTTAAACTGAAAAAACTCAAAACAAAAACTCAGAGAGGGGAGCATGCCATGCAACAGTTTCAAAAAGGTTTTAACTACTTGATCTTGAGAGGACAATATTTCGAAGGTTTAATAAATATTGGTCTCACTAGAAGGTTATGTGAAGCATCTAATATTATTTAAACTCAAACTGTGCCTACTTTAATTTCTGTCATGAGCAACATAAGAAGAGAAAAGACACTAATTTTTGTTTTGTTTCATTTCTAAATTAGAAACCAAGTTGATGGACTATTATAAAAATATTAAATTGCTTCAGTCATAATGTTGAAGTCAATTGTTAATTTATTATGTTGAAAATGTAAAGGTGCTTGTTATAGCTTGTTCATTATTGTATTTAGAACTGTGGTTGTTACATGTACCTCTCTGTCACTCGATCGACTAAAACTATGGTCATCTCTGAAAGTTCCATTGATAGATGATAGACCTTTAGAAGACAACAAAAGAGAACAATTTAAAAAAAGAGAAAAAGAGCCTGAAAACACAGGGTGCAAAAATCCCATTAATTATTAAGCTACTTATGCCACTGGGACAGGGTCCCTAACTTTATCTAGTGCAACAATGGAAGGACATGTTCTGAATGGTACAGCGAAAGATGTGAATCAAGAAAACTACCTACAGTGTAGCAATAAAGGGAGAGGTAAGTATTAGTCATGTTACATGTATTAGACATGGTTTTACAACAGACCTGTTTTTAATACTGAAAAAAGAACCCACCTTTTGTGAAGCCATTGTAGTGGTTTGTTTTTGATGGCTAGATGAAAATAGAAAAACAACAAAAAATTAATGTGGTTATCAAAAGAAAAAGTACCAAAACAAAGGTACATGTAACCATAAACTATTGGCTATAAACCTTTTTTAAAAGAGGTTAAAGGTTATGCATCTGTTTATTTTGAACTTCCAAGAATGTAACTTCAGAACAAATTTAAATCGGCTCCACTCCCATATACTCTCCTACTCATTCATACTTACAGGAGATGTAGAGGGATATCCTGAATCAGTGTGCTGGTACTCTGAAGGACTCCGACGAGATGGTGGAGAAATCCGACCACCATATCTTGACTCTAGAATATCTTCAGATGGATAACCTAGTGAATGACGTCCCTTGTACTGTTTTTCTTCGAGGACCTGATCCAAACCTGGAGCCACTTCATAGCCATTTTTCTCCTCTCTGCTTGAGGTGCTATAAGTTGTGGACCGTGGTTGAGGAATGGGATTTACGCCATTTGTGGTTGGAAGCTCCCTGAAACAGGAATACAAAAAATTGACATATCGCTCTTCTTAAAACTTACAGGATGGTATTCTTTATTTATTGTTGAATAAAATAATGAAACTCAGGGATTCAGGAAAAATAAAGTAATAAATGCACTCAACTGGCCTTGAAAATTTAGGTTTTAAAGCTAAGTGTTATATTTAGGGTTTTTTGCGTAGGGAGAAGGATGAACCTGGCAAATTGTATGCCTTGTATATACATGTGTTAATAAAATCACACCTTCTTGGATGAAGAGGAATGCTGCCAGATGTATCAGAATATATACTTCCTAAAATAAACAAGACAAACCAGGTTAAAGCTTTAATGCTGGGAAGTACTAGATTCCATAACACAGTTCTACCTCATATCATTGTGAGCAAAGAAGCTCTTAATATACATACTCTACCATCAATGAAACAGACAATAATGGAAAGATAAACTCTATACCTGATGAACTAGCAATCTCTCTGAGCCAGTCAGGGGGTTGATGACCAAACTCCTGGAAATTATGCAATTTTTTCACAAAAATCAGTACTGAAGAGTGAAGAAGGTATCCATGCCTTCTATAAACTACCACTGCCATGGAAAAAAATTAAACCTTGATAATCAGTTCTCAACTCAATGTACATGTACCAGACTTTTTTATGGTTCAAATTTTCCTTTGCTCAAAACAAAGGCATTTTCCATTCTAGGGAAACTGATTTCACAGGAAGAAAATACAAATTAACATGGTTTGAAAACCATTTACTTTTAACTAGTACGAAAATTTTGAACCACAACATATACATGTGTTGTATGTTGTATGTCCTGACAACAAGAAACAGAACAAAGTAATGTAAATAAAATAACATATTACCTCTTCAAGTTCCACAGTGGCACTTTTTCTACTTACAGGTTCATCAAGATATATGGACTGCAACAAAAAGAACGAGATTTTGTACCAATTTACTTACTCTTACATAATCAGATGAGTGGATGACCCTTTGTTCAAAACTGTCTGGCAAAAAAAGATGCACTTGGCTCCACTGGAAGCACAACTTACTGCTTTGTTACCCTTAATATAGTTTAAATTATTGAAGAGGTGAGTGGAGTCAGGCTCTCAGTGACTCCTGATCTACATGTAATCCCACATTCAGCCCTTGATTACCAAGCTTTTGATTCTCACCTCTGTCTGTCTCCTAAGGTTTACAGCATAGGAGACAAAAGAATATTGAGAATCAACCTAGAGTCCCAGGCAAAACTGCTGGGACATAAAACTGTCTTCTTACCCTCCCAATGTTGGTGTGCAAGATTTGGTGAGTTAACTGCGATACACAACATTGGGAGGACAATAAAAAAACAGCATTTGGTGGAAGTGTCCCTACTATTTTTGTCTGAGACTGTAGGTAAAAACCATTTGAACGTAAATTTCATTTCTAACTAGAACATGTACAGATGTACATGTTGTATATTTTATACCATATAAGATGGCAATGGCTGAAGTGGTCCTGCCTCTGGTCTTCTGGTAAAAGGATCTTCTAAAAGGCCACGCTTTACCATATGAAGCAACAACTGTGCATACAGGTTACGGTTTTTTCTGTGTGAGAAAGATCGAGAAATGTCAACACTCATGTTTTAGGTCATATACAGTATACAAGGCTGTGCTTTAGGAAAAAATGAAGTGAGCCAAAGGTCTGAATCTAAGAAATTTTGGGTTGGTTATTGAAACGAAGTCTAACTTAGACCGCGGTTTAGGAAATCTTTGGATCTCCAGATCTCTTCCTTAGTGGGTTGTGTTAAGAAGACAAGTGCTTTCTATTCTACGCCATAAACACAAAACATGTTACAATAAAGGAATTTGGCAAACTGAAAATGGCTTGGAACACGGTTTTGTTAAACACCAGCTAAACTCTGTTTAAATATCTGGCCCTTAGGGCCCCCATAGTAGGGAGCCTATAATAAGCAAGTAAGGCAATGAGGGCAGTAATTTGCACAATATTAGCCTGAATATTAACATAGTTGTTTTAGCTCTAGATAGAGTAGAACCTTATTAACTGAAATTCCCAAGGGCAACAAAAAGTTCAATTTAGCAGGAGTTTGAGCTGGTAAGTTAAAATTTACTGAAAATTGATTTGAAAGGAGAATTGGTTTGAGTAAACTTTTTCAAGTTTTTGGGTTTAACGTCTGCTGTGTGACTGCAAGTTATCCCTTTCCAGGGCAGTTGCATGCAGACATTAACAATCAAAGCCAGGTTTTCATATTAAGTGTTTCTGTCTACTTACCTTCCGCTTGTGCCTGGTCCAGGAGGTTCACAAAGCTTTTTGATCCATAATGCCACTCTTTGTCTCTCTGTAACAATGAATGTTTCAACTGTTATTAAGCTTTATTATACATTTTAAGAAACTCTCTGTTTTAGGACAAAGGAAGGATCTCCGTCAATGATTCTGCTGATATTAGCATGTCTCCTACACAAATCTCATCATTTCTTTAGTTGATTAAACAGTTAAACCGTCCCATACACTGTTATTGTGATACTATATGCTTGAAAGTTGATTGGACTGAAGATTAACCAATCTTTTCTTTTTTCATAATTCAATAACATATTATTATTTCCTTCATGTGTGATTACAAGTAGTACTGAGCTTCAAGAAACTAACATGGTTACAGATTGTGCACATACAAGTCCCTGTCAAGACAAACTTCTTATCTGCCCAGAGCAGACGATAACTTAAAATCAATAATTTTATTTAAGCCTAAGTCAGATTTACAGTTAGAATTAATAATGAGCTTGATTCCGCTTATCTTTTTGGAAAGCCTTTTATTAACCAGAAAGGAATTGAACTAACAATCAAATTTCTCGGTTCAAATGAAGATTGACAGTTATAAATAGACGACTCATTAGGAATAAGGCCTGGATAATTGCTGACATCAGCTATAAACAGTTCACAGGGTAAACACACACTGAACTGTTTGTAGTTGAAGAAATTCTCTCCGAAAATTTATTTGTCACAATGACTTTTATATAGGGAAAACATTAATAATGGGATAGATCTATAGAGTGGAGTGTGTCAAAATTAAAATAAGGCTAAAAGTACTTAACCTATGTTGATCCTCAAGGGTGCCTATTGTGTTACAGTGTGAATGCCCTGTTTTTTAGGGTGTTTCGACAAGTCACCTGCAAGAGCAGATGCCTTTTTCCGCTATAGTTGCTACCACGTTTGGAACTGAGAACCACAGGACAAGGTACAGACAACAATATTTTCATTCTTAAAGCACAAAAGTTTAATATAAGGTCAAGGTTGGCAAGGAAGTAACAATGGTGTAACAAAAAAAAACAGCTGGAAATAAAAAGAAAAAATTGTTGATAGGTGAGGTTTGCCAAATTTCTCTGAAAAAACACAACAGTGAAGTCCAAAATAATTAGCTGTGTTTCACCTTAAAGAATTAATTCAAGTTAAATGATGTAGTTAAAAAACATACACCATTTACCCAAACACCCTGGTCGAACTGAAACGTTCGAAAAAACTAGTTCACTTAAATTATGACGATTAACGCAGTTTAGGATCGTATACAAGGTTATATTAATTATGCCTTTTGTCCTGGGTGTTATCAGGTGTTATGAGATTAAAGTAAAGCTTAAGCTTTAAGCCCAATGTTTATAATGTTTTAAAACCCTGTAACATTTGCTTGTGATCTTTGTCGATGGCTTCTCTTACAAGGCTGGAGAGACCTTGTTGTGATGTTTAACAAAACATAACGACATCACTTAAAACAAAGAGAGCAAACTGCCAACGTAACAATATTCTTAAAAGCCTAGCAACTGAATTGTATATCGTGCACTTGTGTTAGGTTACCTGATTTGTGAGGCAGCCGAAGAACGAATGGCTTCATTTCCTCCAAATAGCGATCAAACATCGAGTCTTGCCTCTCACTTAATGAGCTGTTTAGTCCAGTTATTTCCCATAACGATGGGAAGTCATCTTCACGGTTGACTTTAAAACCTTTTTAAGGGTAAATGTCACTATTTGCGCCGGCACAAGATGAAAAATGTCACCATGAGTTCACGCAGTCTCTTTCCAAGAATGGCGGAATCGTTATTTCTCACACCAGGAACAAGACGCACAGCAGTTTCTTTCAGTTTTGTTTTTCTTAGAGCTGCAGGAATACCCTAAATAATGGTTCTATAAAGGAAAACATCTGTCGTCCCCGTTATAAATCATAAATGAAGTTTGTAAAAGACCGCCAACCGTTGAAGCAAACACAAAATGCAACCATGACTGATTCGACTGAGTGGAAACTGGGGACGAGCTAATCTGGGAATTGTTCTGGGGGGATCCCAGGGGTCTTCGTTGTTGGTTAACCTCTTTAGACTCTACATTGTAGGATTGTTTTGGTTTTCCCCTTTTTCCCTTCATTTTCCCGAAATTTATCAAAACAGTTGTTTTTTATTCTCTTGCAAGCAATTAGCAGCTTAGTCGAGCTTATTAGTTGGAGTACATTGAAATTCATTACTAACCTTTGATCAGGTCCAATTTGAAAATTTTAGTATCTCTCTTACATATTTCCCTCTCGCTAGTAAATGACTTTCGCCTTATTTTCCCGCCAGAATATTGTATCTTCTCAGGTTTGGGGGTGGTACCCATCTCAAAAACTTTTTAGAGCCCGCGTTATCAATGTACAGCTGTCCTTCATTATTACCTATGCGTCAACAGAACAACATGGCGGACAAGTTTGCGTCTTTTTGAAAGACTCTGCCCCTTTAAAATGGCTCAAATACGAGAGACAATTGAAGCGCTTTGCACTGTCCTCAATAATCACTGCCCTGGTAAGATTTCTGCAGAGAGTTTTCGTTTGGCCAAGTTTGACAAAAAAGAAGCGACAGACTCATTATGGATGACACTTCACACAGTTCTCACCGCAGAAAGTTTAAAACCAAGTGATCAACGCCGTCATAATGTTGCGAAGTTCTGTAAACATGTGATGTTCCGCAAGGGCTATCGAGTAAATGACTTCTTTCGGCTTCCAGAGGACATGTCCTATGGCAGCCGAGAATTAATGTTGGCCTTAGGTTGGCTGATGGCAAAAGAAGATGTTGTTACGAAATTTATAAACAAACTCAAACCTTTGATTTTTGAAGATCCTCCTGTAGACTTTTCATTGTTTGAAAAAATACCCTTGCCACTGGTACCTGATCACTTTATAGAGAAACCAACGAAAAAGGACTGTGATACTGTTGATGTTGCTGATCGTTTGATACTCGAGTACAATAGATTGAACTCTTCACTGAAAAACCTTCTGGCCTCAAGAAGTGAATACACCAAAATAGTTTGTAAGTTACACTCAATTCCCAAAGCAGCAAAATCCCACAGCTCAAGCCATTTCTCAACACAAGATGTTTATTTTATGCGGCATCCATGGGAGATGGAAAAATATCAGCAAAGGTTGGAGTGGTTTTGCAGTTATGCTAAGGCTCTTGTTTCTTGGTTGGCAAATGAGCTAACATTCTGGAAATGGATGGAAAGTGTTTTGGATGCAAAAATACAGAATGCTATTGAAATGGAACAGGGAATTGAAAACACTAACAGATTTTCAGATAATCAGCTTTTTAAGCCAAGCAGTACTTTACAAAAGGCCAAAGAGCGCCAAGTTGAACTCTCCCAAATCTTAAATGCACAAGAGCCAGTGTATAGGAAGGTTTCCAAAAGATGGAAGAAAATCAAAGCAAGTCTTCAATCTTCTGAAGAAGGACATGAGAAACTAGCAGAAATTTTATCATCACTTGATGATGAGCTTTTGGAAGAGTTTAAAGAGGTTCAGAAATCCTCAACATCTACCAGTAGTCAAGATGAATGCGAGAATTTAAAACCAAAAGATTCTTCTCTTTGTTTTAAAAAACTAACCCAAGGAGATTTGAAAACAGGACAAACATCTAAAGAGGTTATTAAAAAATCAATGGCATCTGAGGAAATTGAGAGATTGAAACGAAGGAAACAAGTTTTAGAGATGAAACTTAGGTCTCTGCAGGATTCTTACAAGGCAAAACTGTTTGAGATTTCTCAGGCTCACCCTAACCTTGTTTCTATCTCTCCTAAAATGGGAAACACTTTATGAACTTGTATTATTGCAAGAGATGTGAATCCCCAGGTAGTCCTTTACCCTACTTTTAAGCTAAAACATTCTATCTTCCTATTTTGCCATGGCTAGGAAGGTGGTTATCATCATCATCATCATCATCATCATCATCAGCATCAGCATCAATTAAAAGCCTCCCTTTCGGACCATAATGTGTCATGTGAGATTGCCGAAGGAGACTTGAAATTTTTCTTCCGAGAAGGCAAGACCAGTGGCCCTTTTGAGGGAGTCAATGTAAGTTTAACATTAATTTGTCCCCCATGTGACGCTTATCCCATGACATTTGTTCTTCCATGTCAGTTTGCCTGTGTGAACCCAGACTAATTACCTGTAGCTGTGCAAAATAGCTATTATTGTTAGACAACAGGAACAAAGATCTCTCTTCAGGCTTCTTCAAGCAACAGCACTTAGAATACAAGAGTTGTACACAATCATAATCATCCTTCAACTTCTGTCAAGGCCTGTTGAAAATGTGTCAGTAAGGTGAGGGGTTTACTCTCTCTCTCTCTGGGCGAGGTAGCCTCCAATGAAGAATGTCAGAAGTGATCTAATTTTTGTGTATAGCTACAGTAGTAACCTGGAAAGTGAGCTCTCCTCTCGTCTGTGCCATGATTTTGCAGATTTGTGGAATTTCTTCATAGATCTGATCTTGGACATGTATTAGTAACACTGTGTATGTGCCCTAAAGACATAAGCCCAACAAGAAACAGCAAAATCATTTCAGTATTATCTGGAGAAGAAGGGAAAGTAAGCTGAGAAGACTGAGATTATAGCTTGGTGAAACTGAATCACAGTGTATCATCATTGGGAGTGAGCATCATGACACAAGAGTAAGTGAGTAACAAACTAGTTAAAGATTAAGAAGAATTAATGCATCAATTTAGGTTTCTGGGAAACTGACCACCCACCCCTCCCCTAAGTCAACATCATCACTTACTTCTCACTTAGGGCAAAATGTTGGCTTAGGGGAGGGATAGGTGGGCAGTTTCTTACAAACCTAAATTGATCCAAGTTAATAATGTTATGATGTTCTGACTATTTTGCCACTCCCCAACCCCCATAATCCACTTTCTTGTGTTTTCTCTATTAAAATGAAGAAAAACCTATAAAAAGGCTTATTAAAAATCATGATTCTTGAAGATAACCTCTACTTTTATTGATGTCAATTTTCCAGGATTTGATTCTAAAAAAGCATTTTGTTTGACAATCACAGTTTAATGGGACTCTTTGAAAAGCATAAATTGTACTCTATTTAACAGGTAGGATTGTTTAAGCACCTTCTTACTGACTTAATTAGGAACAACTTCAAGTATATCTTTAATATTTTGGTGGACTGGGGGTGAAACCTTTGTCAGCAACTGCCAAAGCAAGTACAAAAGGTGCCTAGACTCTCTACTTTGAACTACATTGTACTTTAATCTTCACCTTTTGTACCTTGGGTTCCAGAGGATATTTTTTTCTTATCGATACTGATGGTTGGTGGCGAAGCCGCGTCAATGAGGCGCCGTGAGAAAACAATAACCATCCATCTCGGGATCCTTATCAAACCATAAGCACGGTTTATTTCGTTATAGGTATTTTGAGAATGGACCTCTGTTTGGGCTAGCTGACTGTTTGAAGTTTGGGTCATTAATAGAGTGTCAATTTTCGTTTGTTTCATCCTTAAATAGGGTCAGGTTTTAAGACTCTGGGCGCTACACACCTATCCAAAATTTATGGGATGACCCCAGGGAAAACACTATTGTTCTAGAACAAAATGTGGCACATTCTGCACTTTTTCAAAACTTTCCATTTCTTTCATGCTAAGACTTTTCATAACTGATTTCTGTTCAGTCTGTAAAGAATTAAACCTATTTTTACCACTATTAGGCTTGGCATTTTATTGCAAAAATACTTCACGCAATTATTTCTCAATAGCAAAGCTGTTTTTAGGAGTATTTTGCAAGAAAACCCCAGGGGGCCTGCTTCCCGGGGTGATAGTTTCTTTTCGTTCCAGACCTTTTTTTTGTCAGGTGAAGTAATTATTAGCCTGCATAACAGGCGCGTTATTAGCCAAGCGAGGCGAACGCGGCATTTTGCGCGAAGCGTGGGACGAGCGCGAATCGCGAGACGAGGGGAGGAGAAAAATAAAGCTTTATACGCCACTTGCACATCTCTTATGATGCATCTTATTTGTCCCCCAAAATTTTGCACAAGCATTGTTTTCAATTTCCCTTGGGACGGCTGTAATACCCAGGAGAAATGAAAAACAAAGTTTATGCAAAATTTTGGGGGGCAAATAAGGTGCTTTATGGGAGATGTGCAATTTTCTTCTCCCCTCGTCTCGCGCTTCGCGCACGTTTCGCGCCTCGCGTAAATGCTACGTTCACATCGTGGCTCATAAAGTGCCTGTTATGCAGGCTAAGTAACTCTTAGCCTGCGTTGCAGACACTGTTAACCTTCTGTACTATACAAATGGTCCAGACGATGCGTGGGTCGGCTGCAACGCAGTCAACGCGCGCGGGCTAAGTAATTCTCTACCGTTTACTTACAGAAACCACAAAAGCCTTGCGAAATTGTTTTGGACCCAACATTGTTGTCTGGTAAGTTTAATTCTCCTTAACACAAGTCTCATTTGTGTACTGATTTAGCCCCCCATTTGGGGGAAATCGTGGGAAGTCACCTGTGAGCTGCCAAGAAAGGAGACGTCAGCCCTCCCCCCGGCGGGGGTACTCCGTATGATGGCCTATACTGGTGGGCTCCGCCCGAAAAGGGGTATTTTTTTTGAGGATTCAGGTATATGAAAGGGTAGGGATTTCACTAGTTGAATTATATTAAAAAGGGTAGGGTCTGTGAAAGGGCAAAAAGGGCTAACACTGAGATGAATTTTATGGCTTTAGATAGTTGAAAAAACGGTTCTATTTTTGTGATTGATTCCTATATTTAAAAGACAGTGCATTTACAGCAGTTGAAAGGGATGCAAAGTACTAAACAAGGTATGTGAAAGGGGTACCATTTGTCAATAGAAGATACACGAAAGCCGAAAGAGGTACCTTTTCGTGAAAAATGGTATACAAAAGGGTAGGGGCTTGGACCGCGGGGGGGGAGCCTCCCCGTATAAACATTTGTTGAGTACCCCCGTCGGGCGTCAGCCTGGACAGAACAATTTTAAGACGTGTCTGAAGTCGTGTTTTTCTTTTTTGAAGAAGACCCATCTAACAGTGATCTAACACTGGGAAAATTTTGTCTTACGACTGAAAAAAGATAAACGTAGTTTTACCCGATGTGGTGTGAACTCAGGTGATGCCGGATTTGAGTTTCTTGTATTTTTTTCCTCCAGCTGTGATCTTGCGACTTTTTTTTAGCAAAATGGAAGATTCGCCAGTTAGGTTAAGCCATTTGACATCATGAAGACTGGTATTGGCCAGTCGAAATATTTTATACCTAGGCCTTTTTCACGTTGGTTGATCAGTCTTTGCAGTAGTCTTTTTTACTTCACTTCTATTTTTATCTTTTTCGACTGATCACGTTCTTGTTTGATCCAACGTTGAGCCACGTTGATCGTTCACGGTTTTTGCAGTGGTCTTTCAAGCCTTAGTTTACATTCCATTTAAGCCGTTCACATCTGCGTCACCTGAAATGGCCTTGTGGAGCCACAATAACTAACCACTTAGGGCAGTATCTAGACTTTAGGCATTGACGAGGCAAGATCTGCGATGGCCGAAGGTGCGAGCCATTAGGGGATGGGGGCGGGGGGCTTCCTCCTAAAAATTTAGAAAACAAGAAACTCTGAAACGTTGTTTCAAGCATTTTGTGTCTTTACACTCTTCCATTGGTTCTGTGGTTTGTTACTTGCATGTAAACGTTAAGTAAAACAGCCTTTTCGATCATATCCCTCGCTCTTTTTTTCTGCTCACATCTCTTTTTTCTACTTGTGGCAACTGAGCGTAAATTATGTTTTTGAGAATCGATTCACTCTTACGTTTTTGTATTTTCTTAAATTTTGTTTATTTGCAATTTTTAGTCCCATGTATTTTCGAGTATTATCCCTTTTTTAACAAAAACAAAACAAAACAAAAACAAAAACACTTTCGGCTGACAGTCACGCTATCCTAGTCGCAGACGTAGAAATTTGGTTCGCATGCAAATAAGTTTTGTTAACCTTGACTAAATATATTTCAACGTTCTTGTCATAATACTGTGGACCACATAACCGAAGCCATGATTGAGTACCCTTTTTTCGTGCAGTATTTGTTGATCTATATGATTTATGGTCGGAGGAAATCACGAGTGCGAGCATGCTCCGGATGCACGTGAGCAAGTGATTTCCAAAAATACATTCGCGGTGAGCAATGTTCTTTTGTTTAAATTTCCAATAATGATTTGCATAAAATCAAAACATCATATCTCGGTGATCGAGTATCATTTTGACAGTTTGCAATCGATCTGGCAAACTTAGCGGTTTCCCAAAGGGAAAGAGCGAAACCCCCGATCGTGATATTGACGTCATTAGTGAAATTTAATTCTTATTTCAAAGTGATTTCAAAAGTTTTCTTGCACAAGAACGAACAAGTAATAGGTTGCACGTCGCCTCTATCGCTACTACGTCTTGTACGTGCCGTCTGTCGGGTCTCTGTTTGTTCTTCGTCGTTTACTGCTGCTAGTTGGACAAACGTCTTCAATATGAAGGGCCGAAGACCCAGTACACGAAGTACCTCAAGCCGAGCAAGCCTTGCAGATTCGACAGGCAGAAAGATGTTGTCCGAGGTCCTTCTCGTCTGTGAACTGATGATGTTTATTACTCTGTCCGCTCTCACTGGAGGTACTCCTCAATTAGCCTCAACAGACAGTCAGAAAAAGCAACCTAAAGTATGTTTCTAAGAAGTATTTAATCTAATTGTGTATCTTTAAGTGTTACTGTGCCAGTCTTTTAGGCTTTTAGAAGAGTGTGTTTCTTTATCATGTTTAATTTCATTAAATTAATTTTTACGCCCTTCAGCAAAGAACAAAACAAGTGTTAATTAACCTTTTTATTCAACTTTGTTTATATACGCTTTCATTAGACATGCAAATATAATTCAGCTCAGAGTTATTATTTTAGTGTGCTTTTGTTGTGTCACTAAACAAACTACTGTAATTGAGGACCGAACGAAATTTCCTTTGGTACAATAACAAATCTTCGATCACGTGGACCTCATATGCCAAGAAATTTTAACAACCGACGAGGATTAGTATTTTTATTGTTACACGCGAGTTAAATACTCTCTTGGGCTATTTCACAATCATTTTAGGCATGGCTTGTTAAGTGTCTTTTAGGGGGGCATAATCCTCATTAAGCTAGTGGCTTTGAAATCGTATTTAAAAGAAGAGAACTACAATATATAGGGGCTTTCCGATAACCCTATGATACTTACGCAGCAGGGCCCAGTTGTTCGAAAGATGGATAGCGCTGTCCAATCCAGTGGATGGCGCAATTGGTGTTCCTAATACAGTGGAACCCAGTTAATACTGTGACCAATGGAAAACATTTGGCCGTATTAACAGGTGACCGTTTTAACCAGGGTTTTGTTACAAGAAAATGTATGGCCGTTTTGCCGCGCGGCCAAAGGAAGTGGCCGTATTACCGAGGTGACCGTAAGGCGGGGGTGCCACTGTACTTATCTGCTGGATAGTGATTTATTCAGTAGATAGCACTATCCAGCGTTCGAACAACCAGTGCCTACAGGTCAATAAACTTAAGCATAAGTATGCTACCTGAGTGGAGTTTCAGGTTGTCGACATGTAGATCACATATACTCAAGAGTTATTCATGGTATGGCTATGGCAGTGACATGGATAGCGGGTTAGAAGACATACTATTGGTGGGAACATGGTAATGAATGTTTGGTTTCCTCTGAATAATCCAATAAAACCTTATTCTATGTTTGAAAAAATTTGCTGATACACTGCTACAAGCAATATCAAAATCACAGATATCATACCTTTCACTGAAAAGACAAATGTGAAAAACCGAACATTTCTTGTTTCGATGGACGTTATGAGTCTTGACACAAATATACCGCAAAACGAGGGTATATTGAAATTGTCTGTCACAAAGCATATGAAAATTTCTGCAAAGACATCCCATTCCTGCCGGAAATGCTTAGAATAGTCCTCGAAGAAAATTTCTTCCACTCCAATGGAAAGCACTACCGACAAAACCATGGAACTGCAGTGGGCACAAAGACAGCAGTTTTGATTCCTTTGCCAACATTTTCATGGCATATATTGAAACAACAACTCCAAGCAAAACCGTCTTTAGAACAACAGTTTGGAAATCTTACATACACAATATCTTTTCCCTATGGGACGTGAGTAAACCAGACATCGAAGCCTTCATTGAACAAGCAAACTTACATCACCCAACTATTAAATTCACGGCCGAAACATTATTTAGGAAGGCCTGATACTCAGGCTACCGAAACATTTGACACTGAGACTGCGTTTTTAGACACGGCTGTATACAAAGGCACAAGATTCAAGGAAAAATCTATCCTTGATGCAAAGACACATTTTAAACAAATAGAAACCTTCTTGCACACACATTTCACCTCGTGTCACCCTCCAAATGTTAAAAAAGGATTTGTCAAAGGAGAAGCCTTGAGAATCCTACGAAAAAACTCCTCAGAAACAACCTTTGAGGAAAATAATTCAAATTGAAAAAAAAAATGCTTGATGGACGGAGGCTACCCACAAACTTTGATAGAAAGCCTACTATCAGAAATAAAATTCACAAAAGGGAGTCGAAACTACTAAAACAAAACAACAAGGGGGAAAAAGAAATATTGCCATTCGTGACACAATACCAACCCTCGGTGACTACTACAAAGGAAGCGTGAATGAAAAAATGGAATCTTGTACAAAACCAACCAATTACCATAACTTCAATAATTTTTTAAAGAACCACCCATCACTTCCTTACAAAAAAGGAAAATCATTAAAGGACATTTTCGTTAGAGCCGAAGAAAAAAGGTTAACAAAGGGGTTCATGCCCGTAAAGATGTGCGGCCTGTCATGAGTATTTTAGCAATAATTCCAGCTGGCTGTGTTTTACATAACAAGTGTGGTCAACTGTCTCCTCATCACCCACCCCCTCTCTGCTCCGGCCCACCCCCCCTCCCCCACATACTTTTTGGCCAGTCCCTCAGTTTGAGATATTGTGACTGGGTAGATTTGTGTAAGGATTGCCAATGTTTTAAGAAGCAGACCAGTCTGAAATGCCTTGTTTTCCTGTTTTTAATTTGAGATCTGTTGCTTAGATTCATGCCAGCATGTAGGAAAACATTCATACCTTCCACTAGAGGGTTTTTGAGCGTGGCTCCCACTTCCCCGACTTTATGCCATAACTTGTTTCTCACTACTCCTGTTTTGCGATACTAATACGGTGGAAGCTTTCTTAAGCGGACATTATCAGGACGCGCGGACACCCTCGGGACGCGAAAATGGTGCCCGTAGCTGGGGCGGGCCGCTTACGGGAATGTAAAAATACAGAATTTGTTGTTGAGGAAAACGGCTTTTTGTGAAGATGGCCGTAAGTAGAGCTTTCCGCTTACGAGAGTGTCCGTTAGGAGAGTTACCACTGTATGTGTTTTCCCTCTGCTTTGGAATAATTCTGTTAGGTTTGCTAATGACAAATCTAGCTATTAAGCAAAGTTTCTAATCTTTTCCTTCTCTCCAGCAGAATAGATAGATACAATGGTTCGGCAACTCATTGATGATATAGATGTGGCAGGCCTGGCTTGCAGGCTTCCAGTGTCAGACAATGCAGAGGAATTTTGGTCGCAGTTGATGAATAATGAAGAAGTGATGAGTGGGATGGTCATAACTGGACGCCTGGACTTCATGGCCTGCCTAAACATAGCCTACAACATTATCAAGCATTTCGATTAAACCTTCTTTGGTGCTCATGCTAACTAAGCCCATCATTAAATGGATCCCTAAATTAAGAATCTTACTTGAAGCTTTGATTTATGCCGAAGTTGTTCCCTAAAAAGGTTGTAATTCAAAGACTGGTGTCTTTGTTGACACTAATGGTCCATAAGCTGGACAACAATCAGTGGAAATACTGAAAAGATTGGAGGGGATGTTGGCGAGCATTGTTCACCGATGTCTCTTTGACGAAGCTTTGCTATAGACACCGTCAGGAGCCAATCAGGAAATTAGATCTGGAAGTTGTACTGCTGTAATTGTGGGTGGCACTTCTCTAGACTTTTTTATTACTTAACATGCTTTCCCCCGATGGTGCATGTAAATCTTTTGATGTCAGTGCTAATGGACACTGCTGTTCAGAGGGTGCCTTCGCTATTTTTCTGGAAAAAAAGGATATAGAGAATCTATTCTCATGTTGTTAACTCAAAAGCAGCTTAAGTGGACACAAGAAACAAGGTGAGGGATTTTTGTTTCCCATTTTGTTTCTCATCCTTCATCTTGCTAATTATTAGGATTTTAGAAGCATAAATAATATTTTTGGAATATTTATGCAGCAGGAGTAGGATTTAATGATGTTTACAAAATGATTCAAAATCTGTTACTTACAGTGAAACTAGGGTAGCTAGGGACGATTTAGCATTATTAACCTATTATCCTAAAGGTAGCAAACAACAAATTCAAACCAGAGGATGACATCTGAGTATCTCAAACAACTTTAATTTACTTTGTGGAATTTCATTGGTTAGTAACTTGCCCCTTTTTTGCTGTAGCCTGAGGATGTGCACATCTGAGGGGGGAAAAGTAGTAGGGAGGAAAGTGTCCTCCTCGTGTGCGAGCACATCCTATAAAAAATAACTAAAACACCTGACGCCACGCAGGTTAGCTTTACTGTACACTGCAACTTATAGAGCAAGTAGTGATGATTTGCTTTCATTTGAAAGTACATTGTTGTGCTAAGAGAAATTTCTGTCATTATAATAGAAATATACCACAAGTCAGTTACGTTACCTGCACGAGGGAGATCCTGCCTCAAGGCCCCTACTGTTTGGCTGGTTACTCATTTGGGGCACCTGTGTGGATATAGAGATGGCATTGCAACTGGAGAAAACAAACTTTGCTGTGGCAGAAGGTCTTTTTTTAAAATTCTGAAGCCAAGCCAACACTCAGCAAAGTTTATCACGTATTTTACGGCTCTACTGCGTATGATTGAAAAGTACAATGTGGCTTCCAGTCTTCGAAGAAACGTGCGTCTCATTCTTGTCAAAACCGCTAACAGGATGGACAATTTTTAGGGTACGACTTCTAGTTGTGATGCATGTGCGAGATGATCAGGTGATAGTCATACTTTTTCCAAAGCGATAGCACTGTCGAGATGGCTAACATAATCACCGGGGACATAAATAATCCAGCGTGATTGACATTGCTATAGCAAGACTAATAATACTGCTATCAAAGGGCAAACTTCAGCCCCATGCCCAGTGAATGAAATTGAAGATCGACACTTCGCAGAAGTTTTTCATAAAAAGAGTAGAAGTCTAGAAAAGATAGTTTTGATTTCACTGATTATTGTCAAGAGACGAGAAAAATTCTGATAAACTACTAGGTGCGATAAGTAATTTATGTATTTTTTTTCAAGTGTTAAGCGACTAAGAAAAGGTTTGAAGTTTAAAAAAACCTGTGGTCTTTTTGTTTAAATAGGTTAGTTCAGCGTTTTGTATATAATTTTACTTTCTGAAGTCTTTTTAAAATATGGTATTACATGGGTAAATGCGACCTCAAAATTCTAAAACAAACATTCAAACATTTAAAAAGCTTATTTAAAAGGCCCCACATGCAGTTGTTCAAAGGGTGAATAGCGCTATCCACCGGATAAATCACTATTTAGTGGATAACGCAATTGATTTCCCTACTACTTATCCACTGGATAGTGATTTATCCGGTGGATAGCGCCATCCAACTTTTAAACAACTGGGGCTAGGTGTTGTATAGAGGTTTTTGTTATTGGAATAAACACAAAGTGAAGAGGCATTTGTGGCGGTAATATTGCATTTCAGTACCAGGCAATTTACTCACCCTGTTGAAGACGAAAATAACCGTAAAGACCTCCCTGGTGAAGGACAAAGTTCACTATCCAGTCCATACACCGTCTAGGCCGTTTAGAAATCCGTGTCGTTTTTTAAATCGACTCAACTGACTTCGATGTCAGAATCCTTACTCTTAACTGGACATTGACAAAATGCAGGGCACAAACGCTTGTTAATCAAGCAAGAAACTGAACAAGTTGAATGATTGTGCTCTATTTTGCTATTTGCTAGTACATGGGGCATTTAATTCACATATCAGACAGGCCATTTATTGGAGAGAGGCGTCTAAAACAAACTTAGAATCGTAGGAGGGGGGCGGGGGCGTTTACTTGACGAGAGGCGTTAATTTGAGAGAGGGCGTCTATTAGATCATTTATGGTTCACGAAAATGAATTGATGTTACTAATAACTTCTTAAATAAATTCAGATAAAGTCCTCCGATTTGGGATTGTTCACATATCGATGCCAGTCTTGCATGCCATATCATACTCCCTCTTATCGAGTCGAGACCCTGATAAAGTTCACAGTTCAAGGCAAAGGGGCAAAAAACCATACCACATCCAGCGGCACGTCCCCGTAAGGTCATGTCTTGAAACGGCTGCCAGAGACTGCAAGCAAAAGCTGCTCGTGGCAGTCTTTGATTTGTATCCTCACAATACCCCCCCCCCACCCCCCATCCCACCCAGCACCATGTAAGTAAATCTAAGACAATCTGTGGATTCCGGATTCCAGGTACTGGATTCAAGATTCCTTGTCCGTAAAATTTGGAATCGGGATGACATTAACGGGATGTATATTTCCACAGTTACTGATCAGAAACATTTCGATCGTGTCCTTGTTCGGATGTAAAATATTTGGGACATTTGCTGTGTCCCAATCTTTGTTTATCAGAACCTGATTTTTGTGATTAGTCGAGATCTGAAAGCCTACACTAGCTGGATCTCGGTTATCTTGATAACTCCAGCTTTCTAAGTGATAGTGTGTGCGTCATTGGTGAATCTAAAGGGAAATTAATCAATTGGCCTTTGTGATCAAACCGTCGAGTTATACACTGATTTTCATAACAAAATGCCCAAGCTTTTGTTTTGTGGCAAAACTCGTGATCGAAGAACTTTACCGTTATCAGTATTTAAGCATCACTGAAGGAAATCACAATTTACCCTTAAAGAAGTGTCCCACTAATGAGTTTAAATTTTCACCTTTCGTTCGTCTGTGACAAAACATTGAGAAGAAGCGATAATGAGATTAATAAAAACGAGGAAATGCAACGGTGGATGGTCAACATTGCGCCGATTACGCGGAAAATAGGGAAAAATTTTTTTTGGAACTTGTCTAGTTTGAATTATCTTGTAGTCAATACCGTTTTAAGTCAACAGTATTGAAAGTGATGTTAATGTTTTCTCTATGCCTTGCAAATGCTGTTTGCGGATTCGAAAGTGCTATTTACATTTGTTCGTTTTTTTTTCTTTATTTTTCCAACATCCTCTTCATTGTTGGATTTGACGCAGCCTTTTGCTTAAGAAGAAAAGAGAATGGCGCAGGAAAAGACATCAGCTGCAAAATGGCAAAATTCAGGAAATGAGAGTTGCTATTGTGTTCACTAGGCAAAGATTTTTTACATCAGGTTTCATCACTAGTCATCCACCATTTCTCGCTTCTTCCAGATCTGGGAGAGAGCTTTCACCGACATAAGCGTTGAGGAAGAAGCCATTTAAGCGTCGCCCGCAAAGAAAGCCAGTCGCGTGTCCCAGCACGAAGAGAGCCATCATCATGCTTCCACGCGCCGTATCACTACCTTTCATGATCATTATTTTGGTTTTGATCGTGGTGTTCCTCTGTATGATGGGGTATTTTCATCTTTGGTTTGCCTGCCACAAGTGTTACCGTAAAAGGTACCAGGAGAAACATCCGCCTCAGTCCCATGAGGAAATTCAGATGCAAACGCTGAAAACTACCACCGATCCTGCCATTTTTCAAGGACAAAAGGCGAATGGAAAGCAGATTGAATACCACGACCTCAGCCTCATCTGAAGACAACTCATCACAAGAAACGGCGATATTTGTACATAAAAAGTGATGTTGTTCCGCCACGTAATTTTTTTAATTTTTATTTTTTTAAAAACTGAACTACATGGACTTGAATTAACCTTCTGCTAATTGGGCTTTCATGAGGAAACAAACATTGCACACAGAATTTGATATTATAAAAAAAAAAAAAACTGTGTTTACATTTGCTAATTCGTTAACCATTTTTCATTATTTCAGTTGTTTATTGAATCAACCCCACGAGGGCGAATGGATATTAATACTTAGTCGGCTGTAAATTTTTTTGTGATCAATGATGCTGGGTGACATTGATTCTCCTCGAGAACAGTGGGCGTTTATTATTTTGTGGTGCCGAAAACTTCTTAGAAACTAATATGTCACCGTTGAGAAAACATTTTGACCGGAAAATTGTCATTTTAAAGTCTAAAACCTGTTGTAACGTGGTAAGTTCTGGAAGAAGAAAACCGTTTTTTAAAGTTGTTGAAATGTTTTGATTTGGAGTTCATGTTCCTGGTCTTTGATTTTGCTTGGGCGCGACTTTCTTTTGCCAGGAGCATGTGTGTTAGTGGAGTCTCGTGCGCGGAATTAACTCCTCAGACCCTAAATGTTATCGAAAAACCCGAACTCACCTTTTCGTTGAGGTGATTTTAAAACCGAGTTGTTGTTGGTCCTAATGTAAGACTGGGGAACCGCACAAACTACCATCATCGTAATTTTGTCTACCGTAGATGATTGAATGAATTACGACATACAGAAACTAGCGAGGGGGTGTAGTCTACCATTTCCTCAGGAATAGCATACGTTTCGCGTTTTTCAGGCGAGCGAAGGCAACGCAAATGAGCGCGAGGTTGGCGTTGAGAGCGAATCACGCCTTTTCTGCAAGATGCCAAAGACTTAAGATCAGTTCTAAACGAACTCTGTTTTAAGACAATCGTTCGACCATCATATCTGTTTGTAAATAGGTTATTTGAAGCAGACAAACTATTAATCTTCTTTTCTACTCTTTATGGAATTTATGCTGTTTCGACAAAAGCATTTACGGTAAGTAGCGTTTATACGGTTCACTGACGTTAGATTTAATTAGAATGTAGTTTTATTAGGCAATGGCTAAACTCCTTTTCAGTCACCCTTAGACTTTTTTCCTCGGATAAATTCTTTTTTCCTTGGTAGATGGAAGCCCCAAAAAGCTTATCTTCTTACACATGTTACACGGTTTATTTTGTCTACTGTGTGCATACGAAAAACGAAAAACAGGAACTAGGCGGGTGAATACACCTGCAAAAAAACTATTGTATTTCATTTTTACCAAAAACAATTCCTACCTTTATTGTTCCTTTTTTTGCTTCAAGATTTTGATTTCATGACGTCATTTAAAGCTTTCCGAAATACTTTTAATATTTTTCCAAGTTCAGTCATAAGCTGGTCACAAGCCAGGCCAGACTCCAAAGGAGCTATAGCCGAAGAAAAGAAACGAAACGAAAAAAAATTAAAGGCAATTTTTAGACCCAGTCCTTGCGAGGCGGCGGGGAAAGGAGATCTGGGAATGAGATTATTTCAGCCAATGGAGTTGCGAATTTCAAAGAAGGGAAAGTTCAAAACAAGATGGCTTCGTCCTCGGGAAGTACGATCGAAGTTCTACGTTTTGAATGAAGTACGTTGATATTGTATTTAGGCTATGGATGCCAAAAATGGTCTTTTGGATTCGTCAGAAGATGAAGGTTAGTTTTAAACTTCATGTTCATATTGAAGTCGCATACAAGGGAGTCAGATTATGCTTCTGATTGGATTCAATGCACTGTAGGGAGTCAGATTATGCTTCTGATTGGATTCAATGCACTGTATTGTCAATTCGATGATGACTCGCCTATCGTCAGGCGAACTGTCGAGGTTGCCAAATATACTGTACACGTAACTCTTCAGTCCTTATTTTGAGTGACCCTCAAAAGTAAGAGGTGATACATTTAAGCTTAACTCAATATTTCTGTTGAAAAAGTGTTAAAGTGAGCTTAGTTTACGAAGCCATGCAGTCCACTGTACTGTTTTGTTTTAAGTATGAACAAAACCTTCATCATAAAAGAGTCTTTTCAAGTGTCACCTCGATCTGGATTGTATTAAATTGTGTGTCAATTGGGATGACAAAAAACAACAACACAGGACGAATTTTGGTGTTTTTGATATATTTATTATGAATAGATATGCTGCTAAATTATTCCTGCACATGTATGTCTTTCAGCATTTATTGCCATAGCAAATGAGTTGTTGGACAAATGCAATCTTCCTGGTAGAGTCTCTAGACTGGAGGAATGCAATGATAGCTTTTTTGTGGGAGTTCACAAAGGTCTACTTGGCGATGACTTGCCTGGTAAGGTTTAAAAAAAAGGCACTCAGGAGGTGCGTGTGGGTATAACTGCCCAAAATCCTCTATTGAGCCCCCTGGGGGGCTCTTTTATTTCAAACACATTTTTAGAGGGGGGCTTAATAGAGATGGGGGGCTAATTATTTGAGGAGGGGGGGGGCTTATTTAATTAGGCAAAGATGGACCGTATCAGTTCTCGATTAATTATTGAATTAGAGTGTAAAGTGGAAAAGTATTTAGTACACAAAGTTGGACGTCATGAAGTCGTGGTTCAAAAACAAATCTGAAATTCTAGCTAGTGAATAAACCATCCTGGGTCAGCCCACACGAAGTTTTACAGTCATGATTGATACGGTGTATCATTTAGTAGTGAATAATAATGAGGAGGGTGGGAGGGGGGGGCTTATTAACTTTCTTCCTCTGAAAAGGGAGGGCTTATTTGAGAGGGGGGCTAAATAAGGGTTATACGGTAATTTTAAGAAACGATGCTATTACAGTCTCACCTCCTTAGTACTAGCACCAAAGACTTACAGACACAATGGTGTCCATAATTAAAAAGTATAGAATGTAGAGCATGTAAGAAGTATAGCAATTTTGGGGCCAAGAGAACTCTCTGTCATAGAGAAATGTATTATGGAGAGGTTTGACTGTGAAATGGTTCATTTTCCACCCAAAGTTAGATTAGCTGTCACTAAAATTCATGCCAAATGGAAAGTACTTAGAGCAAGAAACAATATTCTACTATTACTGAAGAAATTATGTAAACATATCGAGTGCTAAATGTTATTCAAAAATGTTATTGCATTTAGCTGAATATTTTTTTAATACTAATTTGTGCTAATGTTGTCATCTCAGGCATAATTGAGAATCCCATAACAATTAAGCAGCACATTATTAACTGCCAAATAGTAATTGACTTGGTGGCCACAGACGTCCTTAATGTGGACCTCTCACACATTTCTGGGAAAGGCATTGTTGAAGGTGATAAAGTTTCCATCCGAAACTTCCTTGAGATTTTTGCTGGTTTACTTGAGTATTTCATGGAGTGTGTGGATGAATCAGATGCAGGTATGTCACTGAAGGAGTATGTACATCAAACATCAACGTAATAATAAAGCTTATACTCAGGCTGCAACATATATATTTCTAGATATAGGGAAAAGGAAATACATGTACTCAAACTTTTACCCAAAATATGTATAAATAACTACAAGTGTATGCACAGTTGTTGTTTCAAGACACATGAAAGTAGTCAGTAAAAAAATTTTCATCAATGATCTGGAAATTATTTCTTTACCAATGTTTATAATTTACAGGTTCTATTGATGAACAGGACTCTAATCTGTTGTCCTCTGAGCATGATGTGATTTCTGGAGTGTTAAGAGAAGAGTTTGGTCCCTCCTATCAAGCTCTCTATGAACCAAGATCTCAAACAACCAGGTTTATTTAATTTCGTACTAGAATTAATAATTTATTTTATACATGTAGTTGTGAAAGGTGGGAAGAGGAACTATAGGTTTACCCAAGGGGGGAAAGGAATGGAAATTCATTCAGGACAGAAGTAGCTACATGTGTTATTCCAAAATCAAAAATACTTGTAAAATAAATCTTTGCTGAGTGGTAAAAAACTACCTTCTTGTTTGATTGTTTGTTTTTGTAAATGTAATACTTAAAGTATGTCATTTGTCATTTTTTAAGACTCTCTTAATGTCCATTTTTATGGGTGTATATGTTGGTCAACTTATGGAAAATTCTATAATCTAGTTTTTTTTGCAGTAGCTATTAAAATTATTATATTTAATGTGATAAACAGGTTTATACCTTGAAAGCCCTTATCAAAAAGACTTTTCACTCTTCTAAATTGACTTTACTGGCAAGTAAAGTTGTAGAATCTTAATATTGAAATATTATTTCAGTCTTTGTGTGTAATACTTTTAAGTTAAAACTGTTGCTTTATTCTTTTTAAGGCCAAACCAATTCATAGATGAAGCCGGACATCCAAGTGCAGAAGGTGGTCAAAATTTCAGGGGTGACTTATTAAGAAGACCACCACATGGAGCTCCTGACCCTGCTTTGATGAGAACCGGAAATTCCACTGGCTTTGAAGCTGACACTTCAAAGGTATGCTTCTTAACATTCGTATTAAAAAGAGTGAGTAAATTTGGAACCCACTGACAGTCACTCCAGTGTAAAAAAATAGGAAACAGTTTCATTGTAAGTTGTCATGTGACCTCAAAGCAGTGTGGTTCCAGGGTCCTAGCAGCACATCCCCACCCAAAAATTCCTAAAGTACCCCCCCCCCCAGGGTTGGTTGGGTGAGTAGAAGGATGATGATGCAAACCCTATTTTATTGCCTGTCACCTTGTTGTTTCACCTTGCTGAATTTCATTGAATGTCAATAAACTATATGTAAGTTATTTGTGTACCCTTGATTTTGTACCTTCTTCACTAACCTGGGCTCCCTACAGTTTCAGAGCTCAGCCCTGTGCAATACCTTTTGAAAAACCCTAGCTAGTAGCCAAAGCAGAATTTGAGCCCAGGGTAACCAAGTGGAAAACCCCTAAACCACTTGGTGATGTTGCCTAGTCACAAAATAAAATAATGTAGTTCATACTTAACAGTATGTTGGGTGAACTTACAGGCAGCCACAGTGGTCTGAATCTTGTTACTAGTAAGCTCAGAGGGAGTATTTGGATAGTGTAGCCCTCTCCTAACTTTGCTACTTAATACTTTACCTCACCAGTTAAGCGACTCAAGGGACACTGTGAGTGATTCAACAGGGGAACTGATCAGGCTTGGGGAAACAATCTCAGACAGAGTTTCATCTATGGGAACTGCAAGAAAAGAGACCAGGAACCCTCTTCCAGACTCAACATCTAGCAGTTCTGCTTCATCTCCTGTTGCTTCTCAGGAGCGGCACAAGTTTTTTCAAAGCGGTGATGGTGAGGGCAGAAGCTCTGAGAATGCTTCTCGAAGGCTGGCAACACTTAGGGATAGTTCCCATTCTCAGGGGACAGGAGCATTAGGCAGTAGATCTAGGTGGGATTACAGGATTATTGATTAAGTCTACAGTAATAGTCACTGGGAAAAGGTTACTACTAAATTTTTTAATCTGAAGAAGCGAACTCTTTGTGAAGAGAGAATATGAGGGGGTGCCATTTATAGTTATAGTTTAGTGGCTCATATGAATTTGAGAATTACTTTAAGGAGCTGGGGCCCGTTCCTCGAAAGTCCCGCTAACTTTTCGGGCCCAAAATCAAATATTCAAATCGAAATATAAGAATAAGGGCGCGGGTCCTGGCTAGCAAACTACTCCATTTTGTTTCATTAGCTGATAGTTTTATCATGTTAGATGCAAGACTATTGAAACCTGGATCTTTAATGTAAACAGAGACAGCTTACCGTGCCTGTTAACTATCAGGACTTTCGAGAAACGGGCCCCAGGTTCTCTTGGACAATTAGCCTGCATAACAGGCATTATTGGGGGCACTCAGGCAGGTTTTGGTCATGAGTGTAAAGTATGAGATAAAGAAGAGGATCAGGGAAAAAGAGGTAAATAATAACATGGTATAATATACCGGTAATAATTATTATTTTCTCTTTCTCTTCTTCTGACATGTTTCACGCTTTGTACCCTTGTCCCAAAACTAACCTGACTGCCTCCAATAACACCTGTTATACAGGCTATCAGAGAGTAATTTATTGCTCAGTTTGCTTACACGTTGTCAGACCTCTCTCTTCACTGAAATATGAAAATAATATATTGTTCTTTCGTGTAATATGTTAGTTTATTGGGAGCAACCTTTTGGTGGACCACCAACACATCCTGGATATGAGGGTTTCGATACTTAACCTTGGCTCCTGACCCACTTGGCTTACACTTTATCTCCCTCTCTCCATGTTTGCATTTAGCTACACTGTACAAGTCAGTTTACTTGGACAATTTTTGTAAAGAATAATCCCATAACCTCAAATCAATCCATCAAAAGGGATTGTCAGTATTTCATGATGTACAAGTACAAACTGTATGCTTGAAGGCTGCTAAACTAACTACTAAAAATAGTTTATAATGATCATAGTGTGTTATTTTTAGGAGGCCTGAACCATCTTTGCTCAGCCGAGATGGCACATCTATGGAAGATGAGCTGACACAATACACTCTAACCCCTACAGTGATTGGGGATTCCTCGGGTGCTAAAGATAAGGTAAAAACTGCAATGAAATTTATAAATTAAGTCTTTTGAAATTCTTTTGTAACATTGATCATGTTTAAATAAAGGATATTCATTCAATCATTCAGCAATGAAGATAACAATATTGTAATTGTACAGTTCATAGAATTATACAAGTATCACGCTTGACCCTAGTTCTCAATGAAGTTTGTGGAGTCACCTCTTAAATGTAATTAATACAATGACTAAACTTGATAAAATAATTATTACTTTTTTGTCATAATTATGATGTTTTTAGTCAGATCATCGTTCACCCGAAAACCAAGACAAGCCTTTATCCAGCTTTCTGTCTGCATCCTCGTCATCTGCAGCATGGCCTGAACAGATATCCCCTTTAGAACCCACAAAAGACTCTTCTAGTGGAGCAGCAGGTGGGTTTGATGCACTGGGTCTCCGTCCAAGAGAGCGACCAGCCAAGACTGTAGTCACAGACAGTGGGTCGCAGGATGGCAGTGATCAATCAGCTCCTGTGTATCATCATTATCATCATCATTTTCACCACACACAGCCTCATGGTAGAGTGCCGTCAGGTAATACTGAAAATAATACTGTAATAGTAATACTGCAAGTCAAGGAAAAGAATGTTTCTCATCCCCGCCAGCCTCATTTTGGGCGGCCGCCTCTCTTATTTTTTTATTTGTTATTGGAAAAGTTGGAACGAGAAAAAACCTACAGGCATTAATTACTTTAAACATCAACAATTTTACAATCCTGTGTAAAAGGCCTTTCTTTCCAAAAAACGAAGCATAAATATTAAATACTGAGTCCTACTGACGTTTTTTATGAACCCTACCTCTTGAAATATATCATATGACTTACCACATTGTTTAAAACATGCATCAACCAAATTTGTGTTGAATCAATAACTGACGTTTCATTTATTAATATTTGACCGAAGAACTCTTACTTTTCCATGGGGTAGGGTAATAATTTGAAAAAAAAGCATTGAATTGGCAATAATAAAAATGTTGAAAATAACAAAAAAGCGCCCACCCACTATTATTTTTATGGAAATCCGGACGAGAAACATTTGCTTTTTTTACTTGGCGTAATAGTAAATGTACTAGGTCAAAATGAAGTTTGTGGTCATAGATAAGCGTAATTAGGGCTAGGAAACAAAGGAAAGTGAGAAACAAGCAAGATTGAAATCATTTTTTCCCTGAATTTCATTTTGACCTACAACAGTCAGGGATGTCTGTAAGGCCGGGTACTAGGGATTTCCTCTGGTTACTATGTCGGAGCATTTCTCTCGGCTACTTCAGCTACTTTTATAACCTAAAGAAATCATCAGTCTAATGAAAAAGAAAGAAAACGCTGACTCATAATCTTATAGAACAAAACTTCTCTGAGCCAATGTAAACTAAATGCTAGGCAGACAATTTTTTCAATGACCGATAACCGTAATACTTCTAGTGGGGCGCTTAAAAAGAGTTAGAAAACATAAAAGCACGTTTAATAAGCTTCAGTAAAAATGACTCCTCTTTTTTGCGAAAAAGATAGTGTCTTGAGATAAAATTTTTTCTCCGTAATTATATTTATACAACTTCGTTTTTGCTTTTTTGTTGTCTTTGGTTTCGTTATTTTCTTAGTTTTCTAAAACGCCGTAAAGGTGACGTTACACGAGACGATTCGCAACGACAATTTTTAGCGCAACACAGCGTTGCAACGTTGTTGCCACATTGTTTCGAATGGTTACAACATTGTTCCAACATTGCAACGCTGTGTTGCACTTAAAATCGTCGTTGCGAATCGTCCCTTGTAACATCACCTTAAGGCATGCGGTTTCTTGCCGAAAAAACGCTCACAATGCGTTTTCCCGCCAAAAACGCAGCATGCACATGTGACATTTCACATTTGATTACATGTAGGATGTTCCCAGTTTCAAAAACCCTCGCTTCCAAAATGAGGCTTTCCACGGGGTCCAAAACTTTTATGTCAATGTTACTGATTTGCATAAAAATGCCTTCAAAGATTTGGCATTCACCCTTGTTTTAAGGTGATCTTAATACACAGAACGATTCGCAAGGACGAGTTTTAGCGCAACACAGTTTTACGACAACTGTTTCGAATGGTTGCAACATTGCTCCAACATTGTAACGATGTGTTGCGCTAAATATTGTCGTTGCGAATCACGTTTCGTGTGTTAAACATCACCTTTAAGAAAGAGGCTTGCGGTAACTCATGCTGTTTGCGAAGTCTAGGCGTCCATACAAACGGGACCCTTGGATAAATATAGCTAAATTATTAAATGTCTCCAATGAGCAGGCAAAGAGGTTTACAGAAGGTAAGAGTGGTTTCGCTGCGCTGGTCGACTGTGTAGTCGCGAGTGCAACTCCATGGTAACAGTTGTACCGTCTGGAGGATTTTAACTGTACTATACTGTACTCTGTCGTTCAAATTTGTTGCTCAACAAACAGTGTGAGATGTTGGAGCTTGTTGGAAGAGTAAAAATGAAAACCGGCAACGTCGATGATGAGTAATACCCAAACATGTCCAACGGAATAGCACCTTGCTCAACAAGTGACTTGATCTTCACAGATTTCTTGCGAAAATGAGTGTTGAAAGCAAAACGTGATTTTCCATTTAAAGATGTCACATGTACTCTCGTTTTGAGAACGAGGCTTGGAGCAACTCGGAACTCGCTCACATTTTCGGGCACGGAAAGTGTTTCTGTCGTCCATTGTTTTGCGTTCCTTGGGAGTTTTAGTACAAAATAGGCCGACATACTTCAAATTTTTCCATTTGAAATTTATGAAAAGTCACACTTTTGCAAATGAACTTGGTGCGCTTAAAAATAGTTTTTTTTTTGATGTACCAAAATGCTTTTGAGAGTTTTGAGAAACGCTCTCCAGGCCTTTTTAGCACTTAATTACTAGAAGTACGCAGCCAGCAAATCTGATGGGGAAGAAAAGGGTCATATTAAAAATGATTTACTGTTTTTATTACCTGTATTGAATAGAATTTCAGTCTTCGGCTGAGGTAAGCGCAGCAGCCACATTTGGTGTGGCAGTTCCAACAAGTCATCTATCAAGGTCAGAACCAATAGCAACAAGACCTTTAGGTGGAGTTACTTCTGCACAGGCCGACGACCTGATCCGGACTGCTCCCGCGGATCTTGCCAACCAACACACAGGTAGAGTTATTTGTTGATATATTAGATATGAGTCAAGGTTGAACTCCAAGAAATTGGGTGTCCTGTCTTCATATGCCTGTGCTACATTACCTGTGAAGAGAGATTTCATAGTGTGCTAGAAAGGGGGAAGGTATAGCGTGTATAGATTTGAATTTAAGTGTAAGCTATTAACTCTAATGGAGGAAGCCTATTGAGTAAAAAGCCTAGTGGTTTCTATCGGGCTTCCTCACCACTAGGTTTTTGAAGACGTGCTGTATATAACTTAACTCAATAAACTTGAAACTACATTGTGCTCAACCAGATATGACGCCACCGTTACTTCTTGCTGTACAGATTTAATGAGGCCAGGATTTTTAAAGAAGGCTAATAGTTCGTTTTCTCTGTAGAAGCTGCATATCCAAGAAGCACTGCTGTGTCAAGGACCGACTTTACTCACCCTTCCCCTGCTGTAGTTACTGCATCAAGTACTGGGGTGACTGTTTCAAGTACAGACCTTACTCGCCCCACCACTGCTGGGTTGTCTGTGTCAAGGGCAGAAATTGCTCGCCCTCCCCATGCCGGGTTGGCTGTGTCAAGCACAGACTTTACTCGACCTCCTCCTGCTGGGGTGACAGGAACCACGTCAACCTTGACTGATTCAGTGTTTTTATCAGAGTCTGGATCATCACGTAAGGCCTTTGACCGCATTCTTTTAGTGATCTAGATTGTATTTAGTGATCGCAAAAGAAAAACATACACAATCAAATTTCTGTTATCGACTACTCTCGTAAGCGACCAGCTCTAGTTAGGACCACCTTTGTGAAACCCAATTTGAACTGACTTAAACTTTGTAATGAAAGATCTCGTAAGCGACCGCGACCACTTTTGGGATTACCTAACTTGACTTTTCCTTTGTTTTTATGCTCTCGTAAGCGACCACTCAGAGTCTTATTCATATATAAATCAACACGTTAATGAAACTGCGCACTGCGCTAATGGTTCGTTGATAAAGATCTTGTACAGTGCAGCATGGTATTTGTAAAAGTTTAAGGTCATTTCTGTATCGAGCACTTTAGCCTGCGTAGCAACGACCTCTCACAGAATTATTAATGAGTTTCTGAAGCTCTCGCAAGCGACCACCCTCTATTATTTTGCCATACGGTCACCTCGTAAGCGACCAGCTCTAGTTACGACAACTTTTTCGAATCTCCGAGGTGGTCGCTTACGAGGGCTTCGACTGTATCTAAATAAATAAAGAAGGTCTTTATAATTTTCATTGAAAGAGGAAAGAAAATGGGTATTAAATTTCTGATATATCTTTTAGGTCCTCCTTTTGTCAGACCAGCCACGGCTGGGATGACTAGTGAAAGCTTTGTTGGCACAGATTCGTTAAGAGACAGACTAGGAAGGTCACTGATAACAACAACAGCTCCCTCTATTGCAGGTGAAAAACGATATTTCTAGTTACTGCAACAGCGCTGTCTATTACAGGTAAACTACAGTGGAACCTCTATACAACCAAGTCCTCTGTACAACGAACGGTATTTTTCGCCCCAGTAATGGTAAACTACTTGGAAAAGTACCTCGATATGACGAAACCTCGTTTTAGCGAACGTATTTTTCCAGTCCCTTGGCCCCTCTTTATATCGAGGTTCTATTGTACAACGATAATCTTAGAAAATATTAAGTTTAAGATTTTAATACTCGGCGGAAATTTGGGAATCTATTGCAAATAGAGTCAAATGCAAACTTTCAAGTCGCAATTTCAGTAGACTGCAAAACAGTCGGTTTTTTTCTCAAAATCAGTAAAGAAATCGGTAAAGCGTGGCGTAAGAGTCTTACGCGCGCGAAGCGCGCGAGCCTCACACGCCCGTCGGGTGTGTGAGGCGAGAGAAAATTGAAAAACTGAAAAACGAATTGAACGAATTGAAAAATTGAAAAACTGCAAAACGTCTCTCCCCAGTCTCGCTCTCTGTTTTCAGCCTCATTCCAGACCTTTTGTTTGACTGCTCGCGCGTACTTGAATACGCAAAAATACGGACTGTTTTGCAGTCTACAATTTCAGCTCTATGATTTTTTTTGCCAAAATCCTTTTATCTCGTATCCCGAATTAGGAATCGTATCTCGAAGCGAGGGGCATCCTTGCATATAAAAACTTGCACCTTGTAAAGTAGCCTTTTAATCTTACCTGTTACCATCGTCCCCGAACAACCCCTATTCTGAGGAAAAATTACTTGAAGTTTTGACTGACTGGCTGGAGAAGAATACTCTCTCGAAACACGCGAAAAGTGGTTGAAAAAATTGTGGTTTCGGTAAATTAAAGAAGAAATGATACCTATACATTTCCGCTAAGTAACTTATTTGACGCGACGAGGTAGAGTCCGTGGGGGGAGGGGAATTGTCTCTGTGCTCCGTGAGTAGTGGGGGGGATAGACCACCAAGTAAGAAACCAGTTGTAAATCGGGGAGGGGGTGGTTTGTGCCCAGGGTTACATTAACAGCTTAAATTGAACTATGAATTATAAGGAGCAATTTAATAGCATCTCTCTATTGGAACTTAAGTGTTGAAATTCTTATTTACAATACAATACAATACAATGTTCTTTATTTTGAGAGGGTAGATACATGATTAACCCAGTAAAGAGTTTTCTAACACATGGCCCTCTGTAATACAGAAAGAAACATATACAAATAAATTTCAAAAATACACACATACAATAATTAATTGAATGTAACATTTACAATGAAATTAAAATTTACACAATATAAAAGTTTAATTAACATTATTTAGGTTCTTCTTTGCCCGTGTCCTCGACAATGCCATCCACAAGTTACAGACCTCGCGGTACACTTGAGAGGAGTTTAGACGCGCGAGCAGCAGTACTGCAGCAAGCTGACAAGTTAGTGGACAGGCTGAACAATATAAGGAGAGGACAGGTATGTTTAGTTCATGTCTGCAAGACGGCCTTCATTGGGTATCCGGTCACCTCGTCACCAAATCATCTCGCCACCAAGAAATACGTATCTCATTGACAAGAGGAGCCCGCAAACCTAATCCCCAGGGTGTTATTACGCATGCGTCGCATTTATGTAGCCAGCGTTCATTTGGACTTCCGTTAAGAATGAATGGAATGCATATAACGCAATTTGATCACGCGCGTTTGGACCTTCTATTACTCGTAATCTGATCACGCGTGTTTTTGATCATCTGTCACGTGAAACATACGCAAAGTACAGCATTGGAGCAAAAGCGTTTTGACCTTCGATCGTTGTGGCCTGCACTCCTTAAAAGAAGATTCCTTCCCTTCAATTTTATTATGAAATTTAAGAGCTGGTCAGGAAAGTAAGGATCCTTAGGTAATCTGGGAACGACCGCATCGTAATCCCTGGTAAATGCGCGAGTCTCGCGTTCATCGAACCTATTCTCACTATTTAGAGTAGTAAGAGCTTGAGAAGTTCTTGCCTGGTCCCTAGGCCTCATTATTGCGCGCGGCCGATGCGTTTCGGGTCACGTGGTCCGAGCGAGTTGTTCGTCTCGGATACGTCACCGAAATGCATTGACCGAGAAGGCCTGGGAAGGCGCCGTACAGAGACTAGGAAAGAGAAGTTCGACGTAAAGATCGTCAATTACGATCGACAGATTATATTTGTATTTGGGCTTGACGAATAAGTAAAAATTCTAGGTAAGTAAACTGTGTCAATTATTGCAGAATTATTACGTGGTGGCGAGTAGACTTCTTGAAGGCGATTTCGTTCAGTGGTGGGGAGGTGACCGTAAACCCCTTCACTGTGTTCTCGACCGTTAACCTTATAGCCACACTTTCTGCAACCAAACAAAATACGCCAAAGAGGATCATGATACGTTTCTGGGAAACTGCCCACCTACCCCTCCCCTAAGCTAACATTAACACTTGCTTCTCACTTAGGGCAAAATGTTGCCTAGGGGAGCCGTAGGTGAGCAGTTTCCCAGAAACGTATTCTTCGCCTCATTTGTGAAAAAGTAGGCTCATTTAGCAACAGAACGGGAACGTCATTTGACGACGGGAAAGCGCGCGGTAAGGACTAAACTCGACTTCCGGTGCCTAATTTGCCGCTCTGCCATTGGTCAAGCCAGTTGTTTGATTTACGCGCTCCGTCGTCAACTTACGTTCCCCTTCTGTTGCTAAATCAGCCTAGTGTATGACAAAGGACCCGACAAAACGTACGCCCAGTTTTCGAACACACTTTGTCAGTCCCTCGACGCTTCTTTATATCTGTTTTGTGTTCAAACTGTGACATAAACGTTGATATATTATATTACTATGTTCCGAGCTTGATTTTGACGTACGTGTGACGTAGGAAGACACGTAGATTGTTATCTACTCCCAGTTACCTTGTTTCATCGTTCTTAGTACCAACGTTACCAAACCGATAATGGTCTTTTTACAGCCATTAGCATCAACTTACCCAGGCAGAGCGACAGCTGATTCTGTGCAGGCAAGGATCACAGATCTTGAGCCTTCAGATGTAACCCGTAGTTCAGCAGCTGAAGGACGCCTTGCAAAGTTCCCCAGACCGGAAGCGGATGACAGCGGAAGTGAAAGTGACAGGGAACTCGATGATGAGGAGCTAGCCCAGAACAGTGACAGTGCAGTTGGTAAGCTAGCCTTAGAAAACAGCCCAAATTTCGCGACGCTACCACTGGTTTCCCAGCGAAATGACGTCTGCGAAACGACTGCAGAAATTCCATACTGATGACGTATCACTACCCAGTTCTGGGTACTGCTTCTGATTGGTCGTGCCGCGAGGAAATTTAGTTCAACCTGCAAGCCAAAAAAATACATCCAATTATTAGCCCCTTGGATACCCCCCCTCCCCTCCCCCGCTTCTGAATTCGATTTATTGTGACGTTTTTAAGCTTAATTAAAAAAAAAACAGTTATAACCAAACGTATTTAAATCAACACTGCTATAACTTGTTTCGAAGCGCTTTTTTTATTTCGGTTATAAGCCACCTCGGATATAAGCTCCTCGGTTTATATGCCCTACTAAAACCCCTTACGAAGATTATAAGCAGCAGTTCACCATACTCAACCTATTAAATCAAGATGGAAGACAATAGTAATTGCAAACGCAAGTGTCTTGATCTTCACAGATTATGGAAGAAGAGCACCTAGTGCCGCTGCAGGGGTGACAAAAAAGATGTCCACATCTCGGCCAGGACGTCGCAGTGGAAGAAGCAGGAAGTCTCCAAGGATACCGTCACCTCGAGGATACAAAGGTATAAGGCTTGTTACGCGAGATGACGTAGTCAGGCAGCGTCATAAATTCGGAAGCGCATTCCTTTCGCATTTTTCTTGGGAGTCAAAAATTACCTTTTTTTTTTTTAACTTTCCCGTATCCGGTGCCCGTCACAAAAAATGTGTGATTTTTATTTTAACTTCGAATCACGTGCAAGTGTGGTTGGATTGCACAAGCACAAAAAAGATACTGCGTCAGCAAAGGAGGGAAAAGTAAGCTTACTGCGTAGAGGAGGACAAAGCCAAGGCTGTGCTCTAACTTTTTAATATTGTGCAGGTCACCGACCCGGGCGACATGCTGGTGTTGGTTTCTTGATTTAAAGTCAAAAACCTATAATTTATTACTTACGACTTCGTAGCTCGCTCGGCCGCTTTGCGACCTAAAAAGAACGTTCCGCTCGCTAAGAAACTCTTGAGGTCAGCTTGTATGCAGCACGTCTATCAAAAAGCTTTTTAAAAGAAAATGTTGTTACATGTAAGCGCGCGATGAACGTGACAAGCTGCACATTTTTCGATTTTAACAGCTTTCCAAAATAGCATTAAAATTTTTTATTCAAATTAGGATGGCTCACTAGTTAGTTTTTCAAAAGAAATTGTTACTTCTGCACTGACAGGCGCAAAATACGGTCGGCGACGCGAAGCAAAAGTTTTGTTTTTTAAAAAATCTCTGAATAAACACGGGAGTCGCCTCAGTTTCACGATAATCAAATATTTTTGCCTCTTTTTTACTGCTGAGCCTGCGAGGCTAAAACAAATTTTTATTTAGATTTTTATTCCAGGAAAATACGATGTACAAAAAAAGAAAAGATACTAGTATTATTGTGATTGTTTTAGAAAAAGGTGTGTAAATCTATAAAGTCCCGTATGTCTTTGGTGTCGTGTCGTTACTTATCACGTACTAAAAATAAAAACGTAAAAGCTAAATTTAGCACTCAAATAGAGCTAGCAGGCTATCGAATCCACAAAAAGCTCATTTCTCTTGAAAATTTCGCCGATAATCTAAAACTGCGACTTTCCAACAAGATGATCTATTCAAAAGAGAGAATAATTGGGGCAGCCGAGGTTTCGTTGAAATTTATAGCACCTTTCCCGTAAAGCTTCACGGGATCTTGGTCATTTCTCTTAAGCGAATTTTCTTTTCAACCTAAATGATTAGTAAAAAGAACAGTGTCCTTATTTTTGACCCAAAAATTTTTATAAAAATTACATAAACAGACAACAATCTTGTGTCCCAAGTGTTCAATGTGTTCCCTGTGCCCCTTTCTGTTCGTTTTGTCCCCTGAGGTTCCAAGGTGTTCCCTGTGTCCCTTTGTGTCCCCTGTACCCCTGTGTGCCCCTGTTACTCTGTGTTAACTTTTATTAGCCTGTCTTCCCCTATGTTACTCTGTGTTACCCTTTGTCACCCTGTGTTACCCTTTCTTCCCCTTTCTTCCCCTGTCTTCCCTGTGTTACCCTTTGTTACCCTTTCTTCCCCTGTGTTACCCTTTGTTCCCCTGTAATACCCTTTGTTCCCCTTTGTTACCCTTCTTTACCCTGTGTTACCCTTTGCTACCCTGTGTTACCCTTTGTTACCCTTTGTTACCCTGTGTTACCCTTTGTTATCCTTTGTTACCCATTGTTCCCTGTGTTCCCCTGTTTTACCGTCTGTTACCATTTGTTACCCTTTGTTTCCCTGTTACCCCGTCTTACCCTTTGTTACCCTGTGTTACCCTTTGTTACCCTGTGTTACCCTTTGTTACCCTTTGTTACCCTGTGTTCCCCTTTGTTGCCCTGTGTTACCCTGTGTTATCCTCTGTTCCCCTTTGTTATCCTGTTACCCTTTGTTACCCTGTGTTATCCTCTGTTCCCCTTTGTTATCCTATTACCCTTTGTTGCCCTGTGTTACCCTTTGTTACCCTGTGTTACCTTGTGTTCCCCTTTGTTGTCCTGTGTTACCCTGTGTTATCCTTTGTTCCCCTTTGTTATCCTGTTGCCCTGTGTTATCCTCTGTTACCCTTTGTTATCCTGTTACCCTTTGTTGCCCTGTGTTACCCTTTGTTGCCCTGTGTTACGCTTTGTTACCCTTTGTTACCCTTTGTTACCCTGTGTTACCCTGTGTTACCCTTTGTTACCCTCTGTTACCCTGTGTTACCCTCTGTTCCCCTTTGTTATCCTGTTACCCTGTGTTACCCTTGGTTACTTGGTATTACCCTTTGTTACCCTGTGTTCCCTTTTGTTACCCTGTGTTACCTTTTGTTACGCTCTGTTACCCTTTGTTACCCTTTGTTACCGTGTATTGCCCTGTGTTCCCCTTTGATACCCTTTGTTACCCTGTGTTACCCTGTGTTACCCTTTGTTACCCTGTGTTGCCCTTTGTTACTTGGTATTACCCTTTGTTACCCTGTGTTACCTTTTGTTACCCTCTCTTACCTTCTGTTACCCTTTGTTCCCCTTTGTTACCCTCTGTTACCCTTTGTTTTAATACCCTGTGTTACCCTGTGTTACCCTCTGTTACCTTTTGTTACCCTCTGTTACCTTTTGTTACCCTCTCTTACCTTCTGTTACCCTTTGTTCCCCTTTGTTACCCTCTGTTACCCTTTGTTACCCTGTGTTACCTTGTGTTACCCTTTGTTACCCTCTGTTCCCCTTTCTTACCGTATGTTACCCTGTGTTACCCTGTATTACCCTGTGTTCCCCTCTGTTACTCTTTCTTACCCTGTGTTACCCTTTGTTCCCCTTTTGTTACCCTGTGTTACCCTCTGTTACCCTTTGTTACCTTGTGTTACCCTTTGTTACCTTGTGTTACCCTTTGCTACCCTGTGTTACCCTTTCTTACCTTCTTTTACCCTCTGTTACCCTTTGTTACCCTGTGTTACCATTTGTTCCCCTTTGATACCCTTTTGTTACCGTCTGTTACCCTGTGTTACCCTTTGTTACCTTGTGTTACCCTTTGTTACCCTGTGTTTCCCTTTCTTACCTTCTGTTACCCTCTGTTATTCTTTGTTACCCTGTGTTACCCTCTGTTACCTTCTGTTACCCTTTGTTACTCTCTGTTACCCTTTTTTACCCTTTGTTACTTGGTATTACCCTTTGTTACCCTGTGTTACCCTTTCTTCCCCTGTGTTACCCTGTGTTAGCCTGAGTTACCCTTTGTTACCCTGTGTTACTCTGTGTTCCCTTTTTTTTACCCTTTGTTACTCTGTGTTACTCTTTGTTAGCCTGTGTTCCGCTGTGTTACTCTGTTTTTCCTTGGGTACCCGTGTGTTACCGTTTGTTACCCTGTGTTACCCTTTGTTACCCTGTGTTAGTCTCTGGTATCTTCTGTGACCCTTGTGTTACCCTTTGTTACCCTGTGTTATCCATTGTTCCCCTGTGTTAACCTTTTGTTACCCTTTGTTACCCTCTGTTACCGTTTGTTACCCTTAGTTACCTTGTGTTACCCTTTGTTACCCTGGGTTAGTCCATGTTTGCCTGGTTACCCTGTTTTATACTTTGTTACCCTTTGTTGCCTGGTGTTACCCTATGTTACCCCGTGTTTCCCTGTGGGACCCTTTGTTACCATTTGTTACCCTGTGTTACCCTTGGTTACTCTGTGTTCCCCTGTGTTACCTGGCTATTTCCTGTTTTTCCCTTTTTTATCGTTTGTTACCCTGTGTTATCCTGCGTTACCCTCTGTTACCCCTTGTTACCCTGTGTTACCCTTGTTTACCCTGTGTTACGCTGTGCCTCATTTTGTTACTGTGTGTTATTCCGTGTTCTCCTTTGTTTCCTTGTTTCCTCTTCTGTCCCTTTGTCCCCTTGTGTCCTCTGTGTCCCCTGGTGTCCCGTATGTCCTTTGTGTTTCTTTTGTCCCCCAGTGTTTCCTGTGTTTCTTGTATTCCCTGTGTCCCCCTGTGTTCCACTTTGTGCCGTGTGTCCTTTTGTGTCCCCTGTTTCCCCTTTTGTCCCCCTGTGTCCCTTATGTCCCTTGTGTTTTCTTTGTCCCGTATGTCACCTGTGTTCCCTCTGTCCGTTATGTTCCCCTGTGTTCCATTTGTTTCCTTGTGTTCCCTGTGTCCCTCTGTTTTTTGTGTCCTCTTGTGTCTTCCTTTGTCATTTTGATTAAAGAATTTCAAGGGATGGTGTATGGAATATTGTTCTAATTTGGACTAATTATGTGAAGATGTACACCTGATAAAGTTGAGTTTCAACATTCCTTTTTTTTTGGAAAACGGCCATTATGTTTCATATACGAGTTGGTAACGATTCACTCCTGGTAGATTGCAAGCAGTTTTTCAAGAATCTTAACCAGTGATCTTTCCTTGCATTTGGTACCCATTATTTTATTCCTACTCCCCAATATCTCACCTTTTTTTATTTCAATCAGATTCTGAATCAAAAGACGAGGATTCTTCTCCCGAACGCCCCGCCCGCCGCGGCGTAACGTTTCGTGACACGGTAGAAACCTTTCCTGTTTCTGGAAGAATGGATCGTCTGAGACGCCTGCTGTATGAGGAAGCTGAGGAACAGCGGAAACAACACACTAAAGTCATGCGCCAGACGTACCGTGACCAGTTAAAAGAAATACAACAGGAACAAGAAAGAGAGAAGGCTCTCCAGCAAAAACGAAAAATGGCGGTGAGTACCATACACTTAATTTGATAGGCTGTTCACAGACGTTTTTCTTTCTTTTCTTTTTTTGGCAACCTTTTCCCACCCCCACCCCCATGCTCTTATGTTAAGTCATTAACATTCTACACTAACACGTCCTTTTCACTTTTGGCAAATTGTTGGCTTAGGGGAGGGGTAGGTGGGCAGTTTCCCAGAAATCTTAATAGATAATTATCTTCTATAGCTGCCTTCCAATGTCCCAAAGAAAAGGCCAAAGAAGAAGAGTCCAGTGAAAAAACGGGGCAGGCTGGAGGCTGTTTATCGGTCCCAGGTCAGGAAATCCCGGCCGGTGAGAAGGCCTGAAGTTACAGCCAGAGGAAGAAAGAGAAGTGCCTCGGCCAGTCCCGTCTTAACGAGAGGAAGAAGTGGCAGTCCAGGTTAGTGGAGTAAGTTGGTTGTCAGACTTAGGACTTTAATTTGAATGGTAGTTTAATATTACATCGTTGAAAACTGGCTGTTCAGCCCAATCATACTGTACGTTTGGCAGTGTTTTGGTAGGAATCAAAATTTTTACGGCAAACGTTTAGCATCCTGTTTGAACGTTTCTTAATTCTTCTTCTTCTTCTTCTTCTTCTTCTTCTTCTTCTTATTATTATTATTATTATTATTATTATTATTACTATTGAAACATTAAGTCGAGCTTTCCACCGACTTTTAACAAACATCAGGATAACAATATGCAATTTAAGCATTTAGCTATTTAAAAATAGCTGAATGCTTTTAGCTATTTTTACATACGATGAGATGACATTAAGCATATTTAAAAATGCTTAATGTTATAGTTTTGTTTCTAGATCACCCAGATTTATTACTCCCTGCCATGTTAGAGGAGTTTCCCTTCCTACACGTGTCGCCCCAGACCGCACACAGCATGTGGCAGAAACAGACGCGGCATCTAAGCTCTGCTCTTAAATCTGGCACCGAAGCGAGGCGAACTAAGACTCAAAGAATGATCGAGGAAGCTGAACGGCGACAGGAGGCCCTCGTGGGAATACTAAAGAAAGATCTGGAGCATAATCTTAGAATGGTGAGCTTTTACTGTGTAGTTTACACATATCATTGCGCAATATCTTTGAACGGGCGAAATTTAACTAGAATATTACGCAAGTACCAGAATCAGAATCAGAAACTTTTTGCATTGCTCCTATTTTAGATAGCTTTAAAACGAATTTAACATTATTTTTTTTAAAGTTATGTTTGCATTTTTGCATTACTAAACCCCCCCCCCACCCCCACCACCAACACACAACTTACACACTCCCAGATCCGTCGGACGTTTGCGCGTTTTGTGTACATATTTTCCCATTTTAATTTGAAAATGGTTTCACTTTACCTTTCTTTTGTCGCACGTTAGTGCCAGACTTGATGCACTACGTTTGGCGCTTTTTTTTCATTTTACAAGGCGCCAACTCCCTGTATTTTGCTGGTGCTTAGAATTCCCCATAACTACCCCTTATTCTCGCACGAAGGTTTTCTATCATTAAATTCCTGTCTAGTTTTATAGCGCAACCTTTTGTGCTAAGTATAGAAAGGAACAGGGTGTGACGTCAGGTTACCATGGTAGCAAGACGGCCGTTTGCATTGTCGAACGATAGTATGGGCTACCGTTCTGTTTCTGGAGTACAATCATGCACAGGAAAGACACGTGTCAATTTTTTCGTTTTTCTGCCATATTTGCAAGACCACGGTTTGTTAAGATGCATAAATTTCGCTACCATGGCAACGTGACGTAACAATTTTTCCTCTCTATTGTTACTGCGTGTCACTCCGTTATTCTCCTCCATTTTTTTTCAGCGAGAAAAGCAGGAGAGGCAGCAACAGCAGCGCACAGTCAAAAGCAAACTGAGAGAAAAACGACAAATCTCTGCGCGTGCGCGACGCTACTATGATGAATACGAAGTACGCATGCGCGCTAGGATGTTGAAAAGACGCACACGGGAGGAGCAGGTCAGGAAAATTAAAATTTTCGCTTTTCACCTGCTGAAATGAAACTAAAGGTGGATTTGGAAGTAATTTTGCGGATTTTATTCTTCTCAGATCTTCAAGAAGTTGTTCGATGATGGTTTGGATATTCAGAAACAGCGTATAAGGGAACTGAGAGAATACGCTAAGGAAAAGAGAGAAGCTCTCGCTCAAAGGCAGCAAAATGAAATTGAATCCCTGGAAAACTTGTATCCTTTAAACTATGACCTATGTAATAACCAAAATATTTAACAGGCTAGTAGGCTCCATTTCTGCTGCTCTCTGGGGTCCGGTCTAGTTGCACAGGCTCATTTCCCAAACAGGAGCCGAAAGGTATGGTCAAACGGGTAACAAAAACTTTCAACTTGTTTTGCTACGAAATGAGTTGAAAAATAATTTTTGTGCAAGTTACATGAATACAGACTTTTAAATTGGATAAAAATTCGCGGTAGTCACACCATACGCGAAATTTACGTCTCTTGCTGCAAAACAAGTTTGCCTTGGGCAGGTGAAAAGCGCAACATGTTTCCTTTTCCCTACTGCGCGCGTGGCCTCTCATGTGGAGAGCTATATCACAGGCTATATCTGTTTTGGGTATCCGTGCATATCACTTAACGGAGACTGCGCTTTCTCCATCTTTGTGACTGTCGTTTTATCCTTGATGTACCCTAGTTATCGTGACCAATTCGCCATGCTATCTGAAGGTATCGCTCGTGAGAGGTTCGAGATGGAAGTACGCGAAAAAGCGCAGGAAAAGGTGAGTTATTTTTCAGTTTTGTTGCTTTTGTTCACATCAGCTAATCCTTGAAAATGAGAATTACTGGAATTAGAGACGTTAAAGCCCATTTCCGAGCTACCCTGTCCCTAGTGTACAACCACAAATATGAAGCAAAGCGAATGAAAAGGGCATTTGGACTCATTTTGAAACATAAAGAGGACGTCGTAATCCGTAAACGACCTGTTTTTCGTTGTTGTTGCGTTAAATTGAACGCCCACGTGGTGTTTGGGAGGTCATAGGTTCGAATCCTGTCGGTGACTCAGATCGTGACATGCTGATTATTTCATTTTCACATTTGTTTCACCGAGCTTAAAATTTACCATCTTTCATTCTTTCATTGAACGATATTGTTCAGTTACAAAGAGTACAAACTGAACACCACGATTAGTGTGTGGTGAAATGTACCGGGAGCCAATCTCTTTTCTTCTCGCTCCAGCGGGGAGGGAAGAAGAGAGACCCTGGGGACCAACTTGGCCGAAAGCATGTGTAATAAACTTTTTATAACCGTGCATCATTGCATTTTAGGTGTTACGTCAAATGCGGAAAGAGTTACGTCACAAGCTGGAGCGTGACGTCAAGGAATTCCAGGACAACCTACAGCGTGACGAGGATTCTGCCTACTTCAGACAACTGGAGGCCGATAGATTGCGAGGAAAATTTCAACTTGCAACTCGCAGCGCATTCTACTAGAAACTTTTCTCATTTCTCATAATATAAACAGATACAAAAAGAAGGCATTCATATAAATATAACTTCCAAAATGAGCGGACGTTTTCAAAAAGTGGAGACTGATAAATATGCTGCTTCTGCAGGAAACACGAGAATTCCTCACTTCAGAACTCTAGGAAGAATGGGTACAAGCGTTGGGTACAGGGGGACAAGCGTTAGCTATGAATGGTCGGTGGTATCCAAGACAACCATTAATCAATCATAAATAACGCCTGTCCACCCAAACGATCCCAGAAATCGTTGCGCCGAAAGCTTGTACCCATTCCCTTTATAGTTCTGGAATGGGGAATTGGGAGAAGTCCCTCGTCCCTGGGATCTTAGTTCTGTCTTTGCCCAGTCCTTACAGCTTATTACGATTCCATGCTTTCCCAATCATCGATAAATTGACATTAAGAGATCATTTTGAGTGGCGGAAAGAAAAAAAAAACAATTTATTGTATATAAGTGAATTGCAAGCTCCACTGCGCTCTGATTTCGTTATCGACAATTTCCTGGTTGCTACGATATTTTTTTTCTTCTAGTGTTCCCTCATAGTGTATAGTATGGCGTTATTGTGAGAGCCGCGGAAGCTAAAAAGGCTCTGTTTATTAAATCTCCTTGTCAAAGATCTTATAGCGAGATAGCAAGTTCTATACTGCTATGTACCCTTCTTGGATAACCAAAATGGCATTTATAGTCCTTCAGTTACCGCCGTAATGCGTTGCTTCTCTGTTATCATTTTTTGCGAGGGGCGGGTCTCCTGTCAGATAAAATAAAGAAAACGGAACACAACAAATACAGAGTTTTGATGCTTTGTACTTGCTTGATACGAGGGTTAAGACGACATAGAGCACGTAATAATTATAGTCCTTCAGCTACCGCAGTAATGCGTGGCTTCTCTGTTCTCATTTCTTGTGAGGGGCGGGTCTCCTGTCAGATAAAATAAAGAAAACAAGACACAAAAAATACAGAGTTTTGATGCTTTTTACTTAAAAGCGATTGGAGTACTGAAGCTTCCTCGAGACGAAGGGAAAACGCTCTTGAATTTTCGTTGAGTTGATGTCATCAACTTACCCCAGTCAGCTGATGGTGAATATAGCACGTACGCACGTGATTGTTTAAGAATAGCCCACGTTCGATATATTAAAATTCTAACATGACTCCGAGGCTTTCTGGTCATTTTTCTATATTTGGTTTGGTTTTCTTTGTGCCCAAGTCTCTTCTGGGAATTGCGAGACAATGGAGTCGTGAGACATTTGCAATTTTGCCTCTAAAGTCTAAAACGTGGGCTAATCATATACTTCGTCACACGCTGACTATTTGCACAAACTCCGATGAAAGTACCTGAAGGAAGTCTTGCAAAATGTCTGGACGAGGAAAATCAGCTAATGGCGGAAAGAGCACAAGCAGAAGCAGGTCTATGCGAGCCGGTTTGCAGTTTCCTGTTGGACGCATCCACCGCCTTCTTAGAAAGGGTTTGTAATGAATTGGTTCAAGTTTTATATTTTTTATTATCATGTGGTCGTTTGTTGTAGCTAAGTTTTATTTCGACGTACATAATCAGCACATTTGTTTGAACTAAGCTACTTTCAGTTGTGCTTTTGTGAATAAAGACCCTGGTGAAACGTAAATCGAGGTTAAGACTATGACATGTTATACGACTGTTAAAACTTCTCTGACTTTGAAGTGTACCGCAATTGACCACTCCAGAAAATACCATAACATACCATAATGCTCTTTGTTTGTCACCGCAACATTTGGCATAAGCCTTTTTTTTAGTTTCTCTTGGGGCCATTTTAACTCCCAAGAGAAACTGAAGACAATGCTTATGCAAAATTTTGGGGTGACAAACAAAGAGCATTATGGTATGTCATGGTATTTTCTGGAGTGGTCAATACTGTGATACTGCCGAATCAATTCTTTTGGGTGATATTCATATAAAACTCAGTTGGGATTAACCTTGTTGGTACAAGTTTTTCTTTTCTAATTCGGGGTAAGAATCGTGCTGCGCCACGAAAAATCACTGTACGGTTTATTTCATCTGAGTATTTTGACCCAATGAGTTTATTACATGCTGTTCTTAAACTCATTAATAATTCATAAAGAAAATACAAAGGAAATTAATGTTTGATGAGTGTTTGGAAATAAGATGAAAAACTGCTCATCTTTTCATCCTTAATTTCTCCTTCTAAAATCGTTTTGTTTGAGAAGTAATACCAAGCATTCGACCCAGTGTTTCATGAAACACCTGGAAGTTTGTCAAAAATACTCCACTGCGCGTCGTCTTTTCAACTCTCTTCAGTGTTTCATCTGGTGATGGAACACTGCGTCTCATGCTTAATATATTACATAAAAATGCTCTCTGCTTTTCAGTTGTCTGAAGCGCTTTCTTAAAATTTCTTTAAAGGAAATTATTCAGACCGTGTTGGCAATGGTGCCCCCGTATATCTGGCAGCAGTGTTGGAATACCTAACAGCCGAGGTGCTAGAACTGGCTGGAAACGCTGCTCGGGACAACAAGAAATCCCGTATCATCCCGCGCCATTTACAGTTAGCTGTGCGAAACGACGAAGAGCTTAATCAACTTTTATCTCACGTGACCTTCGCAGAAGGTGGTGTACTGCCCAACATTCAAGCCGTGCTACTTCCTAAGAAGACTGGATCCAAGTCAGGAAACTCGAAAATGGCACATTCTAGTCAAGAATACTGAGACGATGTGACAACGCTAGAGATCAGGAATTTTTCCTACTTTGCAAGATAACGAAAAAAAATTGTATAAAAACAGCGAAATAAAGAGACTGGATAAAAATTCCTTGTATTTCAGAATGTATGGCCTGGCACACGAGCCCCAGTACGCCAAGAATGAACCCCATCGCTCCCTCTCAAGACCCCACAAATGGTTGCTGTACATCTAACCACTTTGAGGTTGCGGGAGACCGGGTCGAGATGGTTTCAAAGTGCATTGTGGGACTGTTTTGGGGGACAAATTTGCCACCATGTTGGAAATTCGTTCCCCCATAACAGTCCCACAATACACTTTGAAACCATGGCTGGGTCTGACATTCATCAGGGAAGGTATTATTTTTCATGACGATTAAGTTTTGTTTGAGGTCGAAGCTGGGTGGGGAATTACGAAGGGAAGAAGTCACTTTTCAGAAGCTTCGTTCCTTTTCACCCCATTCCAAACGGTCTTTATTCCTAGAAGAATGTCAAGAATTAATATATCTATGATCGTACTGCCCGATTAGTTAAACCGGATCAATCAGTTTTTGGCAGCATCAACAGGCCACATAGTAAAAATCAGCTCATCCGCTCGTTAGCGAGTCTTGGAGGGCGCAAACAGGGAAATCGAATAAACATGTCATTGTCCATTTTCTTTAATTGTGTCCTCCAGGACTCGCTATTCCAAGGGTCCTTTTATAGCGGAGCTCTCTCGCGCGCGAAGCGCACGCCAGCGGAGCACTATGGGTAAGTAAATCTACCCATCCAAGAAAATTCGGTAATCACGTGACCGTACACCCGACCGCCCGAACGAACGACCGTCCGTCCGCACCACAGGCATACCAATGTAAAATAACTCAATCAACCGGTATGGCAACCTAAATGCAACTCGAGATTATTTTGGCGGGAAATCGCATAGCCACCCGCGACTTGTGAAGCAGAGACAACTAAAGAGTCAATAAATACGAAAACGGGAAGCGGAAATTGTTTCTGTATCCGTGAAGCTTAGATTAATTGTCATGTCCACAAATTTGGAATATAGAGAAAGAGAAAGACATAGAAAAAGAGAAAGTAGGCGGCAGGGCAGTGAAGCTCAACGAGCAAAAGGGCGACAGAGGTCTAGAGCGAGAGATAAAAAAACAAAGGTGACATATTTTTGTCGGAAGAACAACATGAAAATTTAGTAGCGGCGGTCATAAAATCAGAAATGCTAGCGGCCACCAATGCTAGGTGAAAATGAGCGGCAGTGAAAAAAAAACTGAACGAGAACACGTGCGACTTTTTCTCCAAAAAAACGTGTAACTAAGAAGTTTCTGGAAGTTTCACATTGTAGTTGTGCAAAACAACGGCAAAGACATGTACAAAAAGTTTGCTGCACGTGCAAAGTTGCTTTTTTGCTAATTAGACCTATTGTTGTTTTTCACCGTTCTCCGGCGTTGCCTTCGCCGCTTAGGATTATTTTATATTTTGTTTGAAGAAACTTTAAATATTATCGAGAGCTTCGTTTTTAGCCCTGGCTAAATCTTTATATTAGGCTTATTGTTCGCGCTTTGTGGTTAGACGAGCATTGTTTGAAAGCGCCCAATAAAGACCAAAACTATTCAAAATGTACAATTTGTAATTACAGTTGGCTTTGCTTCATTGATTTTCAATAACAATGATGGTATAATTTTTCTAATTTGTGAGAAGACTGTCATTTTTTTGCGCATACTTTTAGGGAAATGTACAAGTTTTTTCAACTTCAACAAGTTGGACCAATCAGATGAAGTTAAATTGGCATTCACGTGATTTCTGAGTCACGTGCACACGTACTCATTATACTGTAGCTATATAAACCGCTGCACTCTTTTGGTATTTGCATACGCTCTCCAGCAACATCTAACAACACCTCTCAGTTTAGCGAACGAAGAAGAACGAAATTGTTGCATAATGTCTGGTCGAGGAAAAGCAGCTAAGAGTGGAAAGAGCACAAGCAAAAGCAGGTCTGTGCGAGCCGGTTTGCAGTTTCCTGTTGGGCGCATACACCGCTTTCTTCGAAAAGGTTTGCTCTGAATTTCTGTTATAAAAGGTCTTGTAACGTCCCAATGGTCGCTTGTTGTAGAAGTGTGAATTATAGTTATCACAAATTCATTTTATTACAAAAGAACTGTTCTCTACTCCCACACTGTTGAATGTCTCCCCTCGTAGCATTTTCCTCTTTGAGTACAATTTTGAAAATACGTTTTGTCCGTCAAATTCTCTCAGTAGAAGAGCTTCTTTAAAAACTGACCTTTCTCTCCGCTTTATCTTAGCACGTGTTCTCAGTTTTTAAAAGGAGACATTCCAATTGAAAATAGTTGACTATTTCTCTACTGCAGGACAGTACGCCCAGCGTGTTGGTAATGGAGCGCCCGTTTACCTCGCAGCAGTGCTGGAATACCTCTCGGCGGAAGTCCTAGAACTGGCTGGAAACGCAGCTCGGGACAACAAGAAATCCCGTATCATCCCGCGCCATTTGCAGCTGGCTGTGCGAAACGACGAGGAGCTTAATCAGCTTTTGTCCCACGTGACCATAGCAGATGGCGGCGTACTGCCAAATATTCAAGCTGTGCTACTTCCTAAGAAGACAGCCTCCAAATCTGGAGGTTCAAAGATAGGAAACTCGAGCCAAAGCCAAGAATACTGAGACGCTGGTAAAACAAGCACTCGGCCCTACTGATCAGCATTTCATTTGTTCTGTGTGACTGTTCGCAAGTCTTACGAAAAAAGGAGCTCGAGAGCTGACTGTTGAGTGAATTATTGACTATTATTTCCATACTTGTTTTGAGATTCAATATCGCAACTTCATATTTTATAATCAGAGTGTATTTCAAGCTTTCTTTGTTTTATAGTTACTTTTTCGAGTGATATTTTTCGTAGTTATTTTTTCCGTTTCGTTCTCATGGGTGATTTCACAGACGCATGATCAAAGGTGCAGGAGTCCGTCCCAATTTGTCAGTGATTTAATTTTAAAGTCTGTGAACCCCACCTTTAGTCATAACCTACTGTAAATATTGAACGTGTTGTAAATAAAGTTCGATTTGCTATGTTGCCAATGTTTATAGATTTGCTTCTTCTGGTATGTTTATCTCGACTCTTGTGAAAAATATTTTTGCAAATAGTTATTCCAAAGTGCGTGGATAAAAAAATGGCGTTTGGCAAAGGAAACGAATCTGCTTGAGGAAAATTTGTAATGAAGACTTGAGAATTCACAACTTCGGCCTTGAGCTTTTTTTAAAAAAATCTTTTCTTGCTTTTTACGCGTTCAAAAGCCTATAGTGTACTGAAAAAGGCCATTGAAACAAGAGAACTTTAGCTGCCCACCGTTATTAAACCGTTTATCTTGCAATATGAATAACAAATAATTTCGGGTATGAAGCTTACTTTTGTTATTTCGTTTTAGTTTTTGCATTTAAATTTTCTTTTACACCCTTCTGTTATGTGAGTCCTCGCTTTCATGCACAGCCGAGCGAAGTCTAGGAACTAGCGAATAACGAGAGGCGGTTTCGCGGTTTTTCGCGGGATGCTTGCCATCTTTACTTGTCATCTGTTTAACATAACATAACATTCTAACTTTATTCAAGATGTAAACAAGCTTATTTGCAGGAAAACATAATGTTAAAAGACATCTTGAAAAGGGAGTTGAGAGGTTAGCCCCACATTAGAACTCCCAAACAGGAATAGAAAATGCTAAATAAAAAATCAAATACAATACAGGTATTCAAAAATCAAGGCCTTAATTAAAGCACGATTCTAGTTTAAAATCTATTAAATAGATAACGATGAAGCTTATGTTTAAAATGATGAAAGCTTTCAGCTTTTTCTGTGCCGACTCTTGGTAAATCAGTCCGTTTTGAAAGTATTCTAATAAAGAAAGAACAATTGTAGCAATCGAGTCTTGCGCTTTTAACATAAAATTTGAAGGGGTGATTCGCTCTTGTTAACTGAACTTTGGAGGATTAAAAATTCAAATGATAGTATCCAAAGACGAACTTATAGCACTCAATTGAAGATAAATAATTTTTACGGTCAGATAGCGAAGGCCATTTCAACAATTTACAACGATCAACATAAGGCATTTCTCCTTGTGTTGATTAAGTGCTAATCTCTATACTTTTCTCTGTATACTCTCCAAGGCGCGGATGTCTTTGACGAGGTAAGGGCACCAAACGGGTACAGTATAGAAGTAACAGAGATTGGGCGGTAATTTTCTCCGAGAGATTTAGGGCCTGTTTACATGGAGGTGGGGAACCCCAGGTAGGTGAGGTAACCTGCTTTTGTGAGGTAAAAAAATAACCCTCCTTTACATGCAGTCTTACAACCCCGCCATCCCGGGGTGCACTTTCTCAAAACTATTGAGTGGTCGCCAAGCACGCAAACAAGAAAAATGGTGACAAACCGCGTGTTTTGGCGATTAATGCACTTCTACACTCCCTTGTTGCTCTTGCTGCAACCTTCAGTTCTGTGGCTTTCTATTGTTAACTTTAATAATAATGCAAAGCAACCGCCAAAGTGAATTTTGCGCGAATTTGATGTATCACGAATCCGACCCCGGCCAGGCGGGTCACACCACCTTGAAACGTTTACATGGCAAAATTTGACCCCGGCTGAGAGGGTAACGCGGTCTGGTAGACCGGGCTACCCGCCTTGGTGGGTCACCCCACCTATCATGTAAACGTGATCAAATTAAAATGAGAGATTATATGGACAGGTGGGTTACCCCACCTAAGCGAGTTACCTCACCTACCTGGGGTCCCCCACCTCCATGTAAACAGGCCCTTAGAGCCCTTCTTCAGCACATTTCCAAACATTAGGTAATAAAACGGAGGGGAATGATTTGTTTAATATATGCGTCAATGAAGGTGCTGGTTCCGATGCATATTCTCTCAAAACGCAAGGTGCGATATGGTCAGGCTCAGGGGACTTGCTAGGCTTGAGTTTCAGAAGGAGGTGTCTTACTTCATTAGCACTACAACTGATATTTTCGAGTTTCTTGTTTAAAATTTCGCACACTATTTTCAGTGCATTTCTATGCTTGCAATCCTTTATCAAAGTACTCATCTATCGATAAGTTTCGTAGATTATTTCATAAATGTCTTGAAGGTACGACGCCTCGTCTTCAGTAAACAATTTTCAGGAAAAGCATGGCGTCTCAAGCTGAGCTTATCATGGCATATCATCCAGGTTGTGCAGTTGCTTAAGACCTTTCAAGGTTTGCATTTAGATTGTTTCTTGGCTAATGTGATGTTTTTGCAAATAATATTAGTGCAAGCAGTTAACATTTACATCAAATTCTGTTGTATTTTTCTATGCAACACAGGTAGCCCAAACTCTATCCCAAACTCATGCTCAAATTAAGACATACTTAGTAGAGAATGGTTTTTAAGGAAACCCGGCAAACATCAAAGTTGAAAACAATGGTGCTGTAGGTTATGTTGGAAGCTCCCTGACCGTGCACAATTCTTTATTTTCTGTTCAGAAATTATAACTGAATAAATTAATGCAATGTCTCTATCGGTCAATAACTTCAAAATGATAGGAATGCTATTGAACGTTGTGCACAGTCAGGTCCAAAAAAGCTAACGAAAATCTATAACAAAGGGTTTCACAATCATTCCACTTTAATTAACTATGATTCATTGAATGAAAAACCTTTCAATAGCGCGCGCATTTGCAAGCAGGGAGAAAGAAAATGCTAATGTGAAGAAAGGAAGGAATTATTGAGAGGTGGGTGAAGTTCGGCTTTGATCACTTTAGTGCACTGGAGAGGTTTGTTTTACAGGTAACATTCCACAGGTCGCGATTACAGGTCACTGTTATATTGACAGTTATGTAAACTAAGTAATCTCCCCTCGATCAAAAACAACATTTATGTTAAGGATTAGCGCTAGGAGACGCTTCCGGTCTTGTTTAATTATCTGTAGCATGGTGACTCGTATTCTGACCAGTGGAATGTGACTTGGAAAAAATAACTGAATGAACATGTTATAGGCTTGCTTCAGGGGTAGGGCACCAGGACAACCAGAGGAATGTGTCAGGGAATACAAGAAGGAGGATTGGATTCTCTTTCTTGGGAGAATGAAAAGTTCATGAATTATTTTAAGGTCTGAACCAAAAGGGTGGGGGAATTGTAGAGATTCTAAATTTGGTAAAAATCACAGACGGCAACCACAGGGAAGTCACGCTGGGATTTGTCATTTACTGCTTTTCCTAACCTATAGTTATCTGGAATATGAAGTTGCAAATGGGAAATTTTGTATTTTCGAGTTGCTGAGATTGTAACAGAGGCTTGGATCGGGGATGGGGGGGGGGGGGGGGTGGGGTACCTCCCATAAATTGCGGATAGATATGTGCTGTCCATCTCACGAATTGCTCTTAGCCGATTGGGCACAATAATACAAAGCATCTTTTGTGCCCAATTAGGAGTCAGCATTCGCTTGACCCTTTGGAAATGGTCCGGTGAGAGTTGGTACCCAGGGGCTCTTCCGCCTATGATGGGAATAAATGTGGTCCAAGTATCGAGTCCCGAGGAACCCCACAACATATATAACATGTTTCTGAAGTTTCATTGCCTGTCAGTGTAACCTGTGTTCTATTAGATTGATAGTTTCTAGAAAGGTTGAGGCTGGCATCCCTTAACCCATATAACTCTAATTTGGTTGATAGGATCTCATCAAAATGTCTTTGTTAGATTGATAACAAGGATTTACATGGAGAAAAAGAGATCCGTTCTTATAGGGAGAACAAACCGGAAAACCGATAAAATGGCCATAAATTTGCTCGGGACCCGACAGAAAAGAAGGATACAACTAGAATGAGTTAAACCAATTTTTATTAAAAATCCTTTCTTAATCGTATGTTACAGAAACGATCGTTTCCCCCCTCTCAAATCGTGATATTTCGAAGGTTACAACGTCGATGTTTATTTCTCAAGCCTGGGCTACCTGTTTATTGTTTATTGTTTTGTTTGCCAAAAAATTTTACAAATCAAATAAAATCTAATTACTTAAACTCTCATGGAGAGGAAGCCCAAGAGAAGCCACCGGGCTCATAAGGAATGGGCTCCCTCAGTTAGATAATTAGAACAAAATATTATCATAATTACACATGGGAAAATCAATGGCAGAGCTACAGTAAATCTTAAAATAAGTATATTAGATAGTCGTACTAATCATAGTTCTAGGCTAAAAAAAGCGAAATGACAAAAAAAAAAACAAACAAAAAAACAAAACAAAACAAACCAAAAGAAAACAAAAGAGCAAGGGAAGAAAAAAAAATACATATATATATATATAAATTACTATTTATGATAAGAGGAATGCTTTCACCTTACAGCAAAAGGAAGCGGTACTTGTTGCATTTCGAATTTCAAAACTAAGAGAGTTAAAAAATTTAGGACCTTGGAAACTGATGGAGAACTTTCTTATATTAGTACTGCATTGTGGTAAATAAAAATGCTCCGAACTTCTAGTGCCATAAGAATGCACCTGGCGTGTCACCAGAAACATGTTATTGAAGCTATAAGGAAGTAAGCCAGATCTGTATTGATACATAAATTTTCCTATTTGAAGTTTGTAGATACTCTCAAGATTCAGAATTTTTAAATTTTTAAATAAGGGGTCAGTGTGAGCATCGAAAGCACTCCTCGACATTATTTTTACGACCCGTTTTTGAAGTGTGATTAATCTTCTGAGGTTTGATAGGTAGGTCGATGCCCAGACGCTCACGCAGTAGAATAAGTGATATAAGTGATTGAATAATATTAGCCGACAGGCTTGGCAGGAGTCCGGTTTGTTTAGTGATGAGTATGATTAGTTCAGTGATTTTGTTACCTCTGCTTCCTGCGTCCCTGACGCATACAAATCCCCAAAGACGCAAAATAAATTATGACATGCGTCCCGTAGGACGCAAAGATCGATCGACCGATCGATCGATCTGAACATGTGTACTTGTAGAAATATTCTCGTTAGTGTGATTTCTGTGGCAGTTATTATTTAACTATGCATATTTCTTTTAGCCTTTGTTGTGCTTTAAAATAGAAAGACTATATTTTAATTTCAGTATACGGTAATGCAGAGGTTTGGAGTCTCTCTTCAGATTAACTGTCTGGTTATATAAAGGCCCAAGCATTTTTAATTTGCGACTCGGTTTGTTTAACTGGGACTGGTGATTTTTCACAAGATGAGTCCCAGGACTCACCATAACTATTTGCAACAACATCACTGGATTGCAGACAACTGATCACCCGGTCTTTGCTTGATATTCACTGTTTATACCGAAACTAGTGGATAGGTGTTAGGGGAATTAATTGCGCTATCAGTTGGATAGTTATTTATCCTATGGATAGAACTATCCTCCTACTGGACAACTAGGGCTAACTATAATTAATTATATTTAAATGAATAAAAACAAATTTGAGAGAAACACAAAGTAAGAGTCGCAGCCTAATAAAAGTACAAGAATTGTTTTGACCTACGCGAAAGTAAGAAAGAAGCCGATAGTTGCAGCTGTCTCATTACATAGCAGGTAATTCTGTGACTAATTACACTTATTCATGCAAAAATCAAGGTCGGTTATAGGTAATTAGGTAGGGGCATTCTTTCAGCTTTGATTTGAACGGAAATGGAAGTAGTGAGAGAGGAAGTCTCATATCTCCTCTTCGTAGGGGGTTCCTTTTCAAATTTCGTTACATTGGTAAACTTTTTGCGAAATTAGTTTTTTTTTTGTGAACGCCTGGAAGTATAGACAAAGCTTTCACCAACCAATAAACCTAACTGAAACCTATAGAAACCTGTAGAACCTTTGCCAACTTACTCGACATTATTCATGCTCTCGCCTCCATGTATTTTCATTGTATGGCAGGAAAAACTGAGACAATGTGTAAGAACTAAAGTAAACGCGTATACTTACTTTTATTTAAGCATTACTTTTCATTCCAAAAGTACTGAGTACAGACAAATTTAGAATAAAATATGCTGAGTTATAGCTGTACCAGTAAACATGAAAAATGCTTTAATGGCAGGGTCATTTCATAAATAAAATGAGCAGATACAGTAGAGGGTTTAAAACCTGTTTAATTCGACAAACAGCGAGCAAGAGCGGAACGAATTACTGTCTTAGTGCATCCTTGACTGCTTCTCTTATTTCTCTGATCTTCCAGCAGTACAGCAACGGGTTTAATGACGAATTGACGTAAATTAAAGTATAGGCATATTGTCTAGCAAGGTAAAAAGACAATGGAAAACCACTTTGGGGCGTTGAAAATATAATGATACAATACGGTAGATAACAAACAGCTAACACTATCTGTACCCAGAGTGCACTAGACACTGCCTTTCTGTGTCGAGCATTGCTCATTGAAATTGCTTGACTTGGCTGTCCTTGAAAAAGGTGACCCAGTGCATGAATTTGGTTATGGCGCAGAATTAAGAAAATTTTTGTGTAAGAGAAAACTGAGGTAGCTATACAGAGTATTACAATGATATTGATATACCAGAAAACTATGCGAGGATTAACAAAATACATCGTTGCCCCTACTATAGACACAACCCAAAATGCGAATACAGCCACATATGTTCTCTTTAAAGTTACAACTTGTCTATATCTGAGTCCCAGAGAGAGGGCAAGGAGTCTGTCCACGCTTATCGAAGTTACTGTTAATAGAGAGACTGTACACAAAGTACTACCAGTTGTAACAAATTTGGCCAAGATGATTCGACAGAGACTCCACCGTTCCATCACCAGAGACATCCAATATATAACAGACACAGGTTCTACGATGACGCCAACACAAAAATCGGTTATCGCTAGGTTACGATACAGGAGTTTGGATGGCGGATGAAGCGAAGATTCTTTGCGAAGAGCAACTAGAATAAGAGTGTTCCCAAGAAATGCAGTAAAAGACAGAAAAATGTTCAGCGCTGCGAGAAGTATGAGATACTTGTAGTCTTCTCCTGTGAATTCGTCCGGGCAATCGAATTCGTGAAATCTTTTCTGCTTTTCCTCTCCGGTATAGTTCTGTGTTAACATTTTGCTCGTTGCAGTTCGAACTGATTATGCTGCACCGCTTCCTTTTAAGTCTAACATCGTGAACAGCTGCCGATGAACAAATAAGCTGAAAGCATTTGCATTATTGTCTTCATGACTTTTAGTAATCAGCAGCTTGCTGTTTAATTGGCATGAAAATGTCATTTGGAAATAGGCTAATTTTAATTTTCATTGAAAGGGAAAACGTATCCAAAAACCTAAGTTTACTTAGATATTCAAGTGGCCGTCAAGGTCAAAAGAATTGTTAACTGCTTTTTGCAGTCGACGCAGGAGAGCGCACTACCAATCTCGTGGCTTTTATTGGGGCTTCTACACTTCCAAGCCCAAAGCCTACAGTGAGCGCTGTAACAGTGTGTATCATAATCAAACTCAGAACAGTTCACGCTATAACGTGGTTATTGTCACAATCAAACATGGAACAGTGTGCGCTTATAAAAATATTTAACGTAACAATCAAACACAGAACATTGAGGTAGACTGTGTAAGTATAATTTTACTGCAGTTTTCTTTGTCAACCGAATAGTCTTGCATAGTTAACAATTACTTCATGTAACTAGGGATAAACGTGTTAAGCAATGTCAAATCTAAGCTCTGTAACTTGTTATCGGAAGCCCTTCTATCAGAAATCGGGGTAACAAAATTATTATAAATTATTAACTCAGCTGACTTCGTTTAAGTTGGGTAAATCTATCTTGTTGATCACTGTGTTTTATTGTTATGATAGACACTGTTGTAGCGAGCACTGTTTTTTGTTAAATATTTAAGGAAAACACTGTTGTAAGCGTACTCTTCTCTGTAGCGCACACTGTTCTGTGTACGATAGACATTGTCTCAACACTTACTATTCTGTGTTTGATTGTTACGATAGACCGTGTCATAGCGTGCACTGTTATGTGTTTAATTGTTACAATATAACTGGTCATAGCGGAGACTGTCCTGTGTTTGACTGTTAAGATAGACACTGCCATAGAGGGCACCGTTTTGTGCTTGATTCTTACGACAAACCTTATGATAGCGCTTTTTTCTCTGCCTCATTATTATAACAGACCTTCTCAAGGCGAGTACTTTTCTGTGTTTGATTCCTACGATAGACCTTTTCATAACGTGCACTGTCCTGTGTTTCATTCGTACCATAGAACTGGTCATAGCGGACACTGTCCTGTGTTTGATTGTTAGGATAGACACTGTCATAGAGGGCACTGTCCTGTGTTAGATTGTTATGATAGACACTGTTGTAGCGCGCACTGGTCTGTGTTTTGATTGTTATGATAGACACTGTTGTAGCGCGCACTGTTCTGTGTTTGATTGTTACGATAGACACTGTTGTAGCGCGCACTGGTCTGTGTTTTGATTGTTATGATAGACACTGTTGTAGCGCGCACTGTTCTGTGTTTGATTGTTACGATAGACACTGTTGTAGCGCGCACTGTTTTGTGTTTGATTGTTACAATAGACACTGTTGTAAAGCACACTGTTTTGTTTTTGATTGTTACGATAGACACTGTTGTAGCGCACTCTGTTCTGTGTTTGATTGTTATGATAGACACTGTTGTAGCGCACACTGTTCTGTGTTTGATTGTTACGATAGACACTGTTGTAGCGCGCACTGTTCTGTGTTTGATTGTTACGATAGACACTGTTGTAGCGCGCACTGTTCTGTGTTTGATTGTTACGATAGACACTGTTGTAGCGCGCACTGTTCTGTGTTTGATTGTTACGATAGACACTGTTGTAGCGCGCACTGTTTTGTGTTTGATTGTTACAATAGACACTGTTGTAAAGCACACTGTTTTGTTTTTGATTGTTACGATAGACACTGTTGTAGCGCATTCTGTTCTGTGTTTGATTGTTACGATAGACACTGTTGTAGTGTGCACTGTTCTGTGTTTGATTGTTATGATAGACACTGTTGTAGGGCATTCTGTTCTGTGTTTGATTGTTACGATAGACACTGTTGTAGCGCCCACTGTTCTGTGTTTGATTGTTATGATAGACACTGTTGTAGCGTACACTGTTCTGTGTTTGATTGTTACGATAGACACTGTTGTAGCGCGCACTGTTTTGTGTTTGATTGTTACAATAGACACTGTTGTAAAGCACACTGTTTGTTTTTGATTGTTACGATAGACACTGTTGTAGCGCACTCTGTTCTGTGTTTGATTGTTACGATAGACACTGTTGCAGCGCGCACTGTTCTGTTTTTGATTGTTACGATAGACACTGTTGCAGCGCGCACTGTTCTGTTTTTGATTGTTACGATAGACACTGTTGCAGCGCGCACTGTTCTGTGTTTGATTTTTACGATAGACACTGTTGTAACGCGCACTGTTCTGTGTTTGATTGTTACGATAGACACTGTTGCAGCGCGCACTGTTCTGTGTTTGATTGTTACGATAGACACTGTTGCAGCGCACTCTGTTCTGTGTTTGATTGTTACGATAGACACTGTTGCAACGCGCACTGTTCTGTGTTTGATTGTTACGATAGACACTGTTGTAAAGCACACTGTTTTGTTTTTGATTGTTACGATAGACACTGTTGTAACGCGCACTGTTCTGTGTTTGATTGTTATGATAGACACTGTTGTAGTGTGCACTGTTCTGTGTTTGATTGTTATGATAGACACTGTTGTAGGGCATTCTGTTCTGTGTTTGATTGTTACGATAGACACTGTTGTAGCGCCCACTGTTCTGTGTTTGATTGTTATGATAGACACTGTTGTAGCGTACACTGTTCTGTGTTTGATTGTTACGATAGACACTGTTGTAGCGCGCACTATTTTGTGTTTGATTGTTACAATAGACACTGTTGTAAAGCACACTGTTTTGTTTTTGATTGTTACGATAGACACTGTTGTAGCACACTCTGTTCTGTGTTTGATTGTTACGATAGACACTGTTGTAGCACGCACTGGTCTGTGTTTTGATTGTTATGATAGACACTGTTGTAGCGCGCACTGTTCTGTGTTTGATTGTTACGATAGACACTGTTGTAGCGCGCACTGTTTTGTGTTTGATTGTTACAATAGACACTGTTGTAAAGCACACTGTTTTGTTTTTGATTGTTACGATAGACACTGTTGTAGCGCACTCTGTTCTGTGTTTGATTGTTATGATAGACACTGTTGTAGCGCACACTGTTCTGTGTTTGATTGTTACGATAGACACTGTTGTAGCGCGCACTGTTCTGTGTTTGATTGTTACGATAGACACTGTTGTAGCGCGCACTGTTCTGTGTTTGATTGTTACGATAGACACTGTTGTAGCGCGCACTGGTCTGTGTTTTGATTGTTATGATAGACACTGTTGTAGCGCGCACTGTTCTGTGTTTGATTGTTACGATAGACACTGTTGTAGCGCGCACTGTTTTGTGTTTGATTGTTACAATAGACACTGTTGTAAAGCACACTGTTTTGTTTTTGATTGTTACGATAGACACTGTTGTAGCGCACTCTGTTCTGTGTTTGATTGTTATGATAGACACTGTTGTAGCGCACACTGTTCTGTGTTTGATTGTTACGATAGACACTGTTGTAGCGCGCACTGTTCTGTGTTTGATTGTTACGATAGACACTGTTGTAGCGCGCACTGTTCTGTGTTTGATTGTTACGATAGACACTGTTGTAGCGCGCACTGTTCTGTGTTTGATTGTTACGATAGACACTGTTGTAGCGCGCACTGTTTTGTGTTTGATTGTTACAATAGACACTGTTGTAAAGCACACTGTTTTGTTTTTGATTGTTACGATAGACACTGTTGTAGCGCATTCTGTTCTGTGTTTGATTGTTACGATAGACACTGTTGTAGTGTGCACTGTTCTGTGTTTGATTGTTATGATAGACACTGTTGTAGGGCATTCTGTTCTGTGTTTGATTGTTACGATAGACACTGTTGTAGCGCCCACTGTTCTGTGTTTGATTGTTATGATAGACACTGTTGTAGCGTACACTGTTCTGTGTTTGATTGTTACGATAGACACTGTTGTAGCGCGCACTGTTTTGTGTTTGATTGTTACAATAGACACTGTTGTAAAGCACACTGTTTGTTTTTGATTGTTACGATAGACACTGTTGTAGCGCACTCTGTTCTGTGTTTGATTGTTACGATAGACACTGTTGCAGCGCGCACTGTTCTGTTTTTGATTGTTACGATAGACACTGTTGCAGCGCGCACTGTTCTGTTTTTGATTGTTACGATAGACACTGTTGCAGCGCGCACTGTTCTGTGTTTGATTGTTACGATAGACACTGTTGCAGCGCACTCTGTTCTGTGTTTGATTGTTACGATAGACACTGTTGCTACGCGCACTGTTCTGTGTTTGATTGTTACGATAGACACTGTTGTAAAGCACACTGTTTTGTTTTTGATTGTTACGATAGACACTGTTGTAACGCGCACTGTTCTGTGTTTGATTGTTATGATAGACACTGTTGTAGTGTGCACTGTTCTGTGTTTGATTGTTATGATAGATGCTGTTGTAGGGCATTCTGTTCTGTGTTTGATTGTTACGATAGACACTGTTGTAGCGCCCACTGTTCTGTGTTTGATTGTTATGATAGACACTGTTGTAGCGTACACTGTTCTGTGTTTGATTGTTACGATAGACACTGTTGTAGCGCGCACTATTTTGTGTTTGATTGTTACAATAGACACTGTTGTAAAGCACACTGTTTTGTTTTTGATTGTTACGATAGACACTGTTGTAGCGCACTCTGTTCTGTGTTTGATTGTTACGATAGACACTGTTGTAGCACGCACTGGTCTGTGTTTGATTGTTATGATAGACACTGTTGTAGCGCGCACTGTTCTGTGTTTGATTGTTACGATAGACACTGTTGTAGCGCGCACTGTTTTGTGTTTGATTGTTACAATAGACACTGTTGTAAAGCACACTGTTTTGTTTTTGATTGTTACGATAGACACTGTTGTAGCGCACTCTGTTCTGTGTTTGATTGTTATGATAGACACTGTTGTAGCGCACACTGTTCTGTGTTTGATTGTTACGATAGACACTGTTGTAGCGCGCACTGTTCTGTGTTTGATTGTTACGATAGACACTGTTGTAGCGCGCACTGTTCTGTGTTTGATTGTTACGATAGACACTGTTGTAGCGCGCACTGTTCTGTGTTTGATTGTTACGATAGACACTGTTGTAGCGCGCACTGTTTTGTGTTTGATTGTTACAATAGACACTGTTGTAAAGCACACTGTTTTGTTTTTGATTGTTACGATAGACACTGTTGTAGCGCATTCTGTTCTGTGTTTGATTGTTACGATAGACACTGTTGTAGTGTGCACTGTTCTGTGTTTGATTGTTATGATAGACACTGTTGTAGCGCCCACTGTTCTGTGTTTGATTGTTATGATAGACACTGTTGTAGCGTACACTGTTCTGTGTTTGATTGTTACGATAGACACTGTTGTAGCGCGCACTGTTTTGTGTTTGATTGTTACAATAGACACTGTTGTAAAGCACACTGTTTTGTTTTTGATTGTTACGATAGACACTGTTGTAGCGCACTCTGTTCTGTGTTTGATTGTTACGATAGACACAGTTGTAGTGTGCACTGTTCTGTGTTTGATTGTTACGATAGACACTGTTGTAGTGTGCACTGTTCTGTGTTTGATTGTTATGATAGACACTGTTGTAGGGCATTCTGTTCTGTGTTTGATTGTTACGATAGACACTATTGTAGCGCCCACTGTTCTGTGTTTGATTGTTATGATAGACACTGTTGTAGCGTACACTGTTCTGTGTTTGATTGTTACGATAGACACTGTTGTAGCGCGCACTGTTTTGTGTTTGATTGTTACAATAGACACTGTTGTAAAGCACACTGTTTTGTTTTTGATTGTTACGATAGACACTGTTGTAGCGCACTCTGTTCTGTGTTTGATTGTTACGATAGACACTGTTGTAGTGTGCACTGTTCTGTGTTTAATTGTACCGTGATTGTTGCCAAAGACTACCGTTATATAGCTGGACATACGTCTCAAGCAAAGCTAAGCCAATGGACGATGGCGTACAATAGCGTTGCAGGGACACACGCATCGTACAACGAGACATGATAGAGATATTTATTGAATTTAGCCGTACAGAACGAATGTTACAAACGTTAGAAGTGTTGCAACATTTGACCTCGGTACCTGTCTGTACCATTGTACTATGATACGACATCGATATTATGCTATCGTTACTGGTTAGTAAAGTAGAAAATTAACGTTTTCCTTGCAGCAAAACCTTGGCGAACGAACCGGACAAGTACAATATACTACGAAGAGACAAAGCAGTCTTGTACGAACACACGAAAGGAATTCAGGTGATGCTGTTCGCCGATTGGGCACAATAATACAAAGCATTTTTGTGCCCAGTGAAGAGCCAGGATTCGCTTGACCGTTTGGAAATGCTCCGCTAAGAGTCGGTACCCAGGGGCTTTTCCGCCCGAGTTTGAAACTTTCGTCGCGCCTTTTCTTCCGACCCGACTGACTGCCCCTGGGTCTCTGGGGATAGGCTTTACAGACATCCGCTATATTGCAGGTGCGGTAAGGATGGGTGAATATCAGGGCGGATAAACTTTATCCGCCCTGGGGAATATGATGAAAACCGCGATCTTCGTATTGGCTTTTCAGGCCGGATATTCTAACTGTTCAGAACTCGAGAATCAGAACACCGTGACCAGCCGTCCATTCTCGCTGATATAGAAATGCTTCATCGAGTGGGGTTTTTCATCTGTTTAATTCCTATGGTCGCAGGTGAGTGTCCAGAGTTTGGTGTTTGCTTAGTAAATAGCCTAAACGTCGTTCGTTTGTTGTTGTTGTATGATAAATGCCGATCGGTGTTTTTCGGTATTCATATTCAACCCCGTATTCAAGAGACATACAAAAAAGTATATGAGGTACAGCTTAAAAAATTGATTCGCAGTAGTTTATTACCAAGGTTCCACTAAATTCTCATGTATCCCCGAGAAATTGGGTCTTTTCCCTTTGAGCTGTCTTTAGATGCTAATGTGTAACAGCGATTTAGATTTGATTTGCAGATTTAGTATTCATACTTTCTTGTTCTTTGTCGAGTAATTTTCTCTTTTTATTGGATTGGTACGCTTAAAGGTCATATCAGATGCATAAAAGATGTACAAAGTTGGTTCTTCTCTTACTCTTGCTCGGCTTAAAAGTAATTTCAAATCATTTTCGAAACTTTGGTTCTGTTCATTGAATGATATCGTACTATTAATTTTGTGGGATGATTTCGGTAATGACGACTTAGAGCAACAATACAGAACTCTAACTCTGTTAAAAATAACAACAACAAGATCAAGTGACTAGGTTTTGCTCAACTCGAAAATGTAAAAGACATTCTTAATGTTCATATTGGATCAATAATGCAACCTAATACTATATAAATGCGTTCCTTAATTTCATCAAGATGTATCGCTAGTTAATCCTGGTTCATGGTTTTTGATGGGGGTTTTCGTGAGTATTAATTCAATTTCAACTCGAATCAGTTTTGAAAAATCAAGTCATAATTCTACCAGCCTTAACCAACTCGTTTCGAATGTTATCACAATAGTAATCTTACCTTGTTTAAAATTTTATATTAGATCTATGGTACTGAGAGAGAAAACAGGCAAATTCAAGCCCGATGCAACACTGAGCTAAATAGAAAATTGAAATCAGTCAATATCAAGCTTACCCTCATGTTGCATTTATTAACATCTTAAGTGGTAGTGTCAACAAGATTAAGTTCTGTGTGGCAATTCAACTGACGTGTTATCCACACCCCTATTCTGCTAAACGTTTTGATACTTCTACGTAAGAACTATCAGAGGGTACTACTCAAGTAGATTAAGGCGTGGTTCTTTACAAATTCCTCAGAATTTTAAAGGGGGGTGGTCTAATGTAAAGTTTTTTTTTATAGATATTCCAGGTCTAATAAATTTAGGCTAATGATAACTACGAAATCTGCAACTTTCATTTTAAAAATTGTTTATAACTGCATCACGTGACCAGCCACGCCCTGTTTTATCGAGAAATCCTTTGGGTCGAAATGCCCACTATGTAGAAAGCAAATTGTTTTCCTTTTGTCGATCCAAATAGTGGCTACTGATAGTCTTCTTGTAAAAACGTGTGGAATGAGACGAAGTCATTTAACGTCTTTCTCCTAACGAAAATTTTAGTAAGAGGAGGACTGGCACTAGTCAATGAACACCAATTGCACCTACAAATTGTAAAGATTCCAACCATTCCAGGCTGATTTCGCAGACACTTTTTAGGGTCAAAGTTTTGATACAGAGAAACTGGGGTTACACGTTTAGGAAGTGGTGGGCATCGTTAATTGCAATTTTTGAACAGAGGAGGGCGTGGTCGATCACGTGACGAGTTAATTTGGATTTTTCCTCAAGTTTTTTTAAGGTTAGTTTACTTTACCATCTGTTATTCCTGGAGGATGTCTTTAACAATAGTTTTTGGAAAATCTGCATAAAAACCCCAAATTACGTAGAACCATGCCTTAATCTACGTGAGTAACTAAAGACGGGAAGAAAGGAACTTGATTGAAACTTGAAAAAGTCGGACGGACCTCGTCTATCTTCGAGAATAAATTGAAGTCTTTTCTTTTCTGACTCTTGTCTCGTTCTTCAGGGGTCATGTTATACATTAGAGAGTGTACCTCTGTTAAATAATTTCGTGGTTTACGAAAAAGCGTGACGGTAGTCTTGTTTTACTAACCAAGTAGTGATCTTGTTATTGAAATGATCATATTAGTAATAAATGATCTACCATTGATCTTACGAGGTGTGCGTTGTGTTATCCGATAGATTTCGTGCCCTTTCCGCGCGCGTCATGCTCTCTATAAGTGCATAAAGACGAGGCAGTTGCCTGCTAACTTTTATTTCCCACAGGCGACTGTCTTGATTTGGACCTTGGAATGGAGAGTGGAAGCATACCTGACAACCGGATAACTGCCTCATCTCAGATCTCCCAAGCCAAGAACGGGCGATTAAACAGAAAAGGATCTTGGTGTGCGTCTACGAGTGATAACAATCCCTACCTGGAAATTGATTTACAGACATTTCATATCATATGCGCTGTGTCTACCCAGGGGGATTCCCTAGCAGACAATTGGGTAAAGACATACAGTCTACAGATATCAACCGATGGAACTTTTTGGACAAATTACAACGAGTCTGGAAAAGTTAAGGTAAACTGCATACCTTTATTTTCTGTTGGCAGCTCACTTTTCAGGGAAGTACCTTAACCTCTTTCATTCCCAAAACTGAAGTCTAAGTCAAAAGATTTTTTGAAAAAAGATTTTGTAAACTGCTGAAAAACAAATAGTACAATGTGAAAGCGCTGTCAAAGAGGTCTCATTTCAACGATCGCGCCATTATTCTGTCTTTATATTGGTTTTAGATCTTTTCGGGGAATGACGACAGAGACACAGAGAAAACGAACATTATCAATGAAGGCTTGTTGACGAGATGGCTACGATTTGTAGCAAAAAGAAGTCATAACAAGTTTTGTATGAGAATCGAGCTGTACGGAGTGAGGCAAAAGCCAGGTAAATCAGTTTTGACTTTAAAGTGAAACCGTATCTCTGTTTCCTTGTACTTGGTTATGTTGAAATATGGAAAACGATGGTAAAGCGCAATCTCGTTTCAAGGGTTCTCTCCTACTCGTTTTCCAGGGGACAAGTAGTCGTTTTCCAGGGGGCAAGTAATCGTTTTCCAGGGGACAAGTAGTCGTTTTCCAGGGGACAAGTAGTCGTTTTCCAGGGGACAAGTAGTCGTTTTCCAGGGGGCAAGTAGTCATTTTCCAGGGGCAAGTACTCGTTTTCCAAGGGGCGAGTAGAAGGTCGAGAAACCTGTGAACAAGTTTGGCTTAAGCGACGAGAACGCGACGTCATAAATAGCAACCGTGAACTTTGATGTTTCGCTTGATGGAACTTCTTCCTGTCGAAACGAAAACCTTGTTTTAGCTACTATAGTATGACGTCATCTGCTCAGAGTACAGTAAGAAAGAGAAGATCCGCTTTCGGTTTGAAGTCGACGTCATCCTCGTTCAAGGTCATTACTGGAACATTATGGTCAATTTTCTAAATAACACTCAACAGTTTTCTTTTCTTTTGGACACAGATAACCTTGCGACTGGCAAAAACGCATACCCGCACTTAGCTTGCTTTAGTACTTCGGAAAACACGTCGTATTGGCATCACAACTGCTCTCAAACTGCAGCTAACAACTCCAACTGGTGGCGTGTTGATCTGGGGTCGGATCATGTTTCAGTATCAGAAGTCCTTGTTTTTGACGGGCGTTCACAGGCTTTGGGGCATAGAAGTAAAAACTTTATACTAACACTAGGTGAGTGATTTGATAAACGTCACGAGTGAAGGCGCGATATCTGCCGCTTAATCAGGTCCAGATTCCCCGCTTAAAATGAACACGTGACGTTATCTTCATGACATTATCCCCCTTTTTTATGAAACAAAGTCAATGACGTCATCGTCGTTTTATTGTATCTGGACTAAATTAATGATATTCCTGCGAAGAAGTGAGCAAAAACTCCCTTCTATAATGCTCTTTTATATTTAAAGATCTATTCTTTACAAGGTCTGAGGGAACTCAGTAGTTGTCTGTCAATAAAAGTCAAGCACGTTAAATAACTCCCGGTGTGAATGGCTCCTGGTATATTAAAGCTCTGTATCTGACATAGTCGGATAGAACTCAACAGGTGTCAAACAATTGTAAACCCTAGTGTGAACAGTACTTTATACATTTTTTATTTTCATAATGGTTGTTGCTGCTGTTGTTGTTTTTTAATTATTGTAAAGAGACATTTTAATCGCAAGAGAAATTGTACTTGTAATTGTTTTGAATTTTAATCTTGGTATTTGTACTGTTGTAAAGCGCCATCAGATGTTAGGACATATTGCGCTATATAAATACATTATTGTTATTATTATTGATATTATTATTAAGGTTTGCCTTTTTCGTGGTCAGAAGGAGCTCAGTAGGTTTCAAGCACGTTTAAACCCGGATTTAAACTGCGCCTGATGTATTAATTAACGCCCTTCTTGTTTTATATGGTAGGAAGGAATTCTTCAGTCTCAAGTAATCCTGCGTGTGTTGGACGGTACAGTTTTGCTCAGTTTAAATCTTCAGCTGTTTGTTACACCAATCCTCTTCATACTGGTAGATATCTCGGTATCGTCGCCACAGATAAACAGGGTCTTAGTCTGTGCAAAGTGGAAGTTTACTCACGAGGTAACGTCATGAACAGAGAGTTTAAGCTTCACGTATACGGCAAACGGCAAACGCCAAATTAAATTTGATATTTCTCAGAACCGAAGATGAACAGATAAAAACAGCTCCAGACAATTCTTATGGTTTAAAAAATTGCGTGAAACTACTAATTTATGTGTAGAATTAATGAACAGTAAACGACAAGTAAAGGGGGAACTTGGTCACGTGGTACAAATTTGCGTTTTGTCGTTTGACGTAAACGTGATGCAGTAGTTTCGACGGAAAATCCGACTTGACGTGGTTATTTCTTATTTTTCAGTTCTAAAAGCGCTTCTCATTTGTCGGAACTGGTCGGTCAGACCATTTCCGTTTTCATCCGGCGGGCCAGCTCTGACTTTTGAAAAGCACCCTAATATAGTAAGCCAGCTGTCTAGTGAGTCGTTGATAGTATTTTTTAGAACAAGTGTGGTTCCAGGAAATTTTATGTTTCGTCTGTTTTAGTGTTCAGTAATGTGATTGTTGACCTCACCATTTCTGGTCGTTCATTTGTCTTCAGTCAGTGGATGGCCTTCGTTGCAGACATAATTTTACCTCAGTTAGGTTATCATTGTAATTTTAAAAGTTGCTAAAATACTTTTGGGAATCTTTCTTTCGAGGCGTTGAATTGATTAGTGTTGAAACCATGTGGTCACGTGAAACGTGATGTCATAACGATATTCAAAAGAAAATTCCAAATGGGGTAGGAATGGTGAATGCTTGGTTACAATTAAGTCTGAACCATATATCATCATATATCATTAACAGTAATAAATTCATTAGGATTATCATTATTTTCCCTAATTGAAGGAAACCTGGCTTATGGTAAGCAAACAGATCAGATGAGCACGTACACTGTCGGCTCCAGTGGCAGAGCGGTGGACGGGGACAGTAGTACAAATAATTTTTATACTGACTTGACTTGTGCAAGCACACGAAGAGGAACTCCCAACCCCTGGTGGAGGGTGGACCTTGGACGAGTGGAGCCTGTAACCGAAGTGTACATAGTCAACAGAGGTGACTGCTTTGGAGCAAGATTAAGCTCATTTGAAATACGAGTGGGTAAGTCACAAATAATTTAAGGGGAGGAGAAGCCCAGTCCTTCCCTTTTGTTCCCCTCTCCGCTCCCTCATGCCTTTCGATAATTGCCACACGCTCGAAAGCGTGATTATAACCGACATTACCTCAGGATAATAATTAATTATGGTGCCTCATGCCTCCGGCGTGCATACTCTACGCATTCGGTACCAACTTGTTAGTAAGGGCTTTCTTGTTCGGTACAAGTTTGAACGGAAACTGAAGTGCGCTCGTACACGACGAATAGAGTCTATTTGGGAGGGGCGGGGGCGGGGGGGGGGACGAAAGTGCGTCGAAATAATAAAGGCAAATAGGTATATTTTGAGTTCGAATATTTAAGGATGAACACTAAAAGAACAGAACTGAGTGCCCATTTGTAAAAGTATCAATATCCTGTCCCTTAATCTTAATGTTATATGAAAAGAAAGCGGAGAATGGAAAGAACACAAATCAAAAATCATTTTGCTATAAACAGAAACTTTCATACACCGCATTAGTTAGCTCTCTTTCGTTGCCTCGTATTAGGGTAGCCTAATTTACTTAAAAATGATTTAACAATTCCTAGCGTGAATAACAATGGCTGTAAAGATGGCTAGATCTTCCCCATTTTACCCAAAAAGTGGGATCTCCTCGTCTACGGTTTTTAAATATCTTTTTCCATTTACTTATTTTTCTTATTTAATTACCTTAAAATTTGTGTGAAACATAGCTCTCTTACCTTTGACACCTGCAGCTAATTCCTTAAGAACTGATATTTTTTCCCAGTCACTCTGAAACAAGATTAGTTAGTGTACTTCTACTTATATTATACCCCGACTCTTTTACCTTAAACGATAATTGAAAAATCACTTTCTTATTTTTTTTGTTTTTTGTTTTGTCTTTATTTCTTTATTTTTTCTTTCACTCTGTGTTGTAATAAATTCTTGGGACAAACGAAAGATTTTCGAGGTTGATAAAGTAGCAGTAGTGCAACCGAAGGATGATAAGACCTCGACAAAGAAAAATCTAAGCATATCATTTATTGACTTTATTTGTAGGCAAAAGTACTGTCAATGGAGGTGTGAATAATCCCACCTGTGGTCGCAGTAACTATAGTGTTCCCCAAGGGAAAGGCGCATCCTTCTTCTGTCACCCGAGTTTACCCGGAAGATATGTAACTATAAGAAGTACGTTGGAAGGTACTGAGCCACTTACACTCTGTGAAGTTGAAGTATATTCAGCACGAAGAGGTATGCTTACTGAACTCTTACTGATACTAAAGCCTCATATACACGATCCTCATTAGTTTTAATTGGTCTAGATATCATTACGTCACCCAGTCAGAGATAACCCAATTTTGTCCCAAGGGCCTTTGTTACCCTTGTTCCTTGGTGCTGACCAAACGTATCGCAGCCTCTGGGAAGGAGATTAGAGATAACTGCGTATTGATAATGCCTGTTCATGCGGAGTAGAGAAGAAAGTTAATTTGCTCCTGTTAATGCTCTGCTCGCGTGCAGTTTGTTCGCGTTCTTCGGGATTCAATACAAAACGAAACAAATATACCGTTTTGATGATAAATCCCGGCATTATTTAAGTCAATCAATCTGCTCTCCAAAGGATATTTTATTCATTGATGACTTAAAGTTTGTAAAACTCTTTTCTTTCAATGAAGTTTTGATTGGTCTAGATATTATTACGTCACCCACAGATAACTGCGTACGGTCGCGCGCTCTCCTATATATTTCGCTCGACTCTTCCAAGTATTGCTCGAAGTGTATCTGGGAGACCACGAAATAACCTTAGATTGTTTTAAATACCGCGAAAAGGTCTTTAAATTTCATCACTAAATGAAAGGTTATTTTTAGCTTGTCAAATTCAAGCACTTGGTGTGACCAGCAGAGATGCCTTTCCAGACAGCAGCTTGTCAGCCTCGACATCACGTGCTAGACACGAGCCCTTTAAGGCTCGACTATTAAATGAAAATGGTGCTTGGTCACCCAGCAGCGACCTTCACACTGATGACTACTTACAAATTAACTTGCATTACGAGTTCTTCATCTGTGCTGTTGCGACTCAAGGAAATCCAGTCACTGACCAATGGACAACAAAATATAAGTTGCGTTTTTCACTGGACAGCATCAACTGGCACAGCTACCAAGAGAACAACACAGATAAGGTTTGTTAAACACAAGGATATATGCAATACTGGGCGCAGTACTTGACAAGTTCTGTATAGGAATATATTATAATTACTATAGCTCTAACTTGACTTTTTGGATTAGACTCATAATTTTTAGGGATCAGAGCTTTTTCACACGCAGCTCCTAACATATGGAATTCCATGCCAGTCAGTTTACGCATATGTTATAAGCTGAGCGCTTTCAAATAAAAGAACACCACATTTCTTTTTAAGTATGCTTTTCCGTTGTCATTTCATGTGTTTTTTTTTTAACAAATAAGTCATTGTAATATTTTATTAGGATTATTACTATTAGTATTGTAAAGTGCTTTGGATCACTAAGAACAAGGTGCCAAATAAGTGTTTAGTATACCTGTATACACACTCAGTGCTGTTGGTGATTCGAGCCATCTGATTGGTTCGCTCGGGACTGTCTCCTCGGATTATGACGTTATATTCAACGTGCTAACGCGCTAGGCGGTGAATATAAAGAGACAATATCGCTGTCGTAAACTGAGTATTTTGCCAAAGTTTCAAAGTAGGAACTCTTTGAAAATACAAGAATATTCTAGTATTGACGATTCTGAAGATAAGAAAAGATTGTTTGAACAGTGTGATTTATTATGAAGTAATTTCACTGTGGCTAACCTTTTATTTCGCGTTGTTTAGTTTTACTTTCGCTTGAAGCAATGTTTACCACTACCGAGCAAAATGAACGAGACTGCTTTGTCACTGTTTTGTGCACCCAGGATTTCCTCGTAAGACCAATTTTGCCTATAGAGTGTTTTCACATGACGTCACGGCGGCCATATTGGTGTCCCAAAACAATGAAACGGCAGCCATGTTGGTGTCTTAAACCAGTCCTGTGTGTGGGATTTAATCTCTTCTCTTATGTAAATGCTTTCTTTTGTTCCAATAAATTTGCATAGATGATGACCACGTGAGTGAAAACGCTCTATAAATAGAAGTTTATTTATGGGAAAAAACTAGGGCAAATATTCTCCAAAATTGAACGTGCCAGCAAGTAAACAACACACAGCAAGTAACCAACACAAAGAACACTGCAGATAAACAACATTCACTTCGATCGTAGCCGCTGTTTACATCCTTGTTACCCCTGTTCTCCGAAATCCCCATGTTCCCCTTGTTCCCCCTGTTCCTCCTTGTTCCCCTTCTTTCCCCTGTTCCCTGTGTTCTCCCTGTTACCCCGTTCCCCCTTCTTTCCGCGTTCCCCCTTGTTCCCCTTGTTCCCCCGTTCCCCCTTTTTTTCTCTTGTTCCTCTTGCTCCTCTTGTTACCCCGTTCCCTTTTGTTCCCTTGTTTCCCCTATTCTCTCTTGTTCCCCCTGTTTCCCCGTTCCCCCTTGTTCTCCTTTCCCCCTTGTTTTCCTTGTTCCCCCTGTTTCCCCGTTCCCCCTTGCTCTCCTTCCCCGCCTTGTTTTCCTTGTTCCCCCTTTCCTCACTAAATTTAGGAAATATATATCGTTTACTTACTGCAAGATTTTAATATTTGCATTTATTATGTCCAAACTGGACTACTGCAACTCTTTATTATCCGGACCTCGATAGGATCGTATTTACAAACTTCAGCTTGTGCAAACTTCTGCCGCACGAACTTACCCATTTTAAGGTCTCTTCATCGGTTGCCTCCTCCGGAAAGAATTGATTTTAAATTTTTACTGCTTGCATTTAAATCACTTAACGATCTGGCCCCGCCTTTTATGGAAGAAATGTTAGTTCGTTATTGACCAACTAGAACACTGCGTTGTGCAGATAAGCCGCCACTAGATTGGTCATCTTGAGGGTTTTGTAGTTTCTATTGTCCCAGTTTGGGTCATAAACGGAGAATGATTATAATGGCAATAACGATGATGATAAAGGTAATGATGGTAATGAAGTTGATGACGATAATGATGACGATAAAAATAACGTTTATGTTCATGTTCATGATGATGGAGATGCTAACGATGATGACGTCATAATTGTTCTCTAACCTCATTTTGCAGTAGTACTTAGAAGGCAAGAGTTACTAAGCCGTTCTGCTTCTTTAACGTCTATTACTTCTATCTATTTCAGATATTTCACGGTAATAATGGAAGAAACGACATAGTTAAGAATAATCTAGTCGAACTCACTAGAGCGAGGTATATCCGGTTCCAGCCAGTTGCTTACTCAACACATAAGGCTTTGAGGGTTGAAGTATATGGAGTACTGAAACCTACAGGTGAGTAGCCTTTTTACCTCACTCGTGTTTATAATTAACAGCATTCGTCTATGAGTAACTGTTAGGTATTAAGGCTTTAAGTAACGTTATGTAACTAGCTAACTAAAAACCGCGCATAAGAAGGGTAAAACAAGAGTCAGTAAACACATATGGGCCTGTTATGGAGAGATGGACGTTGTGTGGCCGAACAAAGGAGAAATTCTATTGTAGTTAAAATTTTAGACCAGGGGAAATAATATTTACACTAGCAGCGTCTTGACGCTAATCCCTCTCACGAGTGCCAATTATAAGACTATTTTTTTAAAGCATATTTCTCCGTAAGGATACTTTCATCTGTACCTTTGGCTTTTATGGGAACAATCATTCGTAATCTCAACTAACTGACTAAAAAAGAAACAAACTATCTGAGAGTAAAGTATGGACAAAACAAGTAGTGTAAAAGATTTTCACGCGAACGTCCATATCGATGTCAAAGAAAAGTGTAGATTAGGGGACGACTATTACTTAATCTCAAAACTCATGAAGGCAAATAATGCTCAGTGAAATAACTGTTGTATTTTAGTTCCAAACCAATCCCCAGGCAGCTTTGTCGTGGTTCCGCTGACCTCCACAGGCATTCGTGCAGCATGGAAACTACCTCCATCAGCATCCTGGCTTGTGGGCTCAATCACTGGATTTAAATTGCTGTACAAAAGAAAGAGCTCTGTTGTAGACCCACTTCGCGTCGTGACCATTGAAAGTAATTCCACCCTTACCATAGACGTCACAGGGCTTGGTAAATATACAGAATATGAATTCCAAGTGTTGGCCTTTTCATCTGCGGGTGATGGACCAAGAAGCCCCATCATATTAATAAGGACTTTTGAAGATGGTAAGGAGTGATGAAAGCAAAGTACAAGTAAAACACGTATAGTCAAACCTATAATGGCGCCTTACATTTTTAATTACTTGGCAACACATTAGTTTAGTAAGAGTCAGAGTTGCACATTGTCCAGCCAAAAGGTTAGAGTTGTGCTTCTTAATTACCGTCGTCTAATATTAAAAATGCATCGATAAATTGAACAACAAAGAGTGCAGAATAAGTGCCTGTTTACACGGAGTGGGGGACCCCGGTCTAGTGGGGTTGGTTTCTTTTGTTTTCACGCTCTTGGGGACACAAAACAAAAGAAACCTACCCCACTAGACCGGGGTCCCCCACTCCATGTAAACAGGGTCTAAGTGTGGAGATAGTAATGAGATGATTATGGCGAGGTCATGATCACGACAGTGGCTGAGGAGAATGAGATCATGCCGCTGATGTTGACGATGTTGATGATAATGACGATTTTAATTATCATTATGATCAGTAATCGCTCGTGATTCGATCACTGGCAGGAAACATTGTGAATCGAAATATACAGACGCTTAATAATCTTAATAAAACAAATGATAGTGTGTTATGGTCATCGATGCTAAACCGGATGCAGACGAATGATGCCTAGAAACACAAAACGCGCCGTGACCTGGTGACATCACACTGTGGATGACGTCAGGGCGGCTACCAACGGATATATTCATAGAAATATAGAAATATATATAGGTCAGCCGAGTTTGCAGGCCGCTAAGACCATGCGCGGTCCACGCGTTGTGCGTGCGCTTCGCGCGCAACGAGATTATAACTCTCACCGCGAGGCCTTTTGCCTCACTTTGCGAGGAATTGAAAGGAAAATGCCTTTTGGTTGACGTGCGTCGCTCAAAAATGACTCTGCTTAAGTTCCCTATTATGTTATTGTTATTGAATTCGTAGAAACGTCCTCTGTATAGGTACAAGTTTTTCTGACCTCTCTTAAAGCTCACAATATTTCACAGAATAATAGAAAAATACTAGAGTTAAAAGTATTTCTTATCTTATTTGTTCTTTGCTCTTTAATTCATTGTATTTCAGTGCCTTCGCAAGCTCCTATTAGCTTCACTTTGAATGCAGTTTCCTCCACCAGTATAACAGCTAGCTGGCAGCTTCCTCCGGCTCATTCCAGAAATGGTAACATTACAGGATTCAAACTATTTTACAAAAAGGAAGACCCAGAGGGGTCACCAGTTTCCACAGTTATTATGAACGATGGAGCAATTCGTGTTAAGACTGTAACAAGGCTTGATAAACATACAGAATTTGAATTTAAAATATTGGCATTTACTTCCGTTGGAGATGGTCCTAACACCACTGTGAGAACTATGAGGACAAAAGAAGACGCTGGTAAGAGAAGTTAATTCTTAAGCTCTGTCCACACTTATGCGTTCTCGCTTGACAACGCCGCATTCATGTCAATCCATTTAGGCCTTCCGTCCACACTAGCACGTTGAACGCTTTCATCGAAAACGCATCGATTTAAAAACGCTCTTGAAAGTCGATCAAAACAAAAACGAATACATATCCTATAAGTGTGAAAACGGTCGAAAACGCATCAAAATGAAAACGATGACCGAAAATATGGCAGACGTGCGTCATTGTAGCATGCGTATAGAGTTTAACTTGCGTTGCAATAGGGAGCTTAAGCAACGAGTGACACACATCAACCGGAAGAAGGCTTTTTACATTCTTGGGCCGTCGTTTTGACCATATTTTTAGGAACATCGTCTTTATGAAGGTAAAAGACACTCAACAGTAACGCCTAATGTCAATACTGGCAACAACGTCGTTCCCCGGGATCTCTCGTACTTGTTCTTCTGAGTGAGAGTCAAGGAGGAGACTCCCTGGGAACCAGATTGTACTAACATCAGTAACGTTTGCCTTGACTTAGCAACAGAACGGGATCGTCAGTTGAAGACGGCGCGCGCAAATAAAACAGCTGGCTTGACCAATGGCAGACTGCTAAATTGGGCACCGAAAATCGCGTTCAGTCCTTTTCGCGCGCTTTCCCGTCGTCAACTAACGTTCCCGTTCTGTTGCTAAGCCTAATAAAACTTAAGGCGCTCGCTAAGACGTTTGCACGCGCGCAAGAAAACTCAAAAGTGCTGTTGAATCCCGAGCGGAGAAAGTGTTTTGAATTTGAAGGCGTGCTTCATCGCCTCGCGCTTTCAGACGTCCTTCCTTTGCTTGGACAAGAATAAAAGTAACTGAGGATAAATCCCTACTTCAGAAAAGCGGGAGGGGGTCCTTTGATGACAGTTTTCACCGTTTTAGCCAATATAAAAAAATGCTACCACATAATATAGTTTTACAACTCTATAGTAAAAGTAGATCAATCCAAAAAACGACTATTACTTAACTACTGTTGGGACGAATTTTCTCAGTAATATATCAATTATTTTCCCAGGTAAACAAAGTGTATTCCGCATCGTTGGCCTTGCTTTGTCCTTTGTTGCTGTCATATTGCTTATCATTATTGGCTTTTTGCTGTGGCAAAAGAGACGACCATCTACCAACAAGAACAGTTCCTCAGACAAAGACACCTCTAATGCAATAGGTCAAGATGATTCATCACGTGAACACCACGTGTCAGAGCCATATATGGAGCTCAGCCCTGAACCATTTGAAGAGCAATTGCGTGCAGCGCCTGAGTACCAGTCATTACAAGGCTCCACTGCAACTCCCGAGTATGACAATGTTAGCGGGCATTACAATACACTGGAGTATTACAACATCCCCGAGCGTTATACTTGTCCCGTGTATTACAATGTCGGTTTTGTCAGAGAAACAACGGCGCAGACTAGAGAAGAAGACTACGAAATAGGAAATTCTCAAGCCTAAACCCTTCACCATCCTCTCTTGTTCGCAATTAACTTATATAACTTATATAAACTCTTTCCAAAGTGTGAAGTAAAGGAAATGCAACCAACTCTAATTCCGTCACGACGTTGAGGGTAAAACATGAAATGTGCTAATACTGTTCCTGTCGTTTTCTGTAATAGCTAAAAAAAGATTGTTATTCATTCAAAACATTTCCCCGATTCTGAAGGCTAAAAGCACACGCATAATTCACCATAACCAGCTACTGATGACCAAATTTGGAAGAATTTTGCGTTTAATGAAGCGATGACGTCAAAAGTGCAGCTTTTTTGCAGGTTAATGCACCGTTAACCAAAAAGACCTGGGGACGAGGTTGAGTTGTTTTGGTTGTGAAAACAAAAATGGCGGACATTTCACTCGTTTCAAGAGTAAGAACTAGGCAAAATAATAGCTAAAAACATGGCAAGAACAGCAAAAAGACAACTCGAAGAGCGATATCTGCTATCTGGAGAATATTTGCGGAGCTGAACAAACCCTAAACGTGCACTATCGAAGATGAACTTAACATCGATGGATCGATGGAGGTAAGCATGTTTTAGCCATGTTTTTAAACTAGGAATTATTTCGAACGAATAATAAAACAATTATTGAATTCGGCTTTCGTATCATATGAAGAATTATGGAGATCTGGGAGGGTGTTATCCTTCGAGGCCGTAGGCCGAGGCAGATAACACCCTCCCAGATCTCCATAATTCTTCATATGATACGAAAGCCATAATTCAATAATTCTTCATAAGATACTCAGCCTCATTCATTAATTGTTAATTAAGATAAAATGATGTAAATGAACTTTATGGAGGAACTGACACTTATTGCTCTATTAATTAGCGACAAACCAAGAAATATTTTAGATATTAGTTCATGTATTTTCATGAGGAAGTCTAATAAAATAACATTCATTAGTAAATAGTGTCAGACGATTGTTGTTGATCGAAATTGCCTTTTGTACAGAGCGGACGATCGAGAGAGGGATTAGCGCACTAAACCCCAGCTTTTTAAGCTATCGACTGGGTCAATAACAGTTTTCTTAAAATTCTGCGGATTGCCTTGTAAATGTCTGTTACTTTCTCTTTTTTGTCTGTTACTTTCTCTTTTTTTTTTTTTTTTTTTTTTTTTTTGGCATCTTTAAGTAATGTAATTGTGTGGCAAATAAATAAAAAAAAAAAAAAAAAAATACTTCATTGACTTTGGCAAAGTTAGTGCACCCGAAAATCCAGGAATTCTTCGATCCATTTTTTCATACACTGCCTCCAACTTTCGCTTCTAAGGTGCCACAAGAAGTCTGGGGAGAGTCGAAAAGGGGTTGGGGTGGTTAGGGAACGCGTGCTGTTGGTCCATGTGAGTCAAAAAAGAAAAATAAGAGACTGTTCGCTGCCCAACAACGCCAACATGAAAAGAGAGAAAGGTGAATGGATGTTTCTTTTTGTAGCCAGATTATAGTAGTCAAAGTGTGTGCTCCATGAAACTAATAGTGTGCTAGGAACACTGTTAACATTAAACTTTTTTTAAGCAAAAATTCGGAATGTCCTTCATCAAGAATATTCTCCTCTGTTTATTCGCCATTTTCACATCTCCCATAATACACCTTGTTTAAACTCCAAAATGTTGTACAAGCATTGTCTTTTATTTCTTTTGGGACTACTGTAATACCCAGGAGAAATTGGAACAAAGGTTATGGTAAGATGTGTTATGGGAGATGTGCAAATGGCGAATTCACAGATAACCGTTAATTAAAAACATTATGGATTAAGCGCAGCCGGAAAAACGGTGCAGCGCCTTGTCAATCAGTTACTTCAAAGCAGTTATTTTCAATTTCTAAGCACAAAGCCTTTTGCAGCTTGTTGGTAATGTAGGTATCGCTCCTATTCCATGCCGTTTAAGTTGTCAAATATTGGTGAATTTTTTCTGGATTTGCTTTCCGAATGACTGCATTTAAGAATAAAAAAATTCCGTAGTTGTCTTATGTTCAGAAACTATTTTATGTATTTTAAGAGGCCCTCTGTCTGGAGATACTCGGCCATTAGACCATTGTATTTTGGATTTTTATATTTTTTAAAACGGAGAGCAGTTTAAAGCCTCATTTGAAGATTTTAAATTTTTTATTACATTATGCCGCTGAAGGACAACATGAACAGTTTTATAAAAGTTGCTTATTGATTTTCGGTGATTACAGGTGTGCTAATGAAACAAAAAGTTTGAACCTCACTTGCTGTCGCTGGAACCTGGTTTAATTAAACGTGTTTTGAATGAGGCATTTAGATCCCTGATAGCTTAAAACAACATTAACGGTCAATTTATCGACGCTATAAAAAATTGACGGTATTGCCTAATATTTAGGTTTTCTTTAAACTATTGGAAATTTTTCTAGGTTGTTTGGTTTTGCATAAAGGAAACATATATAGCAGCAATTGTTTGAAAGGAAAACAACTAACAAACTATTTATAATGACAGGCAATACGGGTCTGTCATCTGTTCTGGTAATCAATGGTAAGACGCTTTGTAAACGTAAATGGAGCAACATTGTTTTTGTTATTGATTCAACAGAAGAGAATTCGTTTCAAACGATCACAGAGGACATGAAATATAAAGATTCATTACACTGGCTCCCACTCAAAGAGGAGAGATTTCCGATGTAAAAATTTAAGTAATTGCTGTAGAAATGCACTTACCCTATTTGATTGCCTGCTTTTCTTCTCTTTTCTTTTAATGTGTACAATATGTCAAGGCCACGAACCATCAACTACGAACCGTCAAAGCAGGTGAAATTTTCTTTACAACTTAAGTAGTTTTTTTTATGATGTAACAATGGAGAATGAATGCACGAGCTGATAATAGCCAGTCAGATGCAGTTTCCAATAAATCGTCCGGAGGAAAAGTAACTTTCTGCGCGCGCGCGCGCGCAAAAAAAACGATTATTAGCAGGTACAGTAAGAAACGTGAAATTTAGTCAAGAAGTTGATTTCATTTTTAACTGGTCACCAAACTTTAAACCAAGTGTCTGTTGTGCTTCATGAGAAAACCCCACATTTTCTCTCTACAGGTGGTGAATATCTCTGCAAGATTGGAAACAATATCGACAACAAATTGATCAGTGATGCCATTACGATTCATCTATTTCTTCCGATCAACTAGTGTAAAGTTTCGACCCTTCAGTGACAGGTGTAAGTTACAGTTAAGGAACGCAGTGAGGACTAAAATTCACTCGGTTTTCGGACTACGAACTAGCGTATTTCCTAAAATAAGCGCTCTTCCCCAAATAAGCGCCAACATCCAAGGCCATATTATCAAATAAGATCCCCCTCGGATAAGTGCGCTGCGTTACCTCTTTTTTTAATGTTTTTCCCATTGCCTCACTCTTGGTAAACGCCGTAAATTTCCCAGGAACGTTACGTCGAGGAAAGCGTAATAAGCGCTCGCCTCGATTAAGTGCCCGCCTTCCAATAAACGCCCATTTTTGTGCTGAAATTTGAAATATGCGTCC